TTCAAAAGTGTCTAGTTCTCCACCATAGCAAATGTCCAAGTAGAGGGCAGGCAGTCACTCTCCACACATGCTTGAGAAAGGGGTGCCCTTCCCTCGTGGAAGCCTCTTGCACCCAGGTTCTGAATTGCTATCGGTCTCAACACCTGCTGGCTTAGATCCGTCAGTCAGGTCCCCAGCATTTGTGTGTGTCCTTGAATATTCCTGCTCCTCCTCTGTTGCTCAAAGAACGTCCCACGCGTGGCTTCGTCACAGCCCCTCCCCCACCTGGCCCTCCCCCACGCATCCTCCGCAGACTGAGCAGAAGGCGGTGAACGTCTCATCTTTGTCGGCTCGCGCAGGCTGCCCCAGGGCAGTGCCCAGCACTAACCCTGCAGAGATCCCAGCAGGCATGGGACAGAGGCAAGCTAGAGGGAGGAAAACGGAAGACAAGACCAGCTTTGGGGACGATTATGTGAAACCTGACTTCCTTCTGTATTACTTCCCTGATATTCCTAATAAGCCACATTTTAATTTAAAACAGCAGTTTACAGTGAAATTCATTTACCACAACACCATCCACTGTGATCACAATGCCATGAATTTACGTTTTAAGTAATCTTTAATGCCTGTAGCAGCTGGGGCCCTTAAGTGTGGAAACAGCGTACATTTTTCACCTTGTGCAGCCAAGGGGGAGAAAATCTTTGTTCTTTAATTATACAGCCACCAAAGACAGCATGAGGTGAGCAGAGCAGATACAATTGCAAAATACGGCCTGACTGGCCAAGATCACGGCCAAGATATCAAGTGTAGACACCGAGATGCCAGAACACCACAGGTAAAGCCTGGGTGGACATGTGCATCCTCCAAATTAATAAGCAGCTATAGTTTAAATACTCAGTCCTGCATATTCATTGGAAGGCTTGATGCTGAAGCTGAAGCTCCAAGACTTTGGCCTCCTGATGTGAAGAACTGACTCACCAGAAAAGACCCTGATGCTGGGAAAGATTGAAGGCAGGAGGAGAAGCGGCCAACAGAGGATGAGATGGTTGGATGGCATCACTGACATGATGGACATGAGTTTGAGCAAGCTCTGGAAGTTGGTGATGGACAGGGAGGCTTGGCATGCTGCCGGCCATGGGGTTGCAAAGAGTTGGACACAACTGAGTGACTGAACTGAACTGATATTTTAAAGTTAACTGCCATATGACCCAGCAATCCCGCTGCTGGGCATACACACTGAGGAAACCAGAATTGAAAGAGACATGTGTACCCCAATGTTCATTGCAGCACTGTTTATAATAGCCAGGACATGGAAGCAACCTGGATGCCCATCAGCAGATGAATGGATAAGAAAGCTGTGGTACATATACACAATGGAATATTACTCAGCCATTAAAAAGAATACATTTTAATCAGTTCTAATGAGGTGGATGAAACTGGAGCCTATTATACAGAGTGAAGTAAGCTAGAAAGAAAAACACCCATATAGTATAGTAATGCATATATATGGAATTTAGAAAGATGGTAATGATAACCCTGTATGCGAGACAGCAAGAGAGACACAGATGTATTGAATAGTCTTTTGGACTCTGTGGGAGAGGACGAGGGCGGGATGATATGGGAGAATGACATTGAAACATGTAAATTATCATATGTGAAACGAATCTCCAGTCCAGGTTCGATGCATGATACAGGATGCTTGGGGCTGGTGCACTGGGATGACCCAGAGGGATGGGATGGGGCGGGAGGTGGGAGGGGGGTTCAGGATGCGGAACACATGTACACCCATGGCGGATTCAAGTCAATGTATGGCAAAACCAATACAATGTTGTAAAGTAAAATAAATAAAGAATTTAAATTAAAAAAAAAAGGGAGGTGTTATTGGGAAGATGGGGTTACAGATGGAGTGCAATGGTGCCCCTGACGCAGAGCTGGACCCAAAAGGTGAAGGTTTACTTCTGTTTGTTCACACCCCCGTGTCAGGCTCGCACGAGCATCCAGGGTGCAGTGACACGGCCGTCCTGCGAGGTGCTGATGAGGGGGCCCCTTGTGCCCTCCCCCTGTCCCCAGGCCCCCTAGAGAACTGTGCTGAGATAAATCTACATAGCCCTTGGTTACCCACACCGCTGCTGGCACAGCCTCTAGGGACTTCAGGATCAGGGGAGGAAATAAAGACCTGGAGGAATCTCCTGCCGTCTCTAAGGAGCTCCGCCCAACCCCCCATCTCCCCCTGTCTCTTTTCCTCTCCCCACCTCCCCTGCCTCCATCCCCCATCCCCCCTGACGCCCCGGTTTGGGCGCCGTTTTGGACAACGTGCAGCTGGCTGGGGTTGCCCCTCAAAGTGCCGGTCAAGCCCCCACGGAGTCCCTGCGATGACAGTGGAGGGCACTCCTCTGTCCCGGCTTCACAGACCCCGGTGTCCAGCAGAAACAAGAGGAGCCACGTGCGCTATCTTAGCGCCAAGAAACAAATGAAATCCATCTAAAGAACGCATTTCATTTAACTCAATATGTTCTACCTAAGAAAAGTACAGCATGTTCCTAACAGACAGTCACTACTGAGCTACGTCACAGCCTTAGTTTTTCCAGCAGGAGGCCTTTGGAACCCGGCACCCCTTGGTTGAGGCCAGGCTCAACTCACGTGCTGGGGGTGCTGCGTGTTGAGGGCGGGGGGTCAAGGGGCCCGGCCGGCTACTGCTTCAGATGAGAGCCACTGGCGCTGGGGTGACAGACGGTCCCCGGGGTGACCCCCGCGGCTCTCCCCGCGGCCCACACAGGCCGTCCGAGCATGAAGGGTGGGGGGCCAGCAGTCCTCATGGGAGGGGCTGGTGAGGGCCCCACCTGGCCTGCTCCATCGCGGGGACCCCTCTGCTCATCCTGCGCCCCCTCCGTCTGTCTGTGCGGGTTCTAACCTGCACCTGCCTGGTGGAGACCGCAGCTGTCCGGACGGCCCTCCTGCCCGGCCCTGGAGGAGCAGCTTGTGGACAAGAAGGCGGGGCGGTGGGGCCGGGCCTCCCGAGACCCTGCGGAGCCTTCCTTTTGGGAGCCCCCTGGGGCTCTGGGGGCCTGTCAGGCGTGAGGTCCCAGGGCAGCCTCTACCCTCAGCATCCACCCCTGCCGCTTCGGGGGCAGGACGCCTGGGGCCCAGACTGCTGTGAGCTGCCCTGAGCATGGTCGCTGCCCACCCCACCCGGTTCTGCCCGGGGCCCCAGAGGCTCACCCACTGGCCAGCCCTGCAGGGGCGGCGCATCCCCGTCAACAGGCGGGCTGGCTCTTACGGCTCCTCCGTCCCCTGAGCAGACCCTACCAGGGGCCAAGAGACCCCGGGTCGGGGGGTGGAGGGCAAATTTTGCTGCCGGGTGTCCACAAGCGAAGGTCCCAACCCCCAGGGAGAGCACGGACCAGCAGGAAGGATCGCCTTGTCTCCGAAGCACCACTTGCCCTTAAACATCTTAAAATGCCTGCAGTTTAGGCACTTGTTTAACAGATGGTGGAGAGAGAGCAGCCAAGGACTTCCGGGCTGGCGAGAGTGTCAGAAGGGAACCCAGCCTGGAGTCGGGCACGCGGGCCACTCGTATCCCCAACGCCGTCGGCCCACTCGGTGCTGGGGAGGAACGGGAGGAGGCCTGAGGTCTCGTGTGGGATTGTCTTCACGCGGCTGTGGTGTAGACAGAGCCAGAGCCGGGCCGGGGCCCCTGGTCGGTGAGAAAGCCACCCCCATGCCCGAGGCCCCCGGCTGTGGGATTTTGCCGCGGTGCCTGGCTGGCAAGCACCGAGTCGGGAGACGCAGCTCGTGCATTGAGGTGTGTCTCAGCTTTGGCTGGTGGGGTTTGGGATTTAGCATCAGGCAGGAAATGAAACTCTGGGGTCTCACAGTCCTCCTTCTTCCCAAGAGAAGGACTTCTTCCCAGGAGGTGAGCCGTCTGGGCCGGGGGAGGGTCTCACTGCACCCCTTGGGTTTTCCTCCAGAGCGGCTGGCAGGCGGGGACCTGCTGGTGAAGAGTTGTTGCAGCCTCAATGACAGTGAGGCCCTTCACCTCCGCCTGGGGCCCCCGCGTCCCCCGCGGCCTCTCTCAGTTCTGGGGCACTTTATTGAGGCAGACACAACTGGGGGAACCCAGATGCCCTGACCAACCAGCCACAGAGGGACGGCAGGTGACCTGGAGATCCGACCCCTGACGGTCCCGAGTGCCCTGGAGGCAGAGACTGGGAGAGAGCCGCTCTGTCCGGGTCTCAGCACCCGGCACCCGCGCCCTGCCAGGGGCCTTTATGGGAGCAGGAAATACCTGTGGGAGATGGTCTGGACGTTCATGGAGCAAAAACTACCTATACTGGAATAGACAGTGGCCGTTAGGCATGCGTGATCAGCTCTTATTGCTTGTGTGATGATTGGACACTTTGTCCTGGGCAGTTTATTCTGGTGATTCCACTCTGAGTGCCCGCCAGAGGGGCCGGGGGACCCCAGTGGCTGACTCCCACATTCTGGATGAGAACGTGAGGACACGGGCGAGCCCCTCCCCGTGTTCCCCGGGCCTCTGGGGCACCTGGCTCTCCCTGGCATCTCGGGCCAAGCCCGCTGCTCTGGCTTGTTAAGTGCTTGGCCACCCCAACCTCCCCCGACTCCAACCATGAGGGCAGGTCTGGGAAACAGACCCCATCCGGTTCCTGACAGGCCTGGGGGGCAGGACCCTCGGAAGCCCCGCCTCCGGTCCAAGTCTCGGTTCAGAGTCAAGGCCAGGAGCAGTTTGCCTTCACCCTCATGTCTGTGAGAAGGAGGGCCGCTGAGGACGCTCCAGCCTGCTGCCCCCGGGTCACTCTGGGGCGGGGCCTGCCCTCTGGTCTGAGCTGGTGACACCCACCGGGGCAGCTCTGTGTGATGAGAAACGTGGCAGCCACGGCCCCAACACCTCTGCCCCAAGGCAGCGACTCAGGAGTGCTTGGGCAGCGACTCAGGAGTGCTTGGGATGACAAGGGAATGGGGGCTGGAATAAAGTCACCCCGAGCGTCTCCCGACGGCCCTTCCTAGGGCGTTGGGTAAGCAGGAAGGGACACGCTCTCCTCCGGCCGGTCGGTCTGTTTGGAGGGGCTCAGCGGGCAGCGCGGGGCAGGCAGGGTTTGGCGAGGCCTTTGCGCGCGCCCCGGGAACAGGGCCTTCGGGTGCCCTCCTGTCGGTGGAGGGAAGCCTCTGCACTCAGTGGCGGGCCCCGCGGCCCGGGAGTCGGCGTTCCCGTCCCCTCGCCGGGTCCGGGTGACACGGACCTGTCCGGGAGGCACGCCGCGTGTAACAGTGCCCAGCAGGCCGGTCCCGAGGCCTCCGGATCCCTTCGCTGTGCTGGACACGGAACAACCCGCGCCTGCGAGGCGCTCTCGCCTCTGATAAAAGAAGACGGCCTGCGCACCGCACCTGGAGGGCGCCGGGCCTGCTCCCCACCCCTGCGGCCCTCGGTGCTCCCAGCAGTGATGTATGCGGCGCCAGAGCAGGAGACGAGCGCGGGCCCTCGGACGGCGGCCGCCCTTATCTGCGCCCGCAGCCCCGGCCCGTCACGGCGCCGCCCCGCTCCGGGCCGGCCCGTGGAGGCCGGACTCCTGCAGACGCGGCCCGCTCCGCTTAGGAATTCCTGCTGTGGGGCAGGGGCGAAGTGTCTGTAATAATTTTAAGGACATTTCCCAAATGTTTATTTAGATAAAAGATGGATAACAGGAAAACTCCGGAAGCTGCGGCCCCGATAACTAGGTTTTATTAATGACCTGCCATGCGCCAGGGCTGGATAATTAAAGTTTCTCCCCCCAAAGGAAGAAGAGTGGACAAATTTATTTGATGCTTGGATAACCAGGGACACTGGTTGGTAACTATTGATATAATCGGAGCTCATTCGATTTGCTCAAGACAGCCACCCCTATCAGCTAATTTCACCTGTGAATAGTTAATTATCCTCCGCATGCATATGGCGAGCCATTAATAAAATTTGACTATGTCATAGTCTCTGTCACCCACATGTGCCTTTTATCTTCTTCATCACCTTCTTAGTCTTTCTTTCCTTTTTTTTTTTTTAATTCCTTTCCAGCCTTGCTTTTAAAAAAATGAAGCTCTAGGAGACGGATGTAGGCCGTGTGGCTTTTGTGTGTTTACAGAGGGAGCGTGGCGGGGCAAGCCTGGCTGGAGGAACTCAGGATGAGGCCGGGATGGAGGAAGCGTGTCGAGGTGGCTCCCCCAAGACCCAGCCTGAGTGCAGCTGGACGGGGTGGACGCCAGGATCGGGACCCTGACAAGGGACAGCTCACGTCCAGGCTGGTCCTTGCTTCTCCCTGTGTGCAGGGGGTGGGGGAGGGGCTGGTCGGCTTGGGTGTATTAACCCTGGGCTACGTTCCTGGGACGTGGAGGTCTCCCTGGATCTGGGGACTCAGGTCTAGGGCTCGGGTCTGGGGGCTCAGGTCTGGGGCTCGGGTCTAGGGCTCAGGTCTAGAGCTCAGATCTGCGGGCTCAAGTCTGGGGCCTCAGGTCTGGGGACTCAGGTCTAGGGCTCGGGTCTGGGGGCTCATGTCTGGGGCTCGGGTCTAGGGCTCAGGTCTAGAGCTCAGATCTGCGGGCTCAAGTCTGGGGCCTCAGGTCTGGAGATTCAGGTCTGGGGGCTCAGGTCTTGGGGCTCAGATCTGGGGACTCAGGTCTGGAGATTCAGGTCTGGGGGCTCAGGTCTGGGGCTCAGGTCTGGGGGCCCAGGTCTGGGCACACCAGAGCTTAAGCTTTAGGTCAGGGTTGGGTTGGACCATCTTTCCCAGAACAGGGCTAAGCCAGGGGATCTAAGCCAAACGTCTGCCGAGGTGGCTGCCTTCCCCTCTTCCGGTCTCTCGGTGTCAGCGAACTCAGTTCTGTTGGAAAGAGAGTGAAGCCCTGAAGCGGGTGAGGCTGATTTGTGCACGGAAGCCCGTGGCTGTGACGCTGCCTCTGGGAAAGGGACATGGCCGGTGTAGGCGGCGGTCCCCGGCCTGGAGCAGCCCAGTGGGTGGTCGAGGTCCTGTGTCAGCCTGGGGAGGGCTGGTCTGAGTCGGGGGTGCAGGAAGGTGCCAGACCCCACACCAGGGTGGTGAGGCGCCCCGGCCCCGAGCACAGGGCACATGGAGAGAGGGCCATCGAGAGAGTGGTCTCTTCATGCGGCCCGTGTGGAGGTGTTTATCATTACATATTTCTGAAGTTTTGTTCACACTTGAGTGAGCTAGGAACCTCCATGCACGCCCCTGTGCCCTCGTGTGGGCCATAGTTGAGGGCAGGCGACTCTCAGCTCTGCACGCTGGGGTGTGATGCCTGCTGCATGTCGGGCTCATTTCCAGGCCCGGGGAGATTCCAAGGCGAGCGTAAGGAGCACGTCTGCTCAGGGGAAGAGACGGAGCAGCCAGCACAGGGCAGAGTAGCTGTCCGCACTCGCTGCGTAACAAACCGCAGTGAACTCAGCGCTTCCAAACAGCAGCGATTGTTGGGAAGACATCAGCAGGACGGTGGGAGAGGAGGCCTTCCGCTCCTAGGACCTCCCCCGCCACAGCAACAGTTGGCATTACCTTTCCACAGAGTGCCTTTGAGGGGCCCTGGGGCCCTGGGGGGATCTTGTGGAACTCCCGTGGAGCCAAAGATCAAGTGGGAAGACAGGTGATGGCTCATCAGCTGTGGTCCTGGCTCTCTACCTGCAAACAGAAGCCTCCCCGTGTGAACTCAGCCCTAGCCTCAGGGGGCTTGGGTCCTGACACCAGCACCCTTCATCAGGGACCCTGCACGTGTCGCCCCTGTCCGCCCCCAGAGGCTGGCCTGGGGCCCCTACTCAGACATCGTATCTTCAGACGGCCTGGGAACCTGGCTCCAGCCTCCCAGCCACCGTCCGGGAGGGCTCATCTCCTGCCGTCCCCCCAACCCGGGGCCTCCTGAGACACTCCCATCTGTGCCCCTGGAGGCAGACAGCAAACCCCGGCTCAACCATGTATCTGGTCGTGGTCCACGAGTGGTCCTGCCTGCCCAGCGACACATGGGAGCCCTCCACCCCCGTCTGTACCCCTGGTGGCAGGTCTGTGGTGCACAGACCCACGTGTGCGGTTTGAAGTGGACGCTCGTCCCGGCACCACCCCTCCTGACCGAGGACCTGGAGGCAGGCCTGTTCACCCTGGGCCAGACAGGATGCATGCCTGCCCAGACCCTGGCCACAGACATGCAGGAGATGTTAACGGCCCCTCTGCACACGGGGAGACTCGGGGTGTGGTGGGGACAGGAAGAGGATGTACCAGGAACCCCGTGACGCCTGCACTGGAAAGAGGCCCAGGTCCGGAGCAGCTCAGACCCAGAGTCCAGGCAGGCCTGGGGCAGCGGCGCACGGCTCTGGGGGCACCCCGTGCACCCCACCTGCAGACCCACCTCTGCGGGGTGGGCCTAACTGAGACAGTGGGGGTGGCAGGGAGACCGATGTGTGTGAGCGAGCTGCCCGGGGATCCGGACCCACGGCTCCTCCCAGGATGGGCTGGCCCAGGCGCGCCCCGCAGGCCTTGAGCTTCCTCTGGCCCATTGTGGGAAGCGTCCCTCACAGAGCCAGGTCTGCCTCCCGAGGTTGGAGGTCAGGGGCATCCACCCGGCTTCGGCGTGGGGCACTGCTCTGCAGTATGATCCATCCCAAGAGTCACTCCAGATGCCAGGCCTGGGGAGCAGCACCGGTGACCTAGGATGCGCGCTCACGGCCCTGGAGCCCAGCCCTGTCTCCCTGCAGCCCCCACCTCATACCAGGCTGGGGGGTCCTGGGCAGGAGAGGAGGGGGGAAGGAGCCAGATGTCCAGGGAGGGGGGATGGACGCCTCGAAGGGGAGTGTGCTGAGTGACCCTTGGTGGGAGCAGGTTGCTCTGACGCCATGGGTGTGTTGGGAACTTTGGGCTGGGAAGGATGTGTGCGCTTTTCTCTCTGTTGTGCAATAGTGGGCAGCCTCCGGCCCCCTCTGCTGGGCACACACAGCAGGCTGGACGGGCCCACTGGACGGTCAGAGGTCTGTCAGCCTGCAGGGGCCCGAGGCGGGAGCTGCAGACTTGTGGACTCAGGGGTCCGCCCGAGGGGGTGTTGCGGGCACACAGCGCTCAGTGTGGTTTCTCCCACTTCCCGCCTGAATTTGCACCACGAATCTTGAGGAGGGGGATGTGTGGGTCTTTTAGCACAGCTTGTTGATGGCAGGGCTCACGGGCTGCGCGGCGCCGGGACCTGTGTTCCCTCCCAGGCCCTCGTCCGGGATGGCCATCACTGGCCTGTCCTGTGCGGGAAGCGATTAAGGCAACCACACTGTCAATGTGAAGGTGAGGAGTGTGGGTGGACACGCAGGTGACCGTCCGCATGGGCCAGGCCGTGAGCACACATGCTCACAGATGCGTGCTGCACACATAGCTCAGCGTGAGCCCCACGCCTGGTCTGTGCTCCATCCGCAGACACAGGACTCACACTTTGAACACACAATTCACATGCGATCCATGCACATGGTTCACACGTGCAACTCACACATACGTGACACATCAGGGGGACTTCCCCACCATCCCCGCCCCTCTGGCCCCCATCTCGACCTCCCAGCCTCGCCTGGAGACCCCACGGCACAGTCTGCTCTGCTGCCCTGAGAGAAATCCAGGCCGCTTGGAAACGTCACTGTTTTCCTGGGACTTTTCCACCTCCTTCCCTAACGGCCATCCTGCTCCACACACACAGGCACATGTGCACACACAGGCACACATTCATCCTGCTCCACACACACAGGCACATGTGTACACACACACCCACACACATCCTGCTCCACACACATAGGCACATGTGTGCACACACACCCACACACACATCCTGCTCCACACACACAGGTAGATGTGTGCACACACAGCCACATATGCATTGTACTCCACACACACACACACAGGCACATGTGTACACACATGCACACATACACTCTACCACACACACAAAGGCACATGTATACACATGGACAAACACATACACCCTGCTACACACACACACACACAGGCACATGTGTGCACACACATGCACACTACATCCTGCTCTAAACACACCCAGGCACATGTGTACACACCCATCCACACATACATCGTACTCCACACACATAGGCACGTGTGTATACACAGGCACACCTACATTCTACTCCCCACATACATACACAGGCACATGTGTGCACACACACCCACACATACATCATACTCCACACAGATAGGCACATGTGTGCACACAGACACATGTATATTCTACTCCACACACACACAGGCACATGTGTACACACACACATCCTGCTCCACATACACACAGGCACATGTGTGCACATACACACACAGGCACATGTGTGCACACACACACACCCTGCTCCACACACACACACGCACATGTGTGCACACACGCACACCCACTGCTGTCCTGCCTCCCTGCTGCTCGCCCTTCAGCCTCCCCTGATGGAGGTCTTTGGGGCGTCTACGCAGCAGCGCCCGCCCGCCCTGAGCCCCCTGCCAGGGGCACTGCTGGTCTGTGCACGGCACGTGTGTGTCTGGTCGGTGGGGACCAGGGTGCCCGCATCTCTTCCCAGCCCCTGGGCTCCAAGCCTCAGTCTGAGCACCCCGGCCCAGGGCTCTCACGGCTGCCGCTCTTGCCGCCCTGCGTCCACACCTCAGGCTGCTGTCCGCTCCGTCCGTGCCCTGGTTAGCGGGGCCTGAGTCCCGCTCCTCCCTTTCCGCTCTTCGAGGTGTGGGTGGTGCAGTCAGTCACGGGCTGCAGGGCCCTCCCCACTTCTCTGCCCTCGCTTTTCGTGCGGGGCACAGAGCCTGGGGGCCGCGGCCTGGAGCCCACGCTGCGGCGCTGGGCGTGGAGGGAGATCAGGGCGGGAGGGCCTCGGGGTCCGGGGTCTCCATGGGGGCTGAGGGGGTTGAGTCTCGCTTTCCAGGTGCAGGAGGACCTGGGGTCACAGGTGGTCTTGCTGGCCCTGGGGAGCCACCTGTGCCGACCCGGGAGAGGCAGCGGACGGGAGGTGCCAGCCGTCCTCAGGCCCTGGGGCCTCTGCCCCGGCATCTCAGCCCCAGGACAGCCGGCCACCCGCCTGCATGCCTCATGTGGCAGAGCTTACTCTGTGTTCCATGAAAGACGACACGCGAGATTGTTAGAGTAACTGTGTCAGATGAAGTGTGTTCCTGTGAGCGTGAGTCAGGCCCCTTTAGGGTTGCCTGCAATTTGCTTTGTCTTGCTGAAAACAGCATTTTCCCCAAAGACTCTGGTGCGAGGGCCATTACAAAACGTGATTCATTTTGCATGAGCTCTGTGGCGCTCGGCTCTAGTGAAGAATTTATGGGCTGCTGTGAAGGCGGCATCTCCAAGTCACGGTCCCAGGGAGCCCGGCCTCCCGGCTCGGGAGGGGCTTGGGTCCCGCGCGGAGCCTGGGGCGGGTGGCTCCTGCCTGCACTGTCCCTGGCTGCACTGTCCCCTGGCTGTCCCACACTGGACCCAGCGCACAGGGCCCGTCCAGAGCCCGGCACGACTTTGCTGGTGGTCTCCTCGGGCTCGTAAAAGGGGGGGGGGACAGCAGGAGGTGCGAGCTCAACACAGCAAAGGACCTGCACCCAGACCCCTGAGAGGAAGGCAGCCAGCTCAGCGGAGGGCACGCTAGACGTGCGGGCTTTACACAGACGTCATTCACTGCGTTTTACGTGTCACAGCCGATTACACCTTAACAATAAGACTGAAGGGCACTTCGGAGTCGGGGAGAGTCAGAAGGAGAATAAACACACGGGAAGGTCAGACCCCTCCCGCGCCCCAGGAAATCCACATCCCAGGAAAATGCAAGGCTGCCCACCGAGGGTGCCGCGGAGCCCCAGCTGGTGAGGATGTGGGCAGTGGCCACTTCTCCGTGGCCTGCAGTCACCTCTCCGTGACAGAACGTCACGCCCAGGCCCTCACCCTAGAGGACCGCGGGCACGCGGCCCAGGGTGTCTGCGTGTGATGGCCCCACGATGGGCCTGGCTCGGACCAGCCGTGGGACAGTCAGAGAATGAGACATCACGCAGCTACGGCAATGAGCCACGTGGAGCCACAGGCCACACGGTGGGCGATCTAACACCCAAACACGAAGTATCTGCAATACAAAAGTCAAGAATACCAAGAAGACACGTACAAAAGGAGGCGGGCCTGACAAACGCACAGATGACTTCCTGCGCACCCCACACCCTCTGCCCGGGACAGGGCACTGCCCCCTGAGAGGTGTGGCCCACTTCCTACCCTTTGCCCCCGGGCAGGCTCGAGACTGGGTGGGAAGCCGCTGGGCACATTCCAAAGTGAGGTCACCCACAAACCACCCTTCAGGGACATTCTCCTGGAGCCGAGCCACGTCGCCTCCAAGATCCCGACTGGCCACAGGGAAGGTGCCCTCTCGGGCACTGGGGACTGGGCGCCTGGCAGCCCCGGGCATAGCGGGACCCCCAGTCCAGCCCCGGGGACCGCCGCCCCCGTCCAGCCCCGATCCCTCTGAGGCCGTGGCACGCCTGAGGCAGGGGACTGAAGCGCTGCACAGACCCACACGTTGTGGAAGGAGGCGGGGGGCGGTTAGGGGGAGCCCGGTGTCTCCCGGGGGGTGTGGGTCCGGAAGCCTCCCCTGTCCCTCGGCTGGCTCTGGATCCCTCTACTCTTTGTACAAACCAAGAAGAAAATGAACGCAGAAAGAAGAAAATGCAATCCCGGAAATTGAAAACAAGCTAAAACAAAAGAACCTAATTATGTATCAAGTTGGTGACAAGACCCCTGGGGGGAAGAAAAGCCTTCTTCCCCGTGACTTGAGAGTGCAGTGTTCGCCTGTTTATCTTCCATGGAAAATGATAGAAGGGAGGTATCTTTGTGGTGCAGGGCGGGGAGGGGTGGTCCAGGGAGACCAGGAGACCCTCCAGGAGTGGCGGGGGAGGGGAGCCGAGGGAGAAAGCAGGGAGAGCGAGAGCGGATTGTGGGCGGGGGGTGGGGGTGCTCTGAGGCCGTGATGGCTGGGCGAGGCGTCCTTTGGGGGACCACACTCGGCAGGGGCTATGGTGCTCAGCCCTCTGTCCCCCCACCCCCAGGGCCGGCACAGGCTGACCCATCTGCAGCCCCGAGATTCCCAGCGACGCTCTGTCCCCTCCTGCCCCCCGGAGCCTGACGAAGGTCCCCCCTCCCGTCCTACCCTCTGCCTGGTCCCCATGTCCATGCCCGGTGCCTCTCCCAGGGCCTCTTGCCAAGCGTGTGCCAGCCAGGCCCCCGGAGGTGCCAACACGCCCGCAGGAGGGCGTGTCCCTCGGCCCCGCCCGGCCCCTCTCCTCGGAACCCAGGCTGGTTTGCACTTGGATGGGGCGCTCTGCCCAGACGTCCACCTCGGGGCTCCCATCACGGCAGCTCCTTGGGATTCCTCCCGCTCTCGACCAGAGTTTGGAAGGGCCCCCCTCCACCCTACCTTGCTCCCCACAGTGCTCACCCTGGCAGACCCACATGCTCTGCCTCTCCCTCTCCCCGAAGATGCAGAGGGCAGGGTCTGTGCCTTGACCTGAGTCTGGGTCTCTCGGTCTCACAGCCCCCAGGCCGGGCCCCAGCAGGGACACAGAGGGGACCCCGGGGGGCCAGAGAGACACATGCCCCCAAGCAGCCGGGCCCCCAGGAGCTGACTCCAGCCCCCAGCTGCCCCTCTGGGCGGGGCTTAGGAGCGCAGGGCTGGGCTGAAAGCGTCCGCCCTTTGTGCCTTTGAGGGAGAGGGGGACAGAGTGGGACAAGTTCAGGTTCCTGGGCCCCGTGTGCTGTGTTTAGAAATGTCAGTGTGAGCCGCGCAGTCCTGTCTGACTCTGTGACCCCACGGACTGTGGTCCACCAGGCTCCTCCATCCATGGGATTCTCCAGTAAGAACACTGGAGTGGGCTGCTGTTTCCTTCTCCGGGGATCTTCCCCACCCAGGGGTCGAACCCGGGGCTCCTGCATTAAAGGAGGATTTTTTTATTGTGTGAACCACCAGGGGCTTCTGGGGCGTTGGGGGCTGTGTTTAGAGGGGTCTCATAAGTAGCTTATGTAACTATAAGGAAATTTTAAAAAGTCAATCCCTAAAAATTGGAAACAAAAGCAAACTACCTGCTCAGAGGCCCGCCGTGAAGCCTGCAGCTGCCCAACGGGGACTGTTTCGAGGGGAGATTGAGCACCTGGTGACTGGGGCCCCGGAGTGGAGTGGAAGCAGGATAGCAAAGCTGGGCAGCGTGCCAGCCGCTGCAGCGGGCGCCCCCACGCCGGGGCTCGGTGTGACTGTCGGGGGCGCTGGGGGCAGCTGCGCTCAGGATGGTCTTGTCCAGAACCAGGGTTTTCAGTGCCAAGAAGTCTTGAAGACACGTGCGGTTTAGTGGACGTCCACGCTGGCCGGGCCTGTCGGTGTGTACACAGGGAAAGCGGTGAGGCCACGGTCTCCCTGGAAAGCCTCCTGGTTCACAGCCTGTAGAGGGGTGGGCTGGAAGGACCAGAGTGCTGGGAGCGTAACTGTTTTCTTGGGCGGCGGGGGCCACGGTGAGCGCCCTGCCCAGGACTGAGACATCTCACTAGCGAGGCCGGGCCAGCCCACAGTCCAGGAACCCTCGCGGGCAGTCAGAAGGGGGGCATGAGGTCTCCGGAGCTTTTTGCTGGGTATGCGGGGACTCGGGTGGGCACACGAGGGTGCTGGGGATGAGGCCACTGGCCCGCCCTCCCTGAAGCAGCTCTCAGCACCGCCCACGGTGGGACATCGGGGGCCCTGGCCTCCCTGGGCCGATCTCCCCAGCGCTGAGCAGCCTTCTGGCCTGCGCCTGGTCCTTTCTGGACATCTGTTTCCCACCCCAGGCCTCCCAGTCCTGAGGTCTGTCCGGGCTCCAGACCGCCGTCCCCTCTCCTGAATGCTGTAAGCCAGCACCCCCAGGAAGAGACAGTTCTGTTCCCTTAAAAAAATAAGTCTACATTTACTAAGAGCCTCATATTCTGACCTAGCGATCTAGATCACCATGATGGTTTTCTCACTCCATTTAGCTTTTGTTTTACTCGATATTTTAATTACCAAAGCAGTGTTTGCTCATCGTAGCACACCAAACAGGATAATGAAAAAGTTAGCCAGCTTCATCCTGGCCTTAGACCTATCTCTCTGAGGTACAGCGTTAGAAGTCGGGTTATTATCTCTGTACATTTCTCTACATGTGTGCAAAAGCGCACACAATTCAAATCACACAAGAGTGAGCTCTTTTCTGTCTTGTTGTTACTTTTAAATAAAACCAGACCTCTACTGTGCCCAGGGCTCAGAACAATTTTTTTTTCCTCTTAATACACTCCTCTGACTGCTCCTGAATCATGCCTTTTGCTAAAAGCAAATACATTCAGAGGATCTTTTGAAAGTGACTGTACACCAAAAATATGAAAACCAGCTATTTTGTGTGGTTTAACCTAATAGCTGGAGTTCTGTCTCTGCCAGCCTGCTCTGACACTTTACAGGCGTTAAACAGTTATTTCAAGAGCTACTGACCGTCTTCAGTGGACCCTGCTGAGCAGTCTTCAGCATCGCGGCTACAAAGGGCGCACAGCTCCACTTGGGCCTTGAGGATTCGGGAGACACAGACTCGGGCGGGACCAGAGCAGCGTTCTGGGAAGAGAGTCAGGGCTACAAAGACAGAGAGCCATGAGGCTGTCCACACCGCCTGGTGAGAACGGTGACTGACTCAGTCTTTGAGGAGCCGTGAGTGGATCTAGGTTGAAGGGTCCCATGAGTATCTTAAATTTCTGGCAGATGTTCTGGATGCTTCTGTCAGGACAGTAAGTGTCCAAAGGGCAGATTCCTCCCAGGCAGAAGCATGCCCGAGTCTTCTTCCTCAGTGGCCACTGGGCTCCATTTGAGAGACTCTGAGCAACACCGAGTTCATTTCCGTTTTCCTTCCACAGCCTGGACCATCTGTTCAACATCCAAGGGTGGACAGACTATCTTCTACTCAACATCCAAGGGCAGATGGACAGTCTACTGAAAGTCTAAGGATGGATGGACCATTTAGTCAACATCTAAGGTCGGACAGACCATCTTCTACTGAACATACAAGGGCAGGTGGACCATCTACTCAATATCCAAGGGTGGATGGACCGCCTTCTATTCAACATTTGCTCGCCGTGGATACTCAGGACATTTCCACATCAATCCAATAAATGCCCTTAAACATTTATCATCGTGTGCAAGTGCCAATATCTCTGCATGATAAATTCTCCAAGGTGTGATTGCTGGGGAAACACACCCACCTCTAGTCGGCTTGGTCAGATGCCCTCTCAAGAGGCCGCTTCTGTCCTTGTTTCCCCTGAAGCCTCTGTGGGCACTGGCCCCCACACCCTGCTCAGTGCTGGACGTGCAGGGTTGAATGTGTGTGTCTCCGAGGGGAGCACACGGGCCTCTGTGACAGGCTGAGCTGGGCTTCCCCAATGCCAGGGCGACTGTGCGTCTTTTCAATCTTTGCGGATTGTTACATTTTCTTCGGTGAGCGGCTGGCACTGACTCTTGACTAGTTTCCCACCAGATGTCTTGCGTCCTGCTCAGGCCAGGAGCCCACGGTGTCGGAGGAGCAGACCCTCCACCCCACGCGCAAGGCAGGCTCCATCTCGAGCTCTTGGCAGAGACCAACCCCGCAGGGGGCAGGAAGGAGGAACACGGGGGATTCTAGGAACACGGGGTCCAGGGGCTAAAAACTACTGCAAATGTTTAGACAGCATCTACAGTGCTATCAGAGAGACCAACACACTCGCAGAAGTACAACAAAAATCAGGTGTCACCAAAAAGAAGCAGACGATGATTAAAAAAACCTATGAGAAATGAGAACCATGATTCCCTCCATCTCAATGCAAAATACTAGAACAAGGCTCATCCATGGTGTGAACGTGGCTCAAGATCAAATCAGTGGACTGAGCTGGTCCGCTCAGGACAGGGCCACGGACGCTCAACCCACAGATCCTGTGGGCCAGGATCTGGCACTTCTCTGGGATTTGCAGGAGAGAAAAATGGAGAAAACAATCAGATACATCACAAAACTTCTGAGAGGTGAAGAGACACAGACTGTCAGCTTTGACTCAATGTGGACTAAAGAGGTTCAGATGGGAATCCAACCTGGGACCACTTCATGCTCTGGTCTGCATCCCGTCGGAAGGTCGGGTGCCAGGGACAGTGTCCCATTGTCTTCCAGGGAGGATGGACACTCCAGGGAGGAGTAGGACAAGCGTGCCTCAGACTCTGGGTGGAGATGCTGGACACCAGAGACACAGTGAGCCCGGGGCAGGGCTGGCATCCAGCTCGGACTTGACCGCTTCATTTCCAGGCCAGTTTCTTAGAAATCCGCTGGCTCAGGGGCACAAAAGGACGTGTACAAGGTGCTCTCGGAAACAGTTTATATGAGTGGGAAACTGTAACACAAGTATCCATGTGCAGGGAAAGGTAAAAAGTTACGCTGGATTCACAGGAGTCAGCAGCATGTGGGTGTTTAGAGGAAGAAGCAGCGCTGTGTGAGCAGGTATGGACAGGTCATCAAGACAGCAAGTGCATGATTATGCAACAGTAAAATTCATCTCCACTTAGAAGCATTTTCACACACACAGGCATGTACTCGTACATATACACATATGTACACACACACAGACACACCCCCCCACACACACCACACAAGGGGTCAGGAGAACAAACACAGAACTGTGACCAGACCACTTCTGAGGCCACCAGTGACCTGCGGGGGTGGCAGATGTGCCCTTACTTTCTATTTAGTAAACTTCTACATCGCTTAAATTTTATGCTGTGAAAAAGCCTAGTCATAATTGCAAAACTCTCCAATAAACTCCACCTTCAACTCTGACGAGGACTCCAAGACTCAATCTGCCCTAGGGATAGTGTTTGAGAAGTCCAAAGTCTTATTGAAAAATACTGCAAATTAATAGCAAGTTCAAATCCAAAAATGATTGCTGCACGTGGGCAGTGAATTCCTTGTTATTGAAACTCTTGGGTCTCCTTTATTTCCAGATGCATTTTTCATACAGAATATGAACAGCTAACTCTTTACAAAATGTTGTGGTTTTTAAGTTTAAAAAAGTGCCTTTCTGTATAGAGTCTGGCAACAGAATACAACAGAATCCCATCCAAATTAAATGTTTTACTGTGTTCAGTTCTGTAATGAGAGGCTAGCAGAACCAATGGGACCAGGGTGGTTTAACTTACATGCGAGAAATCCAATCCGGTGTGCTTTCAAATTCATGCAATACCCGTGGATGTGACGATGTCAGCTCCAGGGGGACTTCACAGCCCATAATACTCCGCTGGCTTAAAACCCAGCAACAGGAACTACCCGGCCTCGGAGGTTTGGGGAAAGTAACCCTGAGTAGTGATGGCAAAGGATCCAGTGCTGACACATGTTGAAATTAAAAGAGAAAATGAAATATAAGCGCTAACATTCCCAACAGGTGGGCATGATGATGAGCTGGCAGCAGGGCGGTGCCCACGGGGATGCCCAGTGTCTGCTGAAGGGCCTGCTCCGTAGCTCCTGCTGGGTCTGTCAGTCTGCCTGCAGTGGGAGCTCAAGGGAGACCCCCAGACCCGCCTCCTCGGGTGCAGGTGAGGGTCACTGGAAGACGTCTTCAAGCTCCTGGTGGTTGTTCAGCCTGTGGCTAAGTCAGGAAAGCCTGGCTTCTTCCCTCAGGGCCCAGCCCGCTCCTACCCTGGGATTTGGGTGGAAAAGGCCCCGGTTCAGCCTCAGCTTGCCCTGCGGGCAAGGGGGGGGCTCAGGCCGCCGTCTGGTCGGTCCAGGCGCCCCAGGCAGTGGGTCCTGAAGAGTCTCAGGGCACAGGTGACACCACATTCCCACAGAGCCCAGGACACCCTCCTCGTCCCTCTATAAATGCAGAGGACAAACCAGCCAATCCTAAAGGAAATCAGTCCTGAATAGTCATTGGAAGGACTGATGCTGAAGCTGAAGCTCCAATGCTTTGGCCTCCTGATGTGAAGAACTAACTCACTGGAAAAGACCCTGATGCTGGGAAAGATTGAGGGCAGGAGAAGGGGACGACATAGGATGAGATGGTTGGAGGGCATCACTGACTCGATGGACATGAATTAGAATAAGCTCCGGGAGTTGGTGATGGACAGGGAGGCCTGGCGTGCTGCAGTCCATAGGGTCGCAGAGTTGGACACGAGCGAGCAGCTGAACAACAACAAAACGCGCGTGCAGGGGCCCCCCAGGCCTGCGGCTCCCCCCGGCTCAGCTCCTGGGCCCCTGGCCGGCTGTCTGGAGGCACCTGAATGCCAAGTCCTGCTGCTGCAGGCGTGGTCCTGTGCCCAGTGTCACATGCCCCCGGGCACCCAGGGGGCAGCAAGCGATCACGCCCCCCTCGCTCTTCAGTCCCCACTCCACGGGGAGCCTGGGCTGGCCGGATGGCGCCGTGAGCCCCTCCGCTGCCCTCAGGGCCGGCCTGGCCTTCGAGCGCATCCAGAGGTCTGCCCAGTGTGCAAGCAGGGAAGCCTGGGGCCCCGCTGTGTCTCTGGCTCCGCCTCCCGGGCCGGCACCGGGCGGGCGTCGTGGGCTCGCCCAGCCCCCGCGGGTGGCTTGCCCTCCACTGCAGCCAGCCGCGCTTCCTTCCTTCCTGTCACAGTTGGAGGGCCGTGTGCAGGCGTTCTTCTGGCCCGTTTTGTGCTGAATGGCTGCTGACGGGCCTGCTCTGGCCTCTCCCGCTGCCTCCTGTTTTCCGGCCGCATCTCTGACCGGCGGGACCTGCCCTTTGGACATGTGGGAGGGGGGCAGCTGCCCTGCGAGGCCTTTCGGGGGCCTGGGTGGGGCATGGGGGGTCACTGGGGCCCTTCTCCCCGCAGGCCCCTCTCTGCTGCTCCTCCAGCCTCCGTCGCCCTGTCACCCCAGGACGTCCCCTGGCTCTGAGAGCATCACAGGCCTTTGGCACCAAAGAACTGGGGGGGCCTGAGCCTCAGAGTCCCGTCTGATGGGACCTGATGGACGTGCGTCCCCTGGGAGCCGCAGGAGAGCGGAGGCCCCCTCCCTCAGGCCCACGTCCTGGGGAGCAGGCTGGTGGGGGAAGGCCCTGCGGGGCCCTAGGGGGCAGTGTCCGTGAACAACCGGATGCCGCCTCCCCGAGCTGCGCGTGCTCTCACTTAGCAGGAAAAATATGCTATAAATTTGCCATTACAACAAAGTCAGCATGTCTTTTTTATTAAGAATGTCACGGAGCCGATTATTTGTGTTTCTGTAGCAGCTGTGTGCATCGGTCCTTTAGCACAAACAGCAGTCCCCCTCCACCGCAGAAAGAGCACGTGCCGGTTTGAAATGAAGCCGAGCAGCTGAGAGCTGACCGTTCCCGGAGGACGAGGACTGAGCGAGGCAGAGCCTCCGTGGGAGGCACCCACGCCCTCGGGTTTCCAGACGGAAACAGTGAATCCCTGCCTGCAGACATGAACAGGGTATGGAGGACTCCATGCCGGGGAGCGATGGTGGGTGGGCACTGTTCCCCTGCTCGTCCTGAAGTGCCACGACCGCCGTGACCACCGTGACCCCGGCGGGGACAGGGACCTGCAGGCGGGCTCTGCGAGGTGCGTGCCCCCGACTGGGGAGGAGTGGGCCAGGAGGAGGCTCCTCTGCTGTCCTGGTGGGCCTGTCCTTCCCCCGAGAAAACTGTGGGCCCACCACGTGAGCTTGGTACTGTAGGCGCAGTTGACAGGCAAAGAATCACCAGGAAAGGGAACGACACCCACTTAGCTGGGCTGCCTCCCCGGGCAGAGCCGTCAGAGCTCTGTCGCTTTTGCTGGAGGACGCACTCCTTGCTAACGCCAGAGCTGTGGTCTTGGTCCCATATTGACGTGTGCGATTCCTTGTGGGACAAATGTGCCAGCCTTCTCACCCAAGTGGGCTCTGCATTCACCCTCGACCCCCACCCTCTCACCCAGCCGGTTAGGTCCTGACATCCCCCCAGAGGCCCTCATCATCTGCACCATTGCCAAATCCTCATTTACCATCAGTTCAGATTTGTCCCAGGATCACAAGGGCAGCTAAGACTGTTGGCGGCGTGTCAGGCTGGGCCTGGGGCTGGTGTGCAGGAGTCGTCTTATCTAACGTTCTCCCGGGGCTTCCCGGGGCTCCTTCCTCCAGCTCATGGAGTCTTCAGTGATAATTGGGTGATGCAGCCACACGCCTTTCTTCCCTGCCGACGGCGCTCCTCAGGGCGGGTCCTGTACTCATGTGCTCTCAGCCACTGACTAGGGTCCAACATGGGGTGGAAACCCAGGGGCTGACTGGCCGACGAGAGGAAGGATACAAGATGAAACGGATAGATGCTTCATCCTGTCTCTAGCTCCTTCACAAGGAGGCGGTCACGCAAAGTAAGAGTTGACTTGCAGCAGCCGTGGGCGTCCAGTGTAAGGAACATGCTCTGGCTCTGACCAGGCCGGGGGCAGCTCAGGTGGACGCCGCTGGGCCAGCGACCAACGTCCAGGCGACATGAGGCTGACAGATGTGCAGATGGATCTCAGCGCGGGGCTCTGGCGGCCTGCGGCTTCCTGTGCTGGCTAGGACGGCTGGGGCTCTAAACACCTCTCAGGGGAGTCCATGGTGTGAGAGCCCGCCAGGCACTAGGCCAGCGGAGCGTCCTGGACACACGGGGTCTGCCCTGTCCCTCGAGGCTGCTTCGTGGCTAAATGAGTTAAGGCCATTGACCTCCATCTGCAAGGATTTCCCGTCCCTGGTTCTTCATGGTTGCAAAGCGGCCTCTGGAGCTCCGGATGTGGGCCCATCTCCCTTCTTCGGAGCCTGTGTGGTGCTTGCCTTCTTGTGTTGACTTGGCTGGGCCGTGGTGCCCATTTCTTGCGTCGAAGGTTGCTGTGAAGGTAGTTTTCGGTTGTGACTGACATGGAAACCAGTGGACTCTGAGTAAAGCAGATGAGCCCAGTCCTGTGGGTGGGTTCCTCCAGCCGGGTGAAGGCCTCAGGAGCAGAGGTTTCTCCTGGAGCCTGTAACACAGACACCCACTGGGGCCCCCACCCAGCTGGTCTGCTCTGCAGAGTCCAAAGTAGCTCCGGCGTGCCCTGAACCAGCCCCTGGGAGTCTGAGTGTGAGTGTGAGCACTGATGAGTGTGAGCACTGATGAGTGTGAGCACCGGGGGCTCTGGTTCTCTGCAGGGGCCTGGCCAGTTCAGCCCTGAGTCCACCCGTGTCCTTGCCCAGAGGGTCTGAGCCTGTCACACGGCCATGCCTGGCTGCTCCGCAGGTCTGGAGCCTGGGGGTCTCACCTGTCCTACCTGCGAGGTGCAGGGGAAAGGGCGGGGCTGGGGGGGTCTGAACTTCCATGGCCTGAAGTTCAGATGTCGGGGGTCGCACAGGACCACGAAGTCCAAATTGTCCCCATCTCCTCCCATGACCCGTGAGCTGCTGTCAGGTCTGTTTCCTTGTCTGTTTCCCGCACAAAAGCCCTGTGCTCCTAGAGCACATGGTGACGACCATGAAACTCACTGGGGATGTGGGGCCGTGCCTGCTGGAGTGGGAGCTGCTGCAGAAGCGGGGGTGCCCCACATGTGGGAAAGTGGCTCCAGGGGGCCCCTGCTGTGGCAATGAGGATGGCCAAGCATCAGATGGCCCCTCACACCTCCGGATGATGGCAAAGGCGTGTGAGCACGTGGATGGCTCGAGGGCCAGGACTGTGCTTCCTGAGCTGTCCTGGGGCTCCCCCGGCCCTCCAGCCAGAAACACGGCAGGTGCGGGGAACCACAGGCTGCAGTGACCACCTCTGTCTACTGCCGACTGTCCCAGGCCAGTCCTTTGTCCCAGCGAGGGCAGGGTGTGTGTGCATACACACATGAGGTGTGCATGTTTGTACACATGGCGTATGGGCATGAGTGGGTGCATTCATGTGTGTATATAGTACCCGATATGTGCACCTAAGTGTAGGTGTGTGCACATGTGAGTGCATGTGGATGCATGCATCCATGTAGGTGTGTGCACATTTGAGCATGTGTGGATGGGTGCATCCGTGTAGGTGTGAGCACGTGTGAGCGCGTGTGGATGGGTGCATCCATGTAGGTATGAGCACATGTGAGCGCATGTGGATGGGTGCATCTGTGTAGGTATGAGCACATGTGAGTGCGTGTGGATGCATGCATACATGTAGTTGTGAGCACATGTGAGTGCATATGGATGGGTGCATCCTTGTAGGTGTGAGCATGTGTGAGTGTGTGTGGATGGGTGCATCCGTGTAGGTGTGAGCACGTGTGAGCGCGTGTGGATGGGTGCATCCATGTAGGTATGAGCACATGTGAGCGCATGTGGATGGGTGCATCTGTGTAGGTATGAGCACATGTGAGTGCGTGTGGATGCATGCATACATGTAGTTGTGAGCACATGTGAGTGCATATGGATGGGTGCATCCTTGTAGGTGTGAGCATGTGTGAGTGTGTGTGGATGGGTGCATCCGTGTAGGTGTGAGCACGTGTGAGCGCGTGTGGATGGGTGCATCCATGTAGGTATGAGCACATGTGAGCGCATGTGGATGGGTGCATCTGTGTAGGTATGAGCACATGTGAGTGCATGTGGATGCATGCATACATGTAGTTGTGAGCACATGTGAGTGCATATGGATGGGTGCATCCTTGTAGGTGTGAGCACGTGTGAGTGTGTGTGGATGGGTGCATCCGTGTAGGTGTGAGCACGTGTGAGCGCGTGTGGATGGGTGCATCTGTGTAGGTATGAGCACGTGTGAGCACGTGTGGATGGGTGCGTCCGTGTAGGTGTGAGCATGTGTGAGCACGTGTGGATGGGTGTATCTGTGTAGGTGTGAGCACATGTGAGTGCATGTGGATGCATGCATACATGTAGTTGTGAGCACATGTGAGTGCATGTGGATGGGTGCATCCTGGTAGGTGTGAGCACGTGTGAGCACGTGTGGATGGGTGCATCCGTGCAGGTGTGAGCACGTGTGGATTCACGCATCTGTGAATGTGAGCATCCGTTGCACACCTATAGGTATCGCCTGGGTGCCTTCTCCCAGCTCCTCTCCTGTCCCCGGGGACCAGCGGCTGGGTCTGTGGTGGGGACGTTGTTTCTCTCCCCTAAGCCTTAGGGGCCAGTTTTCCCCAGACATCTGGACAAATTGGGCTGGCTCCGCTGGGGGCGACCATGTCCCTGAATTGACTTGCTTCTCCGGAAAGAAAGCTTCTGTGTGCTTGTAATGAGGGGCTTTTCCTAAAGAAAAACAGCAGCAGCGGCAGGAGCGCACGTGGGTTCTGTAAACTTGTAATCGCAGGTGTCAAACAGCGAGCAGCATTTTCCCGGGAAGACAGAAGCCCTGGGAAATACCAGGGTGCGGGGGCTGAAGCCGTGTTTCCTTGACAGAAGTTAATTCTGAACTAAGTATTCCAGGAAAGAAAGCGGGGGGACGTTTTTACACGTCTGTCATTTGTCCTTGGAGGGCATGGAACAAATATGTTTCTTAACACGCAACACCAGCATTATTCCGGGTGCCTCGGGCTATATGCTGTTTTCCAGTCTGCAGGATTGCAGGCGAAGAAAACAACTCTGCATTAAGAGGAACACACAGTCCAGGCCGATCATAACCACGTGGAATCAGACCCTGCCAGCCGAGAAAGGTGTCTAGGCGGGAGACCGCGAAGACGGGGGTGGGGGGGGGTTCCTCATCTCTCCCCGCTCCCCTCGCTTCCAAGGCCCAGAGGCCCCCAGCTGTGTGTGGGCCCCGCCTGACCTTGGCTGTCTCCTGTGGGTGGGTCCGCCTCTTACTGGGGCTTGGAGCCACGCCCACACCTGCTCCTCAGGAGGAAGCTGGGGCAGCTCCCGGGGGAGGGAGGGGGCGGAGCTGCTGCCCCCTGGCCTCTGGCTGGGAGCTGCCCCTGGAGGCTCCCTCTTCTCCCGAGGACCAGGCCTCCAACTGTGGGCCGGGGCCAAGTCCCAGCCCTCTCATCCCGGACTCACCTGGTGGCCTTGCTGGGGGGTGTCCAGGGGGCCTGCCTCCCTGGCCCTCAGCCCAATCCCCGTCTGGGCCGTGGCCTGGCCACCACTCAGCTCTCCAGCCTGGAGGGCAGGGGACAGACAGGTTCTGGGGCCTCAGTCCCTGGAGAAGCTCACTCGACTACATCCAGATGGGACGTCTGACCCTTGTCTCAGAACTGTCCCCGAGGGACACTGCAGGTGGCCTGACAGACCGAAGCTGGACAGTGGACCCTTGGGACCCACCTGTGTGGTCCTCAGCGCCAGACCTCAACTGCTCACCTCTGTCAACACCCCGAGGGGTGCAGCCTGGGCAGGCAGAATGGTTTCCCTCGACTTTGTAATTCAGATCAGCACACACATGCACACACATGCACATAGGCTCCCTACATGTGCACACACACCACACACGTGAACACACCACACACATAAGCACACGTGCACTCGCAAGTACACACATGCATGCAGGCTCCCTGCACATGCACTACATGTGTGTACACATATAGGCACATGCCACACATGGGAAAGGCCCCACATGTGAACACACATGTACATGCATGCAGGCTCCCTATATGTGCACACATCACACATGGAAACACACCGCACACATGAGCACACACATGTGCACACACCACTGGCACATGAAAACACCATACATATGCACACACCACATGCACACACACAAACACACCACACACATGTACACCACACATGCACGCGCACACACACCATGCCTTTCAAGGAGCCCCAGTGGATCTCCTCGTCATGAGAAGTCTCCCCTAAGATGACCGAGTCACCGGAAGTCCCTGTGGGTGCCCCTGAGCAGGAATTGGAACCTGGGCTCTGGGCCGGCGCCACTAATGGTGCAGGGTAAAGCCCACCCTGCCCTCACCAGTTCAGCTCATGAGAACACTCTTCATGATGTGGTTTCTCAGCAGACTCATTGCTCTGTTTGCAGGTCATAGTGGTCAGGGTCTCTTCCTGTGACCTCTGGTCCAGCTGGAAGGGCGGGTTACTGAGGCTGATGCCTTATTAAGTGGACTCCCCACCTCACAGCGCCTTCTCTGGGGCTCAAGTCAGGCCCAGGGTGCCTGCTCCCCGCTCAGCTCCTGCCTATAAATATCGGCAGTGGCAGTTCCCCTGTCAGCACAGCTGATGGACGGTCCTCACCTGCCATTACGGCCTGGGACTGCGCGGAAATTAATTTAAGTGGTAGTTAATTTCTAATGAATTCCACTCAAGCGGTTAATACGGTCTCTGGGTGTTATGGTAACCTTCACGGATCACTGCTTTATGTAAATAAATTCTACTTTATGCTGGTTTATTAGAAAAGAGAGTGAGATTGGGGAGTCTGACTGGATCTTGTCTGCAAACGTGCACAGTGAACCCTCTGCAGGAACTTGGTTTAAAAGGGAGGAGGGGACACCCATCAGACTTCTTCTGGGTGCTGAGATCCCTGGGTGCTAAGCCACCCGTCTCCATGCTCTGGGCAAATATCTCCAATTCCTGTATGTTCCAAGGAGGAAGAAGAGGAGAGCTTTCTCCTTAAAAACCCTTGCAAGCTCAATGGCAGATGCGTGAGAAGATGGCCTCTGAGGCCTCCATCTGAGGCTGCAGCCCGCTGGGAGGCTGCCTGGGCAGAAGGAGTGAAAGGCTCTCGGGGACTCAGTTCCACCTCTCTTTGCAGGGGGTAGGGGCTTCCGCGCCCCCGAGGGGATGAAGGGGAGGATGACTCTTCAGTGACTGCCCGGGTCTGTGTGCAGAGGCCATGAGGCAGGGGCTGGACCTGACAGTGTAGCTGGCAGCCGGCACCCAGGCGCGTCTGGAGTTTACACAGATGACCTGGGGTCACCCGTCTGTTCTTCTAGCTCAGATGGCCCTTCCGGCACTCCAGATGAACAGCTTCAGTGACAGGCATTGATTTCTCACGGTCCTGGGAGCTGGACGCCTAGCCCGGGGTGTCAGTGGACTCTTCCCAGGCCCTCACCCCAGCACCCCACCCTCGTCACCCCATCTAAGCGTGCTCCCCCAAAGCCCTGCCTCTGACCACCACACTGGGGTGAGGGTTTCCAGGTGAGGTCAGGGGGCCATGGGCGTCCGGTCGGTCCCGCTGCAGCGCGCCTGCCTTGTGTCTCCCCAGCTCCGCGCTCCCACGCGGTTCTCGCCCCTGGGGCTGTCTCCCTCGTGGGTCGGGGTCTCCCCCACCATGGCCGTCGGGCGCGGCCGTGGCAGAGTCCTCTCAGAGTCCTCGTATCTCACATGGGCAGCTGGCTGGCCAGACTGATGCCTGAGCTTCTCGCTAGCCTCCCCCTGAGCAGTGTCTTCCCGCCGGCCTCGCTGATCTTGCTACGTGGCCACTGCAGGCTCCCAGGGCGGGTGTCCAGGAGGTGCCTGGAGGAGCTGGGTCCCTGGGAGGACGCTCTGGCCAGAGCCTGATGTGGCTGCCCCCTGACCCTGGGCCTCCCGAGCTGAGAAGTCAGCGTCTGCTGTTCACAGGCCACAGCTTGTGGGTCTCTGTTAGGCAGCTTGAAAGGACTCAGACAGGCTGTCCAGAGAAACGGACCCAGAGGGACGCAGTCTAGGAACCGGCCTGTGAGAGCCAGGGGCCCAAGTCTGGAGACCGAGGGCAGCCGGCTTGTGGGGCCCTTGCGGAGGCGTGACTTTCCTGCTGCGACCACACCCGCAGGCTGGGGACCCTGGCAGGGCATCTGTGTTGGTCTTGGGCTGAGTGCCTCCTTCTTGGGGCCGGTGGACTTGGCTCCCAGGCCTTGCCCCGGTCGGGTGAGGCCCACCCACAGCAGGAGGGTGACCCACGGGACTCAGAGGCCGTGGCTTGCATGCTTGTTCCATCCGCGGGGGCCTGCTCGTCAGATGTCCAGGCCAGCGCCTGCCCCCGCCGGGGCTCACCGCCTGGCTGCCCCATGCGCCGTCTCAGCAGTGGTCAGGTGGTCACCATGGGCACCCGCAGCAGCTGCAGACCAGCTGAGGGTCTTTCCAGAGAGCAACTGGTCGGGACCCCTGACTCAGAAACTAGCCCCCAGAACCTAGAGTCTAGGTGGCACCCCTGCCGCACCAGCTCCTGGGGGCCCCGGGCCCCTGCCCCGCTCCCCACACCCTGCGTCCCTCCTGCAGTGGCCGGAGGGGGACCCTTCGCCTCCCACACCCCTAGGCACTGCACCTCCAGGCCTGGGCCGGGGAAGCACTGGGTCCACCTTCACTGGGCCATGCCGGTCACCAGGGGCCATTTCCGGAGCAGGGAGACACACGTCTGCCCCCTTACACATGACCAGACCATCCCGCCTCCCACGAGTGTGCCCAGGACTCTGTTCACTGAGACTCAGGCTTCCCGCTCCCATGGCGCCATCGGAGGACCCAGAAGCCTCAAACTAGAAACTGTTCGTGCTTTGCAGCTCTGCACGGTGTCCCCCACTCGGGGCTGATTCTGCAACTATCTGGGCTGCCACCCTACTCATGGAGAAGCCCAGGCAGGAGCCTGTCCGCCCTGCTGACTGGTGCCCCATGTCCACACCCACAGACGGCCCCCTTGCAGCTGTGGACACCCTGTGCTTCCCGCCAGCCCGCAGAGTTTATCCCCACGCGGGGATGCAGCCTCGGCCAAGGCTCGTGGTGCAGGCTTAGGGTCTTGATCAGAACATTTCTCTGACAGCCGGGCAGCTGTCAGAGAAAAATGCTTCTTATGGGATCAACTGAACTTGGGGTCACACGTCTTCTCCCGCCTGCCGCTGGGGGCCATCGCCCCCTCACGGAGAGCCTGCCTGCTCCCATGGTGCCTCAGCCCCTCATTTGGAGGGGGGAGTCCTCGATTCTCAGGTCTGGCCCCCCACCTCAGCCCGGCCTGGGAAGACCACCCCTGCCACCCTCAGCTCCCTCCAGTCCCCCACCCCGGGAGCCTGTGCTCGCGGACCCGCCCAGCACACCTGGGACCCACTCCAGGCTCTGCCCCCAGGCTTTCTGCCGCTCTGCCTGCTCTCTGGGTTCCTTCCCCTTGGGGCGTCCTGGGCTATTTCTGCCCTCTGTGACTCTCCACCTGGAAGCCTCCCCCGGCCCCCCCCACACACCTTGCTGAGCGCATCTCCCCTGCCACTATCGCGGCGAGGGGGTTCCAGCCCCACCCATGGGGGACGGGGCCGCTGACCCAGGGCTGAGGGTGGGGGCATGGTCACTCCCCCAGCTCCTTGGGATGCTGTCCCCAGCTCACAGGAGAGCTCCCCTCAGTAACTGGAGCCGAGGGCCGTTCAGAGTCCTCGCGTACAGGACAGAAGTCAGACCTTGGCCCAAGAAAACCCAGCCTACCTACATAGATACAGAAGAACCCTGAGACCAAGTTTAGTCCCTGCAGGGAGAGAAAGGGGCAGAGCTGAGGGTGAGGGAAGAACCGGCGTGGAGAACAGACCCAGCTTCCTGGAGGCCCCAACCCCCTCGCTTCCGAGCTGTGCAAATCTGGAACTTAAGATAAGTTTTTTTTTTAAAATAATGGGCAGATGTTTCTGGTAACTGAGGCTTGCGAGAAAGAAAATGACGCTCGGCCACCCTCGCCGCCCTGGTTATAACAACGTCTGCAGACCAGGTCGTGCCATCAGCACAGTGCAGGGACGACCAAGCTCGGGGCGGGGGGCGCTGAAGATAAACCCAATTTAGACAGCCAGAATAACAACCCCTGCACACAGTCAGAGATTATTCCAAACACTAAAGCGAACAGCAAGATCTGCATTTCAAAATAGTAAAGAAATCAACTTCTGAAAGCACCAAGAACTGAAAAGCCAAATAAAAAGCCTTCTAATAGAAAGTATTAGAATATCAAGCCAGCGACTATTATGGCATCTTACCGCTTACAATTCTTAGTAAGCAAGTTATACTGAAGTTCCTGCAGTGGATGAAGCCCTTCCTCATGGAGGGGCCCATTGCTCGGAGATGCACGGAAGGTTCTGGACATAGATGTGTCGTGGGCAGCTGCCAGTTGGGCATCTGCTCCCTTTCTCTCCTTCCCCCGGGCAGTAGGGCCCTGAATACAGCTACGGGCGGTATTCCTACTTCTCCTTTGCTCTCAGGGCAGTCTCTGGCAAGTAAGCAAAGTTGCTGGGTGAATTGGGGAAAGTTGCTTAAAAGGATGAAAGGGATGAGGACAAGGGGCAGCTGGTGTTCAATTTGTGCTCTAACCCTTCCATCTTTGACTGCCTGGAATGTTGGACATGATAGCTGGAGCTCCAGCCACCATACTGTGTCAAGAGGTTGCCACTAGAATAGAAATTGAGACCGAGAATCATGGGTAATGAGAGGACAGAAAGCGACAGCTGCTGTAACAGCCCACAGTGCCCTTCTGATGGCCCTTCTCCATGTATGTGGGCAAGACACTGCACACTTTGTTTATGTGTGTGTGTGTGCTAGTTCCAGCCTCTGTCTCTTGCAGTGGAGACAACACACATTTGATTCATATTGTCAAGCTATCAGACAGGACGACTGCAATGTATGAATCCATACACCTACCAAGTGTCTGGCACATTACATAATGCAAAAGAAATGGACAAATAAGTGATGAATCACAAAGTTTGATTCACTTACCAGAGAAGACTCCTTGATTCCATCATCTAAAACAACAAACTAGGTAATTGAACCAGTAAAAGTTATAAGTGAAAAACTGGCTTCGTTTTAGAATAGGTGATTCCATATCATCAACTACTGAAAGAATCATTACACCTTTAGATAGAAATCTTAGGAGAAAGACACTCTGGACTTCCTGAAAGACTGAATGAATTGCCAGTATTTCTGCACTGTGATTCATATTGTTCTTAGTATGATGGCATCACTATATAAGGAAAAACATGCATCAGTTTCTGGGGAGAAGACAATGAATCTTTCATGATGCCAGCCAGACGAAGAATCTGTCTGAGCTCCCATGTGGGAGCTGGTTGACTGGGCCCCAGAGGCTGGCCAGAGCTGGCTTCCAGACAGCTCTTTTCCTGTCTAAGTACCACATAGCCACCTTCAACTGCTCGTGCAATGCAAGACAGCGCTTTGTGTTCTGTGAATTTCTCATTTTTTTTCCTGTGCTTTTTAAAACTGAAAAATGAACCTGGAGGAAAAAGTAACTGATCTCTCATTGGAAATCACAACCACCAATTACAAAACAGGACAAAATGCCTTACACAGCAAAAAAAAAAAGTAAAAAGAAAAAAAATCATACAGACGCAGCAAAATGCCCTAAACTGAAAACAACACTTACAATATCCTACATCAACTTGTTGAAGACATCGGGGCAGAGCCACTGGCGACAGGAGCATGCCCTGCGGTTGTTGACATGAGCCACTGTCCAGATGTCCTCAAGTTTAGGACAGTGCTCAAAACAGGGCAGGCACAGGAGTCGCAGGAATTTGCCTGTAGATTCTCAGGACTTAAAGGATGATCAAGCTTGCTTCCAGGGAGAGTGCCTGGGTCTGGAGTTGGAGACAAAGACCAGCATTGAATATGGGCATCTTTTGCATGTTGAACAATTTGAATACATCATCTAGTAGTGATAATTAATTTAAATGAAAATTGTTTTCAAAAATCTTCGACACCACTTGCAGTGGATCAAATAGCACATCCCGCCAAAGCTACGTCTACTCAAAACCCGAGAATGTGACCCTCCTGGAAACAGGGTCTATGCAGACGTGATGGAGTTAAGGATGTCGCGATGAGGCAGTCCTAGAGTAGGGGTGAGAACGCATTTCTGTTGCTTGAAGCCACCAAGGCTGAGAGTTTGTTACAGCAGCCCAGGGAAGTGACACTCCCACTTTTGCGCCTAAATTATCTTGACTTCTAGTCAAGAAGATCACTTAGTAAACAATGAATGAAGTGAAGTGAAAGTCGCTCAGTCATGTCTGACTCTTGCGACCCCATGGACTGTAGCCCACCAGGCTCCTCTGTCCATGGGATTCTCCAGGCAAGAACACTGGAGTGGGTTGCCGTGCCATCCTCCAGGGGATCTTCCCAAACAAAGGATCGAACCCCAGGTCTCCTGCATTGCAGGCAGATGATTTACAGTCTGAGCTACCAGGGAAGCCCCAAAAGAAAATGAACAAAGTTCCAACTGAAAGTTGCTGAAGATTAGATCTTAGAGGTTCTCGGGACAAGGAAAAAATCTCTGTAACTATGTGTGGTGACTGTGTTAACTAGGCTATTGTGGTGACTGTTCTGGAATATACACAAATATTGAATCTTGATGTTGTGCATGTGAAACTAATATAATGTCATATGCCTCAACAAAAAAAGGAAGAAAGAAATGCTCAGAATAAATTATACTGGGTTCCAACATCTAGTTGATTCTGGGGCTCATGGTCCGGGGATCCCACAGCGCTCCAAGGAGACTGAGGTTGGAAAGTCTTGAATGCAAGCAGGCGCCTGCAGCTTCAGGTCGGCTCTGTGCAGTGGCTCACGGATGTCAGGTGTAGCCTGGAAAGGCGAGTGGGTCCTGGCCCGACAGTGAGGGGAGGGAAGCGGCAGTCCCCGCATGGAGGGCTGGCTGTTATCCTCCCTGACAGACGCCCCACCCCCCCCACCTCCGGCAGGCGGCTGGGGACAGGAGGGGCCTGCAGGGGCCGAGAGTCACTTTTTCTTTCCCCACCTTTCTGGCTCATTCTTTTCAGTAAGCAGATTGTTCACAAATGTTTACACTTTCCTCCTAGATACCACTTATCAAAGTAAGATACGAACCTAATTCCTCAAAAAATCCTATACCAAAAAGTGAACCTTCATTCCCATCCCATCCCACCCTCCCCGGAGTACTGCAGATAACTGCTGTTTTGGTGTGCTTTGCCCCAGAACCTTTTTTACACCAGTTCTCAAATATTTTTACTTGGAAAACTCGTGTTAAAGATTTGTAAGAGTTTTTTACATAAATGAAAACACGCTTTGTATCCCAACGTCCAATTTTCTTTATATACTTAATACTCAGAAACTTGTCGGGGCTGGCGTCTGTCATAGCTTGGAGAGCCATCATTTATCTCAGGGCCGCGTGCCCTACCCTCCTGGGACCATGTCATCATCGGTTTGGCAACCCACCCCCGGCAGAGCGTTTGACTGTTGTGTTTTCTGCCCTGACAAGCGCTGCCCTATGCATTCCTGCGTGTGTGCAAGCATCTCCCTGAGATGACACCCAGAGCGCGGTCAGAAAGAATGTGTGTTTTACACGTAAGAGTTGCCTGGTGTCTGCAGACACCACCACCTGCAGTTTATGGGAAACTCTGTTCGAGGCCAGCGTTCCACGCTGGATAGCGTATTTCTTAACGTCTGCAAATCTGATGGGCAGACATGCACTCCATGTTTGCCTCATTTCCTGATTACTCATGAGACAACCACATCCCTGTGGGGCCGCCTGGACGCGTGCCTGTTCATGCCTCTCACCCATTTTTGTCAGCTCCTGTGACCCTTCCCCAGGGGTGCTCTTTTCGGCACCTGAGACCTTCACCCTGATGTGCGGCCCTCACGCATGGGGCCCCCGTCTTGTTCCGTAGGATGTGTGACAGTACCCCTTGCCCTGGGTGGCTGAGGGCAGCAAGAGGGACATGTCCACACCTTCTGGGGAGGTCATGGACCAGGACCTCGGGCCTGGCTCCTGGCTGGTAACATAAGAAAACCCTGGACCCCCGAGGTTGCACTTCTCAGAGGGGAAGAAGGAAGACAGGCAGGACTGTGAGCTCAGCATGGAGGGAGCCACCCTGGAGACGTGGGACCCTGTGCCTTAGACTTGGAACCTCAGGGCTGGAACTGGCTTCCCTTGGGGACTGAGAGCCGGGCCTGGGGTAGCCTCTCTGCAGCAGGATGGAGGCGAGGCCACGCCAGCCTGGGGGATCTGATGCTCTTTCCATCCGAGGGCAGTGCTGATGTCGGTCCTAATCATGAAGCCATCGACTCCTGGACTTCATGGAGCAGACGGAGGGATGTGAGGGAAGCAGAGGAGAGAGACAGCCGATTCCAGCAGGCCACTCGGCCTCCGGGGCTGGCGTCCTCTGTGCCCAGGTGTGGAGTTCACCTGCAGGGACAGCCTGCCGTCTTCCTTCCTGACTCCTGGCGTCTACACTGCGCTTGAAAGGAGATCTTCACGGATTTCTGCCTCCTGACCTCAGCTGATCTTTCTGTGGTGCTGTGATCTGGGGCTCTAAGTTCTGGTCCACTGGGTACTGGGAAGAAGAGTTATGAAAGGATTCGGTCATGCTCTGACCTTTAAATAGAGACGAGTGACTCCAATAAGGGTGACTCAAACATTCATACACTGTAACCTGTGATGGGTGACACTGCACACTGGCTCCAGGTCACACTCTGTGGAGTCCCCAGCAGCAGTTTTGCCGACTCAGCTCACATCCACTGCACACACACATGTGCACAAACACGCACCCATGCATACAATGCACACAGCACCCACACATACATGGACACATGTATGCACACATACTTCCAGTCTCAGACCAAGGATGACAAACACATTTAATCAGTGTCCAAAATACATTTATATACATATAAACGAGTTCAGTCTTCCCTGACTCACAGCAGGCTATCCAGCCCTTCCCCGCTCACCCTGGAGGCAGGAATGCTGAGAACCGGAGTCTGAATTCACAGGCTGCAGCACGGGTGTGGCTGAACAGAAACGGCAGCCTCAGAAGAAACTGCCCTCTGAGGACGGACAAAGCCAGCTTTCCCTCCACCCGAAGCCTGTCCGCCCGTCCGCTCGCCCGCTGGAGCACCAACACAGCTGAGTTCACACGAGATAAGAGGGACCCATTCCAGGTGGGGCTCTGGCTTGGCCGGATCCGGGGCCACAAGGAGGTGAGCCGCAGGCCAGGACGCAGGGAGTCAGCGCGCTGGAAGGCTGCAGGGTGTTCACGGGCCGTCGTCCTCTCAGTGCGGCAGCACCGACTAACGGGCAGGGCTTCTACATCTGCCTCTGCTTGTGCTTCGGGTTGGTCTTGCAGTAGACGAACCAGCGCCCGCGCCTCTTCACCAGGTAGCAGCCCTTGCAGCGCTTCTTGAGGACGCCCTTGGTCTTGAAGCCCAGGGCGGGCTGCAGGCCGAGCACCGGGCGCGCGGTGAGGAGCGCGGCGATCAGGCCGAGGGGCGCGCGGGCGGCAGGACCAGCGCGCGGGGGTGCAGGCGCGAGCGCGGAAAGCGGGCGGCCCCCCAGCTGCAGCAGCGGGCCCACGGCGGAGGCCACTCTCCTTAGGAGGGCTGTGGCCATGTCGTGGCTGGACCTGGGGACGGAGAGAAGTTGTCACAGTGGCCGGTGGCTCGCGCCCCCGAGAAAACCGCCCTCCCTGCGCCCCTGCGCTTGGGACACGGGGCCCGGGAGGCTGCGTGTCCCGGGGAGGACACGAGCGCGGCCAGCCGCACGGGGTCCCCCTCTGATCCCGGCACAGAGGCCGGGATCCCCGGCCGCGGGGCCGCACGAGGTCCGCGTCCACGCTCCCCCGGGCGGCCCGGTCCCGGGGTCACAGAGCACAGGCGCGAGGTCCCATACGGTGCCCGGCCCGCGCCCGCGGCCAAGCGGGGGAAATCGGTTCCACGGGTCCCCGACACGCGCCCTTCTGGAGCTTCGAACTTCTGCCGCCTCTCGAGCCCCCTCAGGACCCCCGAGACCCACCTGGAAAGAGCGCGCCCGGCTCGGCTGTGGCGCGCGTCCCCAGTCCGTGCGCCTGCGCCCTGGGCCGCGCCTGCGTCCCCAGTCCGTGCGCCTGCGCCCTGGGCCGCGCCTGCGCAGCGGGACGGGGACGCCGCCGCTCGGAGTGTCCGCCAGGAAGGAAGACGGCGGCGGCGGTCACGTGGCGGTCCCAGCGGGAACGGACACAGGGGCGGAGCCGAGTCGGTGCGGGGCCGAAGGTCTTTGGGTTCCTCCCGCTGTGGGCTGCCTTTCCCTTAAACGCGGCCTTCGGTTCCCCGCGTGTGTGCTCAAGTCCCTCAAGTCCTGCCTGACTCTGTGCGACCCCATGGACTGTAGCCCCCCAGGCTCCTCTGTCCATGGGGTTCTCCAGGCAGGAACACTGGAGTGGGTTGCCAGCATCCCTTCATAGAATATTCCCGACCCTGGTATCAAACCACGCACATGCATCCTTTTTCTGGGGACTCCCTCTGCCTTGTGGGCCACAGGGCATCTAAAGGTTTTGCGGGGGGGCCTGGCAGGTGGGGACTTTTCATACTATTCATGGGGTTCTTAAGGCAAGTCTACTGAAATGGTTTGCCATTCCCTTCTTCAGTGGATCATGTTTTGTCAGAACTCTCCACCATGACCCATCTGTCCTTGCGTGGCCCTACATGGCATGGCTTAGTTTCATTGAGTTAGACAAGGCTGTGGTTCATGTGATCAGATTGGTTAGTTTTTTTGTGATTGTAGTTTTCAGTCTGTCAGCCCTCTGATGGAGAAGGATAAGAGGCTTATGGAAGCTTCTTGACGGGAGAGACCGACTGAGGGGAAAACTAGGTCTTGTTCTGATGGGCGGGGCCATGCTCAGTAAATCTTTAATCCAATATTCTTTTGATGGGTGGTGCTGTGTTCCCTTCCTGTTGTTTGACCTGAGGCCAAACTAGGGTGGAGGTAATGAAAATAATGGCAACCTCCTTCAAAGGGGCCCAGGCAAGCTCTGCTACACTCAGTGCTCCCAACCCTATAGCAGGCCACCGCCAACCCACGCCTCTGCTGGAGACTCCTGGACACTCACAAGTGACAGGTCTGGGTCAGTCTCTTGTGGGGTCACTGCTCCCTTCTCCTGGGTCCTGGTGTGCACATTCTGTTTGTGCCTCCAAGAGTCTGTTTCCTCAGTCCTTTGTAAGTTCTGGTGGCTCTATGGTGGGTTAATGGCCACCTCCTCCAAGAGGGCTTATGCCATACCCAGATCTGCTACACCCAGAGCCCCTGCCCCAGCAGCAGTCCACTGCTGACACTCACCTTCTCAGGAGCGACCCAAACACAGTTCTGTCTTAGTCTCTATGGGGTCTCTAGGTCCTGGTGTGCACAAGGTATGTGTGAGCCCTCTGAGCATCTCTGGTGGGTATGGGGTTTGATTCTAAATGTGATTTCACCCCTCCTATTGTCTTGCTGGAGTAGTGCTCAAAGTAATTCTCAAAATTCTCCAAGCCAGGCTTCAACAGTACGTGAACGATGAACTTCCAGATGTTCAAGCTGGATTTAGAAAAGGCAGAGGAACCAGAGATCAAATTGCCAATATCCGTTGGATCATCGAAAAAGCAAGAGAGCTCCAGAAAAACATCTGTTTCTGCTTTATTGACTATGCCAAAGCCTTTGACTGTGTGGATCACAACAAACGGTGGAAAATTCTTCAAGAGATGGGAATATCAGACCACCTGACCTGCCTCCTGAGAAATCTGTATGCAGGTCAAGAAGCAACAGTTAGAACTGGACATGGAACAACAGACTGGTTCCAAATCAGGAAAGGAGTATGTCAAGGGTGTATAGATAGTGTCACCCTGCTTATTTAACTTATATGCAGAGTACACCATGAGAAATGCTGGACTGGATGAAACACAAGCTGGAATCAAGATTGTTGGGAGAAATATCAATAACCTCAGGTAGACAGATGACACTACACTTATGGCAAAAAAGCGAAGAACTAAAGAGCCTCCTGATGAAAGTGAAAGAGGAGAGTGAAAAAGTTGGCTTCAAACTCAACATTCAGAAAACTAAGATCATGGCATCTGGTCCCATCACCTCAAAGCAAATAGATGGGGAAACAGTGGAAACAGTGACATATTATTTTGGGGGGCTCCAAAATCACTGCAGATGGTGATTGCAGCCATGAAATTAAAAGACACTTGCTCCTTGGAAGAAAAGTTATGACCAACCTAGAAAGCTTATTAAAAAGCAGAGACATTACTTTGCCGACAAATGTCCGTCTAGTCAAGGCTATGGTTTTTCCGGTGGTCATGTATGGATGTGAGAGTTGGACTGTGAAGAAAGCTGAGCGCCAAAGAACTGATGCTTTTGAACTGTGCTGTTGGAGAAGACTCTTGAGAGTACCCTGAACAGCAAAGAGATCCAACCAGTCCATCCTAAAGGAAATCAGTCCTGAATATTCATTGAAAGGACTGATGTTGAAGCTGAAACTCCAATACTTTGGCCACCCAATGCAAAGAACTGACTCATTGGAAAGGATCCTGATGCTGGGAAAGACTGAAGGCGGGAGGAGAAGGAGACGACAGAGGATGAGATGGTTGGATGGCATCACTGACTCGATGGACATGAGTTTGAGTAAGCTCCAGGAGTTGGTGATGGACAGGGAAGCCTGGAGTGCTGCAGTCCATGGGGTCGCAAAGAGTTGGACCCGACTGAGCGGCTGAACTGAACTGGGGCGGGGGGAGGCGCTGGGAGAAGGGATGCAAAAATGGGAACAAAGTAGGTATCTAGAGTGCAAGACAAGTAGACTTAAAAAAAAAAAAAAGATACCAACCTGAAAACAAAATCTATAAAAAACACCTGCTTCTATTAAATAGATCTCCTGGGAGAAATGTGGCGAGGTTCAGGGAAATGCGTGGAAATATGCCCTGATCCTAACTGTAGTTAAATTGATGTCCTCCAACATCTTATTATGAAAACTTCCAAACAGAGAAAAGTTGAAAGACATATTTGGTGAACACTCATATACCCACTGTCTAGATTCCACAGTGAACTCGCCATGCCTGTCTTTCTGGGCCGTGTCCCCGTGGACACACGTACTGTCCATGCATATGAAGGCACACAGGACACGGCCGGCGCCGCACGTGCACCGCTGACCCAGCAGCGTGCTCTGCACCTTGCCCAGGTGCGCTCGCGCCTGCCTCTTGAGCATCGGTCTGTGGACACATTTCCAATAATGTGAGGTAATCTGAGCACCGTCGCCTGCCGGGAGCCAACACATGAGACCCTACCCCTAAAAAGGCCATAGGGGAGAAAACCTGACAGGCAAGGCGAATCAGGTTTTCAGGGGTTTCGAAAAAGTCAGCTCACGAAACCCTACCCTTAACAAGGCCGTAAGGGAGAAAACCTGATGGGCAAGGCGAATCAGGTTTTCAGGGGTTTTCGCAAAGGCCAGCTCACGAGCTCCCACCCATGACAAGGTCACGAGGAGAAAGCCTGACAGGCAAGGCAGATCAGGTTTTCAGGGATTTCGAAAAGCTGCCCCCAGCTCTCACCTTAAAGATGATATCTATCTTTCTGATGCCTGCCTCAATGGACTACTCCCTAATTTTTCTGACACAGGCAGGAAGGCCTTCCCCGATCTCTTCCCAAATAAGAATCAATTTAGAACTTTAATCAATAAGTTTCCCAGGTGGTGGTATTTTATGAGATTATTCAGGGTGAAAGGAGTGTTTTAATTCAAACTCCTTTGCTGGTAGTTTTGTTAGCCAAATGCATGTATGCGCTTGGTACTAATATGCATGATTACTTATAATATCCTAATCATAAAATAGCATAAAGAACCTATAGGTGGTTATTGGGTTGTGATTTGCTTGCTGTGTTTTTGCTTGCTGTATTTTTGCCTTTAATGTGCTAAGGCTGTGTTATAAAAACCATTGTTAATATAGTTAAAGATCTAGAGAAATAAGAACTTAGCCCTAGTGTGGTAACAATGAGATGGTTGTTAATTGTCAGTCAGGAGTGCTAGGCAAAAGCTGCCTCACCAAAGTCGCAGAGTCAGTATGGGGTAAACTTCTTAGATAAACGCAACTGACAACTTTTGCAGAAAGATTAATTTTTGTATTAACAAGAATATAATTCTACTCTGTACTATTTCCCTATGACCCTGTTACCTTTCAGTTAAGGTCACCATAAAAATGGAAAATAGGTTTACATTCACCTGACCTGCATAAAATGTTAATAGGTCCCAAGGCCAGAAGATAATGTACAAGACCCTCATAAACAAAGAAGTATGCAGAAAACACCCTGGTTTTGTGAAGGACAACCTGACGTAATGTTAAACTATCTTCCCCTTAGAAATGTACTAACTTACGGTATAAAAGCTGTGGTAAAAAATAAAGCATTGCCAGACTCTGCACCCCCGTCTAGTCACTTTCTCTGTCTCTCTCTCGCAGACTTGGCCCTATCAAGGCTAGTCTCACCTGTCTTTCTCTCTCGCCGACGCCGTTCATCCTGAGGGTACCCCCTGGATCCTGCTGAGGCTAGACCCCGCCAGTCGCCTCTCGCTGCCACACCTCCCTGGGGCCCAGGCTGTGGGCGCCCTCAGCTCCTGGAGAGTGGGGTGTGCAACCCTACCCCACCTCTGGGATTGGCCCCGTGCGCCCACCGCCCCTGGCCCACAGGGGCTGGCCATGTGGGCTGACCCTCCCGTCGGGTCTCTGCATGGGCAGCTCTGAGGGGCAGGGGGGAAGCTGGGCCCGGGATCGCGAGCGGGAGCAGCGGGCCTTTCGGGGTGACCGGTACGAGCGACGCCATGGACTGCACTTCAGTGGTAGTTTCATTGGGCCCTGCTGCAGAAACCCCAGGACCGCCAAGAAATGTGAGCCGTCCACCAGAGTGGACGTCCAGTTTCCTCCGAGCAAGGACACTTGTCCAGCCTTCTCCGACATTCGGCTTGTACCTCCCCAGGATTACCCGTTACCGTCAAAGGGAAGCACAGCATCTCCGGCTTCCACCGTCCCGGCCCTGCCCCTGGTAGGTGGAGCCGCGGCTCAGTGCTACCGGTGCGCAGTTTCCCGCGTTACCGGCGGAGCCCCTCCTACGCTGCGCCCGCCGGCCGCACCGCGCATGCGCGCTTCCCCGGCCCAGCTACATCCCGGCGGAGCCGGCTCTGCGGAAGCCGTGCGCGTGCGTCGGCGCGTCGGCGCGCGGGGTCGAAGGTCAGCCCGCAAGATGGCGGCGGCGGTGACCTTCCTCAGGCTTCTGGCCCGGAGCGGCGCGGTAACGCGGAGCCTGCCCGGGGGCGCCAGGTGCTTCGGGGTGCGGACCTCGCCGACCGGGGAGAAGGTCACGCACACCGGCCAGGTATAACCACCGCGGCGCAGAGAGCGCTCTCCCCTCGGGGGCGCCCAGGCGGGCGGAGCCCCGGTCCGTCCCCTAGGTCCCGCGTCCAGCGTCTGGGTGCTCTTGGGGCCCAAGTCTAGTGCCCGTGGTCCAGTCGCCCAACAACGCAGCCCCCCGTTTCCGCCTCCCACGGTCCAGTCCCCCTTGGGGCCCAGGCCCCTGTATCCTCGGACCAGTCTTTGCTGTCGCGGTCCCCTGGGTCCCCGGGTCCTGGATCCGCAAGGGTTGGGTACCGAGTGGCTGAGGTGTGACCCGGGCTGAGGCGCTGGGTGTTTGCAGCCGTTGTGGTCTCACCGTCAGAGCTTCGGCGAACTCTGAAACTAGACCGACACTCCGGGGGAACCCATTGGTTACTCTGGGAGGCCTCCGTCGGGGTCAGAAACCGTAAATTTTGTGGGTCAAATCTTTTAACGTTTGTGTAACGTTAAATACCATATTTAATAACTCGAGGATGTGCTGTCAACTGAAACTCAGCGTTAGGGATAATCGTAATTCCAAAGATGAGGGAGTAAGTACTTGTGATGTCGAAGGGTCACCGGGCAAGTTCAGAGGGAGGCCCTGCGGCCTGTGAGATGGGAGGTCAGCGTGTCCCGTCCGCTGGGCCTGCTCTCCTCTGGTTCTCCCAGCTCTGACTGCTGCCTGTGGTCATGTTAGGAATCCCGCTGAGAAATGTCCGTGGGGCACAGCTCTTCAAGTGTGTGATCATATGCATGGCCTGACGTGAAGAAAACCCCTTTTCTGAAATGTCTGTGATTGATACAAAGGCACAGAATTGGGCTGTAAGTATCACTCCTTTTCTTTCCAGGTTTATGACGATAAAGACTACAGGAAAGTTCGATTTGTAGGTCGTCAGAAAGAGGTAAGGAAAAGATGTGGTAAAAGAAGGGCTTGCCAGGTGGCTCAGTGGTAGAGCACCCTCCTGCAAGTGCAGGAGGTGTGGGCCCTACCTGGGGACTCGGGGCCTATTCCTGCCCTAGGTCCAGAGTGTCCAGGGGCCTGTGTTCATGTAAGATGTGCAGCAAGTCTCTCGGGGTTTCCTTCTTGCAACAAAGATTTGGTGTTTAGTAGAATTTGAATCTCTTTTTCTGGTTTCCAAGAGGCTTGTTTTAAAAGATTTGGGTTTATTGAAAGACTTCACAGAGTACTGAGCTCCCAGTACTGCCCACCCTCCCACCCCCCCCCCGCCGCCCCCACCCCCGACCCATGTCCCTGGTCTCCTCTTGGCTGAGCGTGCTTCCTTTGTTAGAAGTGACAGGATTGAACACGTGCAGAGTATTGAAACCTTGTGATTCACTCAGGTCTGCGGCTTAGGTTTCTTTTGGGTTCTCTTTGTGTTGTACATTCTGTTGGGCTTGGGCCTAGTTGCTCAGTCATGTCCAGCTCTGCGACCCTGTGGACTGCAGCCCCCCAAACTCCTCTGTCCATGGGATTTTCAGTCAAGAATACTGGAGCAGGTTGCTATTTCCTTCTCCGCAGGATCTTCCCAACTCAGGGGTTGAACCTGCATGTCCCGTGTCTGCATTGGCAGGTGGATTCTTTACCCGCTGAGCCACCCGGGAAGTGCATTCTGTGGGTCTGGACAAATGCGTAGTGTCTTATATGCAAACTGCAGGGTCACTCAGAGTGTTTCACTGCCCCCCACCACCCCCTTCCCATGCGCCCCACCCCGCTCACAGCCCCCGACAGCCCCCATCTTACCGTCTCCACAGTTTGGTTGTACTTTTAGAAATAAAGTGAGTCTGCACTTAGGCTGAGGACCAAAGAGAGCAGCAACGGGACCGTAGAGCCGCCTTCGTGGGGAGGTGGCTGTGTCCAGGCACGGCTCTCGGGCAGTCTTGACCAGCGGGCCCGTGTGGCCGCAGTGAGTCTGCACAGGAATCCCCGGCCCTTGGCCTGGGACGGGCCTGCTGGAGAGGAGAGGACGTGGGGGAGACTTTCTGTGGTCCTGGGTCACCTCAGGGAGGCAAAGGGCCTGAGAGGCCAGCTGTCCCAGGTGTCCCTGTGGTCACGCACGTGGAGTTAGAAGCCAGTGTTTCCTGCCCGTGAGTGATGGGCATCATGGCCGCCTCAGGCAGCAGGTGTGCTGGGCCCAGGAGGTGGTTACTGTGGCCATGGTGTGGCGCTCCGTTTCCGGGGGGCCCTGGGCCCAGGGCGCAGACGGCAGTGGGACAGCGTGTCACGTGTGCTGTGACCCGGCTGCACTTCCTCCCTCCTTGTCCCCATTCTGGAAGGAGGAGCCTGGGGGCTTCAGGCAAGCCCCAGCCCAGGCTGACCGCACGTTCCTGAGTCAGGAGTGTCCCTTCCTCTGGGGCTCTGTCATGGTGGCCGCGGGCGGGTGGGCGCTGCTTTTCCTCCCTCCATGCCCCTGTTCTGGAAGTGGAGCCTGGGGGCTCTGTTGTGGTGGCTGCGGGCGGGTGGCTCTGCTCCCCCTTCTGGCTCCTGGGCCAGGAGGCCGGTGCTCTTCCCAGGCTCAGATTTTAACACCTAAGCTTCGTGCCCCTCCCCCTTCACTTGTAAAGATGGATCGTTGTTCTCTCCTCACTGCAGTCTTGGGCCCTGAGGTGTGGCTGGGGGTCTGTGTAGGCAGGGCGGGGAGCCTTGGGGACCCCCAGGCAGGACACCTGTCACCGTGGTGGTAAACGGACTCTCGGTTTCTCCCGGAGCCAGAATCGCAGTTACTGAGGGCCGCACTTACAGCCCGAGTGCCTCTTCTGTGCACTTGTGTCCAGGGGTGTCCGGGGAGGGAGCGGGGACCCCGCCGCTGACTGTGTGTGACCCTGTGACCCTTGGGCCTGCAGAGATGGGTGGCTTTCAAGAGGTGGTCTGGCAGTGTTCGACCCTGAGTGTGTCAGCTGGGGCGGGACTCAGCAGCGCCATCGGATCCGATCCGAGTCTAGAGGCTGGGCAGGCTGCTGCCCGCGCCGCAGGGCTTCCACCAGGCCATGCCTGGCGGGTCTGGCTCTGGTTCTGGCTGCTGCTGGTGAGCAGCTCCTGGTCCGTCAGCTCAGATGGTGCTCTCTGGGCTTCCTGGCTGAGTCCTGCGTGAAGAGATGCTGGCCCCCAAGGAGAGAGGAGAGATGCTGCCTCATTTCTATTTCTCCACTAGCTTAAAAATCACGAGGTGATTCCCTACAGTAGGAAAACCAGTGGGCTTGGAGCAGCTCTGGGTCCAGCTCTGCTGTTGTGCTTTGCAGTCGCTGTGCCATCGTCCCTCCTGTCCCCCACGCTCCTTACGGCCCCGTGGAGCAGCCCTTGGCTTGAGCCAAGGGCTCAGTGCCCCACTTCCTGCTCGGGGTCAAGCCAGCTGTTAGCTCAGAACCAGGTCCCCATATTGAAGTGGTTGTGGGGTCAGCTGCTGCTCCTGGTCGGTCCCTGAAGACAGAAGGAGGAAGGCGTGTATGTGCGTGTGTGTGCGCGCGCGCGCGTGTATGCACCTGTGTGTGAGGAGAAGAGGGTGGGGCAGGATGTTAACAGTGGGTGAGTCCAGGTAAAGATCAATAGGAAGTCACTGTGCAGCTGTACTTCTCGGAGCTTTCCTGTGAGTTTGAAATTATATGCAAATGAGGAGTTAAACATGTGTGTGCACATGTGTAATTATCTGTATTTTGAAGACCTGCCCTGATGTTTAAATGAGAAGGTGCAGGGCATCTTTGCTGGCAGTGCAGTGTGTGCCTGTGCGGGGGTGGTCTACGCTGACTGGAATTCCGCGAGCGCGTTGAGGGTTTGTACGTGTCTGTGTGAGTGCTCCTGTCTGTCTTGTTCCAGGTGAACGAGAACTTCGCCATTGATCTGATAGCGGAGCAGCCTGTGAGCCAAGTCGGGAGTCGGGTGATATCATGCGACGGCGGCGGGGGGGCCCTGGGCCACCCCAGAGTGTACATAAACCTGGTAATGTGCTGTTTGGCCCCAGCCCCGGTCCCTGTCCTGTTCTGTCCCCGCTGGCCGCACATGCTTGGCTCAGCCCGGCCCATGAGCCATCCACTGGGGCCGAGCAGAGGGCACGCACGCACAGAGCTTCCAGGACAGGATAGAGCTTGGGGGTGGGCTGCTCCCTCCGGCAGGGCAGGCCCTGCGCCCCTGCTGATCCATCCTGCCTCGACCCCAGCCCCGAAGGGGGCCTCTGCTCAGCCCCTCCCGCTCCAGGCCCCTGCCCAGGACGCCACCTGCCTCACGGGCAGGGAGGGTGGGTGAGGACCAAGCAGACTGTGAACGGCGGGGAGCCCGGGGCCCTGAGGAGTCCGGGAGCAGGCTGACCAGGGCCTCCAGCACAGCGTCCGCCGTCGGGCTCCGCGGCACCTGGGTGGCAGTGTGATTCCAGGGCCTGGTTTCAGTGTCGATGTCTCCTGCGTCTGGACTGACGATGGAGGTGGAAGATGGAAATAGGGCGGCTCTCCCTTGGGATCTTTCAGGACAAAGACACCAAGACGGGCACGTGCGGCTACTGCGGCCTGCAGTTCCGGCAGCAGCACCACTAGGGCGGCCGTGTGACCGGAGCCGGCGGCAGGGCCCGGAGAAGGCTGTGCTGGAGGGCCCAAGCGTGCAGAGTGCGCCTCTCACAGTCACCGTGGCCTGGCCCTCTGGCTCAGCTCTGCCTGGCACTCTGCCCCACCTGCTCCTCTGCGGCCTGTTCTGAAATCCCACAAAGCTAAGTACCCTTTGAAGGTGTTAATTGTCACATGTGGACTGATTGAAGTATTCTGTGTGTATTTAAAAGAGTAATGGTTACGATGTATTGTTCCACAAAAATAAAATCAGGAGGGGAGAGAACAGAGGTTTAGTAGGTGATGGGGGGACCCAGAGGAGAAGGGGATGGGGGTGAGGGGGGTGAGGCTTGGGGGTGGGAGGGGGCTTACCTGAGCTGAGGGAGCACCTGCCCAGCAAAGCTGCTGAGAAAAGACGCTCCTGGGTGCGTCCTGACGATAAAGCAGAAGTTAATGAGGCGCTGCAGTCTGGAGGAAGCAAGACTGTTTAAGCTTCCAGGTGGAGGGACCGGCGACCACACAGGCCGAGTTCCCAGAAGGGCGCCCCGTGTCCCCTTCAGCCCTGGAAGCTGGAGGTGGTAAGTGCTCCAGAGTCAGGGGTGCTGGGCACCCTGAAGGAGGGGAGGCTCCTCCCCGTGGTGTGGGGAACGGGCTGTCAGCTGCCAGTGGGCTCACGTGGGTGTAGGATGGTGTGAGGGTTTGTGTGCCCCGAACACGCGGGTGCTCCCCAGGCTCACCCAGTCGGAGCTGTTTGTGCAAGCCCGTCAGGGGTGTAGGGGTAGGGATGGGTCAGGAGGAAAGGTCAGGGTCCTGGGGGGGTCTCACGGAGGGTGGGGTGGGGATGGAGGAGTCTCCGGGTCTCCCTGCATTGGAGTGAGCGCCATGAGCCCTGACCAGGGATGGGTGCACCTTGATTTCAGATGACTGGAAGAACGTGTCTCACCTGGAAGGGCCCCCGAGGAGGGGAACCCAGCCGGGATGTGGACGTGGAGGGAACCAGGGGTGGCAGGTGGCCCACGTTTCCCAGCCCACAGCCTGGGACAGCTCAGAGTCGGGACCTGCGCAGTAGACCCAGGGAGGGGCCCGGCCGAGCTGCAGGGTGCAGAGGGCCTCTGTCTCAGCTCATCAGCTGATGAGAGACTGATGTGAGTGTGAGCTTCACAGACAGAAGCAGACTCAGAGGCGGAAAGCATGGTTACCAAAGGGGAGAGGGAGTGGGGAGGGGTGAATCAGGAGTCTGATTAGCTTACACCAGCACGTGTAAAAGAGATGAACAGCATCATGTGCTAGTGTACATGTGTGTACACTAGTGTGTAGTTCAGAGAGCTGTATTCAGTACCCTGCTATAAACCATGATGGGAATGAGTATGAAGACGCAGGTGTGTGTGTGACTGAACCCCTTTACAGCAGAGACTAAATCAACTCCAGTTAGAAAAGAAGGCCCTCCCACTTCTGTCCCCTTAGAGTATGTCCGTGTTGGGAGACTTGACGAATGCGTAGGCGTCCATTCTCTAGTCCTGGAGTAACCGAGCTCACCTGTGGCTCAGTTTAGCCTCTGCTCCCTCTGTCAGTGTTTGTGCGCTGAGGTAGTGAAAGAGACTGGATGGAGTCAGCAGTGGGGAGAGCGAGAGCGTGGCCGGGTCTTTTCAGCTCTGGTCAGTGTGGCCACGATCACGGCAGTCTTGCCACATGTGTGTGCTGAAGGGGGCCCTCCCGTTGCCATCACACAATCAGGGTTAGTATGATTTCCCTTCAGCGTCGAGCTCAGAAAGTGTTCACCATCCCTGAAGTACTGAAACATTAAATCTGTAAAAAATAATGATGTGGATCAGGCAACACTTACTGCCTTAGAACTATCAGCCATCTCTCCCGGAGGCTTAGCTCGTTTGAAGAATCCTCTCCAACAGCCACAAGCCATTTGGAATTTAATGTGGGTGATTTCTAATATTCTCTGAACTTCTGTACTTAGAGGTTTTTATATTAAACATGTTTTAAAATCTTAAACTATTCTATTTCCATATAAAAGTGTCCACGGGGAGTAGGACCAGCCTCATGGGCCGGGGATTTCAGAGAAGCGACGCACCCAGCAGCCTCGGTTTCACAGAGTGGCTGCGGTCACACACAGCGCCCCCACTTCCCCATCCTAACTGCCACCTTCAGATCCCAGCCTCTAAAACGAGTGCCGGGGGCACAGCCGGTGACTATTACCTGCTGGCGAGCCCCGGACCCCACGCAGCGGGCAGGGCAGGGATCCAGGTGACATCCTGCTGAGCCCAGCGCCTCCCTCCCGCAATGGGCAGGGGTTGGGTGCCCCAGGCCATCAGGTCCATCCCGCAGGGCCGCTCCTGCATTGACGGGGCGGGGGTCACAGACCGATGTGAATGTTGGTGGGCTGTTAGGAGTCATGTGCCCTTGCCCAGAAACCAGGCGGAGGGTGGAGGGGCTGTGAGGTCAGGGGTCCACCCCAGACAGGCAGGCGGTGGCTAGTCCAGAGTTTCCACCCGAGGCGTGTCCAGGTGTCTGCACAGCGGCACCTGCGCAGGCGGGCGGGTTAGGGCCTCCCCCAGGGCGCTGTGGTACCTGATGGTGCCCAGGGCTGCCCTGCGGGGCCCTGATCACCCCCACCCCCGGTCCATCTGACTATGCCAGGTGCCAGGAGGCTGGGGTGGGGTGTGGCTTCTGTGATGGCTTTCCTGTGCATGCACAGCTGTACCTGGTTTTCTGGGCCTGTGTTCCGTTTCCCCAAACCCACAGTGAGAGAGGACTGTCAACTTCAGTCTGAAGCTGTTAGAAAATTCCAGGATAAGTGATTTAGAAGCTTTTAAATTTCCAGACATCCTGAGTAACTTGATGAAACCTCCTGCTGTCCTGCTCCGTCCAGCCAAGCTGAGAATCAGCTGTTTGTCCAGCGCATCTGACCACTGGTCACTGCACCTTCTCGTCATCAGATCCCCTGTCACGGTGGCAAGGGCCTGTTTCTGCGTGCCCCTGGTTTACTCAGCGAGGCCCCCAAAGTCCGCCAGTGCATGTGGGAAACACACAGTAGGTGTGGGGCTCGGCCCGTCCACGGCATCAGGCATCCATGGGGGTCTCAAGAGAGTCCTCTGAGGATCAGGGGGATCTGGGAGTCCAGGCAGGAACGTGTGGTCTCCCTGCTGGGAGCGACCAGGATGGTGCTCTGCACGCAGGTGTCTCCTCCCGGAGCTGGGAGCCTGAGGCAGGGACCCCGCACCCCCCAGACCCCTCCTTCCAGGGCCTCTGCCCGGCTTCTTGTGGTGGTGTCGCTGTCCTGGGCATGGAGACCAGACGTGTGTCCCCATCTCTGCCTCTGCCCGTGACCTCGTGAGGACACCGCTCCCTGGATGTGGGGTGACGTCCTCTTAACTGGCCTCACTGCAGAGGCCCCAAGGCGAGGTTCCGTGGTGGCCTGAGTGCCAGGGGCTCCCCCAGGGCAGGGCACGCCGAGCACACTCTGCTCCCCCCGCGCCAGGCCTCGGGAAGGGGACAGAAGCGAGGCCTGTCCTGCGGCTGCTGCTCCAGGGGCTGGGGACGGGTCTGGGGGGAGGGGGCTTGTGCAAGGAGCACCCCTGAAGGCCTGAGGGGAGACCCAGTGAGGCAGGGCAGGACCCTGTGGGGCCTTCCCAGGACAGACAGCCCACCCGGTCCTCCACCTGCCTTGTGTCCATAGAAAACCTTCAGTCACAGAAGAGACTTCATCAGAGAAGTGAGAGAAACGCAAAGAAAAACTAACACACAATAGTAGTTTGGTCATTAAAATCTCGGACCTTTAGTTCCTTCTCAAGGGCCACAGATGATATTCCGAGCTGTGTCCTGTGAGCCCTCTTGCAGATACTGAAACCCCCGCCAGGGGGAAAAGTAACTACATCATGGCCAGACTGCAGCATGACACGCTGTTAGTCGCCGAGTCATGTCCGACTTTGCGACCCCAGGGACTGCAGCACACCGGGCTCCCCTGTTCTTCACTGTTTTCCAGAGTTTGCTCAAGTTCATGTCCATTGAATTTGTGATGCCATCCAAGCATCTCGTCCTCTGTCATCCCCGTCTTCCTTCAATCCTTCCTTCAATCTTTCCCACCATCAGGGGCTTTTCCAATGAGTCAGTTATTCCCATCAGATGGCCAAAGTGTTGGGGCTTCAACATCAGTTGTGACTTGAAAGTGAAAGTGAAAGTTGCTCAGTCGTGCCTGACTCTTTGAGACCCCATGGACTATACAGTCCCTGGAATTCTCCAGGCCAGAATACTGGAGTGGGTAGCCTTTCCCTTCTCCAGGGGATCTTCCCAACCTAGGGATCCAACGCAGGTTTTCCGCATTGCGAGCGGATTCTTTACCAGCTGATCCACAAGGGAAGCCTGAGAATAGTGGAGTGGGTAGTTTATCCCTCCTCCAGCGGATCTTCCCGACCCAGGGATTGAACCGGGGTCTCCTGCATTGCCGGCGGATTCTTTACCCGCTGAGCTGTGAGGGAAGCACGGTACCACAATTCTGAGAACTGGTCTCAAGGAAGTTGGAGCAGCCTGACCCAGGGACTGAAGACTAACTACCAGAACAAGGTGATGCTGGTCAGACCATTGATGACAGATTTCCAGATGCCCGTGCTGTTGCTGCGTGGAGCCCCTCTGTCAGTCTATGGACGCGTGTGAGCACTGATTGTCTCCTTGTGGCTCAGACGGTAAAGAAGCCAGCTACAATGCAGGAGACCTGGGTTCGATCCCTGGGTCAGGAAGATCCCCTGGAGAAGGAAATGGCAACCCACTCCAGTATTTTGGCCTGGAGAATCCCATGGGCTGCAGTCCGTGGGGTCGCAAGAGTTGGCCACGACTGAGCGACTGACACACACTTGTCGGTGGGGAAATGGCCTTTGAGCAGGAGTCTGGCCTCCTCTCCAGTTCCTGGTCTCTGAAGTGAAGCACACGTTCCTCTCCCACCAATCTGGCGCCCCTGACGTGACGGGGAGGTGAGTGGGGCCCGAATGGTCACGTTTTTTTTTAGGAGGTGGCCGCTAGGCACTGGCCCGGAGCCTGGGCTTTTCTAGGGCTCCATCTGAGCTGGCGCCTGAAACGGCACCAGAAACAATTCTGAAGCCCCCTGCCTTCCCAATGGTAGTTCTCTGTTCTGCTTTCAACTTGCCTGATTCACATATTTGAGATGGGGGTTTCTTTTTTTTTTAAATTGCTACTTTATTATGTAATATTTTTGAAGATATATTAGATTTTATTTTTTTAACTTTTCATCTTGTATAAGAATAAAATAGAGTATAGCTGATTAACAGTGTTGTGACGGTTTCTGGTGAACAGGGGAGGGACTCCGGCACACACGTACATGCATCCATTCTCCCCCAGACCCCCCTCCCAGCCAGGCTGCCACCTAACAGTGAGCAGACTTCCCCGTGCTCTGCCGCAGGGCCTTGCTGGTGATCTGTGTTAAATACAGCAGGGTGTGCATGTCCATCCCAGACTCCCAACTTCCCCTTCCCCACCAGCTGAGTTTCTGTAGGCAGCAGAGTTAACCCACTCTGCCAACCTCTGTCTCTTCGTGGACATATTTAAACCATTGACCCTGATTGGTTCCTGATCTGGGGCTCACAACTGCCTTTTTGTGCTGTTTTATTTCCCCGGGTCCTTTGTCCCTGCCTCCCTGTGGGCCACCTGGACACGTGTCAGAGCTGTTTTCACCACTGGTTTTTGAGCCTGTCTCTGAACACCTCTTCCTGCAGTCACTCCAGGCAGTGGTGTGTGTGGGCCCCGTGGGCTGCCGTCTCAGTGGGCTCAGCGCTCCAGGGGGGTGTGTGCCCTGGCTGGCCCTGGGCTGGCATGCAGGCTGGGCCATCCCGCTGCTCAGCTTTGTGTCTGGGGCCTGGGAGGGGAAGGGCCGCCGAGGACTCTGCCCTGGCCTCCACCCCCGGGGCCGAGGCCTGGCCGGCCTGCCTCCCTTCCCCTCACAGGGCCTCCCGGCCTTGGTGTGGTGTGTCTGCGGTCTCCAGCCACACGGAGCAGGACGGGGAAGCGCGTCCATCTGCTGTCCCGGACGCAGGGACCATGCCGTTCACACGCGGGACAGGCGACACCTGAGCCCTGGAAGCGACCGCGCTCGGCTGTGAGTCTGGCCTGGAAGCTGGACAGGAAGACCCAGAACAAAGGGGGGGGCGGGGGGGTGTGTGTGTGACAGGCAGCCCCAGAGTGGCCCGGGCCAGGGTGGGGTGGGCTAGCACCTCCCCAGCGGGGCCCCTCCCACCTGGCCCGGGGAAGGGTCAGCTCGCCAGCTCACAGCCCACGGCTGGACACCAGGCACCTGCCACATCCCTGCAGAAGTCTTGCACGGCAGCAGTGTCACGTGACTGCAGGGCCACATGGCCCTCAGTGATCTCCCCAAGCAGCCAGGCCGACAGAGCGGCTGGCCGAGGGAAGGCTCAGCAGGGCTCCGGATGCAGACGCGGCCTGCTGGCTTGCCCTGTCCCCCACGCGTCCCTAAGTGGTGGCCAGAGCCCGGGCCGAGCCCCTGAGGTCAGATGCCAGGGCCTGCAGACCGGAACGCGTGGGAGGATCAGCTGCCCCCAGCGTCCGGCTCAGGACACTTCCGGGACAGTGGCTGCTCCTCTCCGCAGCCCTGGGCTCCGGGGGCTCCCCGTATGGACCTGCCTTCCTCGGTGAGATCTGATGACCCGGGAGCTGCCCGCCCGAGGTCATGAGCACCCAGGACTGCTGCGCGTCCCTGCTGGTGAGGCCACGAAGGGGGCCTGAGCCCATGGCTGGTGGGGGCGGGGGCCCCGGGGCGGATGTGTGAGCTGTGCCCTGGACTCTGGCCTGGTCCCTGTCACAGGTGCTGGGCGGCGCCTCCCTGAGGGGGGCCGGGGTCCTAGTGGTCACTCTGCGGTCACTGCGCCTCCAGGGTTCTGGCCGCCTCCCAGAGCCCCAGGCACTCAGATCCCTCAGCCTGCCCTGCCCCCGGGCCCCCAGGGAGGCGGCCTTCATGGGGGAACTGGTCCTGCAGCCACAAGTCCCACGCAGCTCCTGAGTCTGCAGCAGGTGGTCACCCAGCAAGGGTGAGCTGATGCTTCAGGAGGAGGGCCGACCGCGCTGTGGGGAGCAGGTGGGGCTCCCGCGGACCCGGCACGGAGTGGGGCCGCCAGACGGGAGCCGTGCCTCCTCGGGTCTCGGTGCTCACCGCCCGAACACACGGAGCGTGGAAGGCGACGGCCCACTAATGTGCGGAAGGATGATTCTTTACACTGAGCTCTCTGGCAAAGTGAGCCTCTAGCCTCCTAATTTAAACACTTTCCAAAGAATCAATAGTGTCTGCCGGGGAGAGAGAAGAGCCATCACCCAGAGCGCATCATTCCAGTTCAGTTCAATCGCTCAGTCGTGTCTCTTTGCGATCCCACAAACCACAGCACACCAGGCCTCCCTGTCCATCACCAACACCCAGAGTTTACCCAAACCCACATCCATTGGGTCAGTGATGCCATCCAGCCATCTCATCCTCTGTCGTCCCCTTCTCCTCCTGCCCTCAATCTTTCCCAGCATCAGGGTCTTTTCCAATGAGTCAACTCTTCGCATGAGGTGGCCAAAGTACTGGAGTTTCAGCTTCAGCATCAGTCCTTCCAATGAACACCCAGGACTGATCTCCTTTAGGATGGACTGGTTGGATCTCCTTGCAGTCCAAGGGACTCTCAAGAGCCTTCTCCAACATCAGAGTGCATCCCCCGCCCACAGTCAGTCACCCTTCTCCTCTTTCTGTCTGGACACGCGTGTGGCTTTCAGACGTGAGGATGTCGGGCCGGGGTGAGGGGACAGCGGCGTGTGTGCAAGACTGCCTCCTTCGTTGTGGGAGAGCCTCTTGGAGGAAGCGTGGGGTGGGGGCAACATGCAGAAACCACGCTTCAGGGCCACAGCTGTCCTGGGGCAGCGAGGGTCCCCCCCCCCGGCATGTCACCCGGGATCCTGGCGGTGGCCGAGGCCGCCTGTGGGGTACAGGGAGACGGGGTGACCCCCGGGCGCCACGTCCGCCAGTCTTGGGCACCTGGGCCACTGCGTCTGCTGGTCACAAGGGCCAGGACCGCCAGCTCCGGGCGGGAGCCCGTCCTTGGCGGACAGCCCACCCCAACTTCCCGGGGGTCATACTGCCTCTCACTTCTCCGTAAGGATCAAGGACTGGAGTTGTGAAGACTGCGAGTGGACGGGGTGCAGAGGTCTAGCGCCTCATGAGTGCGGACAGCCCGAGGGCAGCGGGGGCGCGGGGGCCGGGCCTGGAGCGCAGACCGTCCCCGTCGGCACCCCTCCACCTGCCCGCCTGTGTGGAGCCGGGGGGCCAGGGCACCCCGAGTCCGGGAGAGCGGGGAACAGGCCAGCAAAGGTGCTCCAGGAACAGATGCCCAGCTGGGGGCAGGAGGGGACAGAAGGGACCCCAGGGAGCGAAGATGTCCCGGGTAGGCAGGCGTCTCCTCTGAGGACACGTCACGCCGAGAGGCAGGCCGTGCTGCAGGGGCCGCCGGGCAGAGGGCGCTGCTCCCCTCCCCAGAGCACCCTGCATCCCCTCCTGTGGGCCCTCCCATTTTACCCCCCGGGAGCGAGGAAGACAGAAACGCCTGTTCCCTTGGACTCAGGAGGTCTCACACGTGGGAGACGCTTCAACTTCAGACTTTCACTTGGGTCGCATTTGCACCCCCTCCCGCCCCTCAAAACCTGTCATCCTATGATCCTTGAGAGTTTTACTGGAAACGGGTATTAAATTCCCTGTAACAAGCTCAGGAAAGACAGCCGTCTGTGGGTTAGTGGTGTCTGGAGAGGGTTAGACGCTGGGGCCTCCCTCGAGCTGGCCTTCCCCCGAAGGGCTCTCCACCTGCTCTCACAGCCGCCGAGATGGGTGGGGGCTCCTCAAGCCCCAGGAGAGCCTCCCGGGGCTGGGCTGGGGGCGCGGGGGCACCAGGCAGTGGCCTTCCCCGCCCGGCCTCCCTGTTCTGGCCCCAGAGGCGCCCCCTCCCACCGCCGCCCAGGACAGCTGGCTGAGCGTCGTCTGCGGCCGGCACCCGGTAAGGAGCAGGGGGACGAGTGCATACCAGCCCTTCTCCCGGGAGGCAGGTGCAGGGACCCTGGCCCCCCCACCCCAGGCGTGGACGCCCTCGGCCAGCCTGAGGATGGGCCGCTGGATGGTGCCAGCCCCGGCCTGTCCACCAGGGGGCAGTGGTGCCTAACCGTGGCCGCCCTGTCCCGCGGGGCCGCCCCCTGGGCTGGAACCGAGGAGTGGGCAGCCCGCAGCAGCTGACATCCTGACCCGTCCAGGCAGGGAGGCCCAGGCCTCCCGGAAGTGATGCCGCCCACCTGGGGAGAGGCAGGGAGGGTCGGGGTTGCGTCCTGTGGGCTTGGGTCCATTCTGCGGACAGAACCACCGAGGTCCCTGCAGCAGGCTGGCCGTGGCCTTGACCCCAAGACTGGTGCCATGTCCCCTGGTCCCTGCTCTGCTTTCCTTCGGCTCGGACATCCCTCTGAAGCCGTCCGGCAGGACGTGCTCTCCCTGGGGCAGGAGGGGAGGGTTTCCTCTGGCCAGCAGAAGCGACATGTCCAGTCCAGCGGGTGGTCAGTGGGGAGGCGACTGCAGAGAAACAGCCGGTGAGGGGCTGGGCTTCTGCGGGGGCATGGCCACCCGCCGCGGGCACCTGCTCACCAGGGGTGGTGATAGGCCTGGCCTAGAAAGGACCTCGCCAGGCTGGGAGCCCCCGATGTGAGGGGGTCCCTCCTGCTGGATGGGCGAGGAGGCAGCGAGCTGACCTGCTCCTGCCTTTGCTGACCGCTCAGCACGTCCTCTTGGTGTTTCTTGTAAGACGGAGCCACTGACACAGATTCTCAAGGTGTCCGGTCTGGGAGGGCGGAGGCAGCTGGGATGGAGTCTGGTGCCCGGCGGCCCTGCGTGGCTGATGGCTGGGCCCTCCCGCCTGGCAGGCACCCTGTCCTCGTGCTAAACTGCGCCAGGCTCCTCAGAGGCTAATATCAGTATTACAGTACTAATTTATTAGACACGGAGAGATTTTTAAATTTCATTTTTGTGCAGTTATTTAAAATTTAAAACGATAACGTCTGACCCAATTAAATTTCAGCTGATCACTCTCCAAATGCACAGTCTTATAAAATATAAATGAGCAATCTTAAGAACTCTTATAACAACTTAATTTCTGTGTAGATGATCTGCTTTTCAGGTTGTCTAGGCATAAAGCAGAGCTTAGGAAATGCAGAAAGAAGACAGAAACTAGGCTGATCCAATTCTGAAAATTATCTCAACTATCTCACTATCCGGGACTGTATCATGTATGTCAAATTCCTTCTGTTTTGTAATAACAAGGCTTTTTTATTTGGCCTTTCTCTTGGGGATTTCTGGCCTTTTCATAATTTAGAGGCTCCAGCGGAGACAGCCTGTTTTTCCAGCCTCTGGGCAGGTCCCTGGGAGGCTGGTGGGGCTGCCAGCCGTGCCCCATCCCTCCCTGGGAACTGTCTCCCCACTGGTTCGCGTGTAGACCCGCCAGCCTGCCGACCTCCAGCAGCGAGCCTCCCTTCCCAGAAACACAGCTTGCGTGGCCCTGCTAGAGGGCCTGGAAACCCACCTGGTCCCACCAGGCTGGACGGTCAGCACGGCCACCACCCAGACCCTCGACAAGACACTGGGCAGAGCTGGCCTGCTGTGACTGGTCGGAGCAGGACCAGAGACCGGCCAGGGTGGGGCCTCCACACGAGGCCACGCGCCCCGTCTGGGTCATGTGTCTCGTAGAACCTCCTCTATTGGGCAGCTGTGGTGTCACGTGGTCCAGACGCGCAGAGCCGGAGCCTCCAGTGGGGGTGGACATGGGACCCAGGGCCACAGGAGCTTCTCCCGCACGTCGGCACTGGGCAGGATTAGGGTGGCCCCGGGCGTGGGGAGGGGCAGTGTGAGGGTCCCCGAAGACACCAGGGGTCCTGTCGTTCAGAAGATCGGAGGTCTCAGCGCTGGAAAGAGTTGGTCCTCTGTGTCCCGATGATGACTTGATTGGAACACCCAGGAGCCTCAGTTGCTGTCATGGGGTCTGGGGAGCAAGTCTCACTCGGGATGCAGCCGCGGGGGCCATGGCCGGGCCGCCGCTGCCCTGCCTGGCTCTGGGGCACCAGCCCCGACTTTGCACGTGAGTCCCCTGGAGGCTCAGGCAGGAGCCCAGAGACGTTTAGCTGCCCTTTCACATGGGCTGTGCGGTCACGTGTCCCTGACGTGATGGGTAGCTCGGGAAATGGACGGGGCTTGGCCGGGGCCTGGTGCGGGGCTCACCGTGTGAGGGCTGTGGGCGTCGGGCCCGGGTCCCCTTCCAGGGGAGACCCCCGTGTCTACAGCACGGGGACCCACAGCATGCGGTGGTCCTGGGCCTGCTTGTCTCTGCCCCGGGCATTCTGGTCCCTGTGACCAGCCGTCTGGGCAGCTGCTGGGCGGCCAGCAGACGTGGGGTCTGAGCCCCCCACCCCCTACCTGGGCCAGAGCCCCTTCGTTGGGCTGCTGTGCAAACGGAAGCTTTAGGTCAAATCTAGTCTGAGACAGTTTGTCTGCTGAAAGGACACTGGAAAGCTGCCGTTCCATTTCATTTTGCTTTTATAGCTTATAAAAGGCAAGAAGAGAAATCGTTGGTAAGACCGATGGTCTTGACCTCAATGCTGAGACAGAGGAGGGAACGGCTACGTGGAGGAACACACCTGGACTTTCCCCAGAGCGCTGCGTGGACACATGTGGCCTGAAAACAGGGTCACAGAGGAACTGATGGCAGATACTGCAGACGCGGGAGGCACCTCCTGCCCTGGGTCAGCTGCGGTCAGACTGCGGTCAGCGAGGGGACAGGGGGCGGACTGACGGGGGGCCACCCTGAGTGCCGTGGAGATGCTCGGGGCGCCCCGGATGTTTAGATGTGGACGCGGCGGGATGGGCGGGGGCCAGGCAGACGTGCAGGACGCCCCTGGTAACATTCCCTGCCGGGGCGAGCCTGGCCTGCGTGGACAGCGACCGCGCCCAGGGGGTCCACAAGCTCTCTTTCCGCCCCTCCCAGACCAGGAGGGACACGGCCCGCCTCCTCGTCTGTCCTGACCCAGAGGACCACCCCCCGAGGACCTGTGTGCTCTGCTGCTGGCCGCTGCCCCGCCCCGCCCCCGGCCCTTCCACCTGCCGGGCCCTCCTGGCCATCTGGGCTCTGCGTGCTGCCTGCTCGGCCACAAGGCCCAGCCCCCAGGGCAGAGGAGCCCCCCGCGGGGGGAGGGCCGTGGCGCTGGCCCCGGATGGCAGGACGTGCTTCAGGGCCTCTGCCTGCGCCCTGGTCTCTGAACATGTGGATGGGTCGCATCCCAGGGGCCATGGGCTCTCTAGGGCAGGCTGCCTGCTGTCCCGCAGCCCCGGACTGTCCACAGGGGACGCGTCTCCAAGGTGGGCTTCTCAGCACCCCCCACACACCTGTCATGTCCACCCTCCCTCCACAACCCACGCCAGCACCTAACTCTCCCCAACCTCAAATGTGTCTGCTGCCCGCCAGCTCGTCTCCTGAAGAAACTCTGTCCTGAGATGACCGCGGTCATCCTCTCCCTCGTTTCTGGCTCAGCGGCTGCCTGTGCCGAGTCCGGGGTCTGGAGGCTGAGAACCAGCTCTCGCAGAGGCTCCCTCCGGTGGGTACCTGCTCCTGAGTCCTCCAAGGGGGGTCCTTGAGTTTCCTGCTTTGTTACCAGGAGGCATCCCAGGGCCCCCAGGGCCCCCAGGGCGGGATCACCATGGCAACCCTGGGATCACCCGCTTCGGCCTCCCTCCGCCTCGGGAAGGCATGCAGTGTGGACCTGACGCAGGTGAGATTCTGTGCAGTGTCGGCGGGGGCCCTGGCTGGAAGGATGCGAAGGGCCTGGGATGACGTGGGGGCTCCCGAGGAGGAGGGGGCAGAGGAAGGGGAGTGGGGCGGGCTCTGGGCCCCCAGCCTTGACTCCGGCGAGAGACGTGTGTTCCTTGGGGGCTGCCGACCGGGATCCAGCGGGTCTCTGGGGCCCATGCGGACCTAGTACGCTAGCCCTCCCAGACGAGCGATGCCCGGGGCTCACCTGCCGCCCAGTGTCTGCCCCAGCGCCCCGCCTCCCACTGCTGGGGCCCTGTGGGCCGGTGCTTTGCCCACTCAGGGCTGCCGGGAGCTCCGCCGCGTGAACGTGAATCGTGCTGGGCACTTAGGTGGAGAGACATCCTCGTCTGCTAGGCGTTGGCCCTCCCATCCAGCGTCTCTGCTGGGTGGTCTCTGCTCCTCACACAACGCTTCCTGTCTTCCCGGCTGTAGCAGTCCACCCTGCGCTCCACTCTTCTGTCTGTTTGGTATCATCAAGAATTTAAAAATTCCCTTTGTTCTCCTCTGTCAGCTCTTCTGGTTCTATTTTTGGCTGTCTTTTTAATTACCTGCTGGGGGCTGGTAAAGAATCCGCCTTGCAATGCAGGAGACCTGGGTTCAAGCCCTGGGTTGGGAAGATCTCCTGGAGAAGGGAAAGGCTACCCACTCCAGTGTTCTGGCCTGGAGAATCCCGTGGACTGTATGGTCGCAGACTTGCATGGACGGGGTCGCAGAGTCAGACGCGGCTGAGCGACTTTCACTTCCCCTCCCTTCCTTCCTGGGAGTTACACAAGGCGCTCGGCGTCTATGGCTTGACGAGACTGTCACCTCAGCTCGAAGGCTGCATGAACACACAGCAGCCTACGGGAGGGCCCCGCTCCCCTCGTTCGGCCCTTACGTGTTTTCCTTCTACACTTTGTGAGCTCACGAGTCACTGGTGTTGCTGTGCTTTCAGTGGCCGCGTCCCACACTTGCTCTTTCAGACGCAGCTCATTTCTTCTGGAACTTTCTGTGCGCCCATCGGGGTCACGGTCCTTCATTTCAGAGACTGTCCTGGAGTGGTTCTCGTAGGGATGACTTCCCCAGGCTTCACTTCCCGTGATTTCCGTCACAGGCGCTCACTGAGCTGAGGCTCAGGGCAGCAGCCCTGCCCTTGGTGCTTCAGAGGGTTGGCCCTGTTGTCTGCCGGCTCCCCGCCTTCCTCTTGCTCAAGGGTGCAGTCTTGCCCAGAGGCTCTCGTCCCCGTGCATCTGCTTCACGCAGTTTGTGCCCGTGTACCGAGGGGCACAGCCGGGGGCCCCGACGCCAGGGCCTTCATCCCGCTGGGCTGGAGGACCACGTGGCGTCTGAGAACAACACACTTGAGGAAGCACCTGTGCAGTGAGCCAACTTTAGGGCATCCTCAAGGTCTCCCCAAGACCATCTCTCAAATCAACACTCCTCTCAGCAGGCGTAAGACTCAGCCTTCTCCTCAGCCTGCCTGGCACTGGGTAGTGTTGCTCATTTTAGCATTTTTCCGAGCGCTGCTAAGAAGTAAGACCTGCTTTTCTGGGTTACAGGGTTGGTTGTTTTAAACCAGTGGTCGCCTTTATCCTATATCCACGTGGCCCCCGGGTGGGTGTGTTGGCCTCCGTTTGTTTCCTGCAGGCGAGAGGCTGGGTGGGCGTTCTGTGCTGTGTGTGTGTGTGCGTGCACGCGTGTGCGTGTGTGTGCGTGTGTGCACACACATGTGTGTGCGTGTGTGTGCACACGTGTGCTATGAGTGTGGTGGGTGTGGGCTCAACCTGGGTCTCCCGCCCTCCTCAATGGCTCCGCAAACCGCCGCCCCCCCAACCACGACGCACTCTCGGCTGCTCCACGGCTGCTTCTTGCCCAGCCCTGCCCCTCATGTCTCGTGTGGGCCTGGGCACTCTCAGAGGAGGGTCCCCCACCTGGAGAGCATCCCCGGGCCGTCTGTGGGTGTCCCTGCCTGATTTCTGCTGCCTGCCCGTCTGGGGTGCACCCTGCAGAGCTGAGGAAGCTGCCAGCTCAGAGCTGTTCCTGAAGCCTGGAGATCAGAGAGGAAGCCGGGCAGCCCTATGTCCTTCCACCTTTGCCCTGGATCAGACGATGCTGAAGCTGTTCTGAAGCGTGTCCGGGGCCGATGCCTTGCAGGTTGATTTAAACGGGGGATCTTCCAGCCTTTTGGGGGCACTAACCCCTCTGTATTCCTTGTTAAGTGGACCCCAGTTACAACATCCTTGTCATCCAGCTGCCACTGGAGACTTAACGTTGATACAAATGAGCTGGACATATTTTCATTATTTTCTCCACGCATCTCTGCTCGAGGCCTGGGTACCCCTCTGAGGGCACGGTGCCTCCCCACGGGCACCCCAGCCTGAATGTGGATGCCCCCTCCCCTCCTGTCCTGTCCAGGGAAGCCTCTGGACCAGAGCCCCAGTGTCCACCCCCTTCTCTGACGGATGATTCACTGAGGAGTCTTTACGGAGGAGAGATCGGGCCTGTGGGCTGAAGCCGGGAGGTTCTGACATGGGGAGGCTGGGGCAGGGTCCCTGACTCCCGCACTGGCAGGCGTGGGCTGTGCTCTGAACTCGGATGAGAAGTTCACGCACTTTCTTGGTGCCATTACATCTTAGTTACTAGTTAATAACTTTTTGTTTTGCTGAGTTCCCACAAAACCCACAACAATCAAACACTTCCCACTATGACCACTGGCTTCTGAAAACTCAAACCACGTCCCTTCTCATTTTTATTATCAATATATTTCTTAAGTTCTCTCCATATGTGACTTTTTTAAAGATCTTCTATGAATCTAGACATGACAAACCTAGACAGCATATTAAAAAGCAGAGATACTACTTTGCTGACAAAGGTCAAAGCTGTGGTTTTTCCAGTAGTCATGTGTGGGTGTGAGAGCTGGACCATAAAGAAATCTGAGTGCTGAAGAACACATGCTTTTGAACTGTGGTGTTGGAGAAGACTCTTGAGAGTCCCTTGGACTGCAAGGAGATCCAACCAGTCAATCCTAAAGGAAATCAGTCCTGGGTGTTCATTGGAGGAACTGATGTTGAAGCTGAAACTCCAATACTTTGGCCACCTGATGCAAGGATCTGACTGTTTGGAAAAGACCCTGATGCTGGGAAAGATTGAGGGCAGGAGCAGAAGGGGACAACAGAGGATGAGATGTTGGATGACATCACTGACTCAGTGAACGTGAATTTGAGCAAGTTCCAGGAGATAGTGAAGGACAGGGAAGGCTGGTGTTCTGCCGTCCATGGGGTCACAAAGAGTCAGATACGACTGAGCAACCGAACAACAATAAGATGTGCCTCTTAGCTAAATATCTTAATTTTTCAAAGGAGGAAACAGCTCTGAGAGAACCTCTGCTGGGTGTGGAGTCACAGAGCAAGGGTTTAAAGGCCCAGCTGGTGCGGGCCCCACCCTGGGGCTCCTCCCAGCCCCCAGCCTCAGCCACCGTCTTCCTGCTGGTGGGCCCCGCCATGCAGCCAGCTGTGAGGCCCGCGCCGCCCTGTTTGCCCACGTGGACCTGGGGCTGATGCATGAGGAGCCAGAGTGTAAATACGGTAAATATTTTATTTAGGACAGTCTATGCCAGCTTGAAGGGCTCGTTTCAATTTTCTCTCTCCCTGTCACTCTGTCTCTGTCTTGCACAGCACAGGCATGCTTGTGCACGCACACACACACACGCTCACACACACGCACATAGACACACACACGCCCACCCACACATGCGCACACACATGCACACACACGCACATACACATGCACGCACACACATGCATGCACACATGCTCACAGATGCTTGCACGCATGCACACACACATGCACACACACGCACGCATACCCATGCTCACAGACACACGCACACATGCGCACACAGACACACATGCACACATGCACACACATGTGCACACGCGAACACACATACACACACGTGTGCACACACAAACACATGCACATGCACGCATGCTCACACATGCACACACGTGCACGCACGTGCACACATATGCACACACACATGCTCTCACATGCACACAGCTTACACACACGCTCATATGCTCACATACACGTGTGCACGCACACATGCATACCCACACTCACACAGACACACACACATGCTTACACACACACGTTCACACACACGCTCACATACACATGCACACATGTGCGCGCACACACCCCCATGCACACACACACACGCTGACACGCACACTGGCACACATACCCGCACACTCGCACACATGCACACATGCACGCACACACCCCCCACACCCACACACACTCTCAGACGCCAATGGTCCCTGAGCTGCGGTTCTGTGCATGGCGTCTCTCCCACAGCTGACACTGTGAACGCCTTTGACACCCTCGCTCCTGAAATCCTCAGAAAGATTCCCTAGGAATCTCTTCCCCCACTGGCCTGGCCTATTCCAGAGCTTTTGTTTTGTTCACTTAAGAATAATGGCCTTTCTCAATTTCCTGAATGAGTTAACATCTATAAAGCCCTAGAGGAGGAGCCGGTGATGGTGAGGATGACACAGTGTGTGTTGAACAGGAAAGCAGACACGTTCTTTCTTTTTATCCCAATCAGGCCCTTTTCTCACTTTATTTAATCATGTTCGTTTTATCATCATACTCTCTTTCATCCCCACCCTAGTGCCATTTTCCTATCACCCTTCCTTTAGGGAGAACCCATTCTAAAGGATCTGCCTGCAATGAGGGAGACCCAGGCTCGATCCCTGGGTCAGGAAGATCCCCTGGAGAAGGCAATGGCAACCCTCTCCAGTGTTCTTGCCTGGAGAACCCCATGGACGGAGGAGCCTGGCAGGCTACAGCCCATGGGGTCGGAAAGAGTGGGACCCGACTGAGCGACTAGCACTCACTCATTCTGAAGTGTTCCATGTGGTTTTGACTATGTATGTATACCTGAAAGAAGTGGGGCATCATTGTTTTTGTATTTAGGTTTCAGTTTATGTAAAACTGTTAGCCTTTAGCTCTCCCAGTTTGGCCACGCTGGTCCTCACGGCTGAGTGCGGGCCTTCTGCAGCCGTGGCGGGCGGGGGCCCCTCGCGCTGCAGGGCGCCGGCTCCAGAGTTCAGTACCTTCCGCAGTCCTAGTGCTGGGGCGCAGTTGCCCTGCGGCGCGTGGGATCTTTCCCGACCAGGGCTGGAGCCTGTGTCCCCTGCACATGTACCCACTGTACCCTACGTGACTGTCTGTGCAGTCACAGACATCCAGGTGATGCGGTAGAAAATCAGGAGGAGCAGACGCTGTCCATCACTGAGCCTGACAGCTGACCTGCCACAGCGTGGCCTGCTTTCCTCACAACAGGAGGGCTAGGCCCGCCCTCTGAACGCAGGGTGACGGTGGGGTTTCCCTGTGTGGTGTAGGAAATGCCGTTTTGCTCCATGACGTTCTTAACGACCGATGCAGGAAGCAGGTAGATGACGGTCCCCGTGGGGATGAAAGGCCCCTTGTGTCACGTGCACAGACCCCGGGGGCTGACGTGTCTTACGAGTCTCACGGCGGCCCACGGCATCAGTCAAACGCAGTCTGCTAAGTTCTCAGCCATTCTCAGTAAGGGGCTCAATTGGTGACTCATTAGCAAAGCGCTGACTTATTTGATGTAAATATTACTATAACAGAGGTTATGCTGTGCTCCCTGAAACACTTTGCCGTGATTTCATGGATCTGGTACATGTTCTGAGTTAATCTGCTTCATGCCGGACACTCCACCTGGCTGTGGCCGGTATCCGCGTCCACATGGGGACACCTGGGTGGAATTTCACGTCGGGAGGCCAGTTCAAATGCAGGTGAGGCCCAGTGAGCCTGAGTTTCCACGCCCGGCTGGGACCAGTGTCCACGCCCTTGGCTTTCTGGCCCTGAGTGCTGTTTCCCATTCCTTCCTCTGTCCCTGCTGGGGTGTAGGCTGAGCCTGTTGTCTTCTGTGGCAAAGGGACTGGCGTGTCAGCTATCAATTTCCACAGTGATGCTGGGTAACAAACACTCCCAAACGCAGTGACTGGGAGCAGTGGACGTCTGTTTGTTGATTAGTGTTTGGGCCCATGGCGGGCAGGGCTTGGGGGGCTGTCTTCCTGCCCCAGCTGTGTCTGGGGTGCCCAGCTGTAGGTCAACCTAGGGTGTTCTCTCGGGGGGGAGGGGAATGGACACCCCAGCCCTGAGCTTGTGCTCTGGATGGTACCCTACCTGCAGCCATCTGGGCCGCTCTCCTGCTAAAGGGCTCTCCCACAGCAGCAGGCTGGCCAGCCCATGGTCAGGAGGGGTGGGGGGCAGGCTTTAAATACTTTATTCCAAGGTGGTGTCCCAGGGAGACCCCAGCCCACCTGAGGATTCCGGGCAGGGCGGGGAATCGATGCACGGTGGGGGTGGGTGGCTGAGAAGCTACATGGGAGGCAGAGAGGAGTTGAGGACACGGCTCCGCCTTACCCGCACCTGGCCCGTTGGAGGAGCTGGAGCCGGGAGGAACTAGGCACCTGGGAAATGGTTGATTCTTCCTCTGCGCCGTCCAGTAGAAAGGCCAGCTGAGCGCCCCCCTACGGCTGATGCAGGCCAGGCCAGGGGAGGCGACCTTGGGCCTGGCCTCCAGGGCCTTCAGACAAGGGTGTGGCAGGATTGGAGTGGCTCCTGCAGCCCAGGACACTGGCCTGGAGACGGGTGTGGGCTGGGCCTCTCCCAGGACAGGGAGGGGGCCCCTGGGACGGCTGGGACCGTCTCCCCCCATCTGTTTCCCCTGCTCCTCCCGGGGGATCCAGAACCTACGCCCCTTCTCAAGCTTGTGGCCCCAAGCCAAGTGGATGGAGGGGTTGGCCTCACATGTGCGCCATCTCCCTGCAGCCCAGGGAGTCACCCCCCACCCCCAGGAGACTGGCCCAGGGGTCGTCATCACTCGCACCAACACCCCCAGGGAGTCACCCCCCACCCCCAGGAGGCTGGCCCAGGGGGTCCTCATCACTCGCACTGACATCCCCAGAACCGTCTGCTCCCTGTCTTCCTTCCCCCATGAACCTTGGAAACTGGACTTTTCGTGAGAATCGTCATGGGGGCTCAGGGCTGGGGGTCGCCTGGTCTTCCTGTGTCCCTGGGAAGTTCTGGACGCTCATGTGGGTGCTAATGGCCTGTTTGCAGAGATGAGGCTTGTTTCAATCAGGCTGGGCCTCTCCCCCGACGGGCGGGAGGCGCCTTATTAGCATCGCGGGTCTTGCTGACGCTCCTGCTGATTTAGTTTTATTTCTCTCTGCATGCACGTCTGTGTCCTCAGAGTGACCGATGGCCCCTCCGTTAATAAGTGGAGCTTGTTCTGGGGCTGGAATGGCCGTCACGTGCCCTGGAGGCGGCGCCCCGCCAGTGGTTGACTCGGAAAGTTTGTTTGGCTGAGTCAGTGGTTTGCGGCTCGTGTGTGTGTGTTTGCTGAGAGGAGCAGGAGGCCCGCGGGGTCAGCGGGGCTGTCTCAGTGACTTTGCGTGGAACCCACTCAGAAGTGGTTTCCTGGGCTAAAACGCACTCCAGGTCCAGCTGAAAATTCCAGAAATGATCTCCTCTAGTGCGGCTCAGGCAGGGGCCTCGCTGCTCCCTGGGGTGGCAGGAAGGGGTCCTGGGTGGGTCTGTAGTGGGCAGGTGTGGACCAGGGGCCTTCTGTGGGCTCGGCCACATGGACACAGCAGGAGCGACTGGATCTGGAGAGGGTCAGCGGTGAGGCCTCTCCAAGCCTGCCCCCTGCCTCGGGCCCTCCCGTCTGTGCCTGCCCGTCCCTTCCCCACGTCCTGGAGGAGCCCCCGGGCCCCAGCACGCCCTCCTGAGGGGTGGCCTTGCAGTCCTGGGGGCACGCCTGGCGGGGGAGGCAGCCCCACGGGCGTCTGTGCCTCCCGGCCTGGCCCCAGCTCTGATGGAGGAGGTGTGTCTGTCTCGAGCCCGCGGTCGGTGCCATCGTGGCCGTGGGGACTGGCTGCTGGCCCTGTTCCTGCCCTGAGCGCAGCTGCGGGCACTGACCACCCCTCGTTGCATCCTGCCCCTGGGTCCTGGATCTGCTGGCCATAGGGTCGTCTCCTTCTCCATCAGCGCTGGGCAGGGGAGGAGATGCTGTCGGCGGGGCCTCCCAACACCACTGCTCACAGAGGGGCAGCCAGGCGGCCTGGGGCCCCTCAGAGGGGCCGTGCAGGGAGGCAGGCTGGGATGCCCCCCAACCCACCCCACAGCCATCTGGGACCCCCTCCCAGCTGCGCTGCATGGGCAAAAAGAAATACAATCATCTAAAAGTTATGGTTGCGAAGGCTTAAACCAAATCCCTAAGAGCAAAGCAGAGCTGAGCAGAGCTTGCTGTTCCTGGTCTGGTCTGGGATGGGTGTCAGCGCCCCCGCCCTGTTCTGATTCGCTGTTCACACGAGCCCCCGGTCATGCTGTGAACGGGGGGCCCTGTCCTCTCTCGGAGCTCGGGGGCCGGATGGTGGGCGCCAGCGTCACCTGGGCTCTGCGCTGGCCTCGGCTGTGGTCTGGACCGTGGCCCCCAGACTCGTGTGCAGGTGTCTGAAGCCCGGAACTTAGGGAAGGGGCTCCGGGTTCCGGGACAGCCAGGCCCTCGGGTGGTTCTGATCACACAGACCGGGTCCCTGTGGGAAGACGACATCGGGGCGTGGACACGGGAAGGCCCGGCCGTCCCTGAGGACAGAGGCCGCAGGGGCACTGGCGCCAAGACCCCCGCGCGCACAGCCTGCAGGCGGTGGTCTGAGCCGCCCCACCCGACCCGCCTGCTGGGCCAGGGGCTGAGGCCCAGCCGGCCTGCGCAGGGCTCTCAGGGTGGGGGTGGCGCGGGGTCCTGAGGGTGCCCAGAGAGCAGCAGGCAGTTCCCCGAACTTCACCACCAGGCTCGCAGGGACCCGCCTTGCCCCGGGCAGTGCCTCTGCCTCTTCCTGGCGGCCTGGTAGCCACTCTGCAGGACGACTTTCTGCAGGTCACTGCGGAGAGGGGACACACGGCCACCTCCGCCCACACTGCCAGCCTCTCCGTCCTGGGGAGCAGGCAGGACCCCACCCAGCTTGGCCCACGCCCTGGGGCCCCTGTTTGGTGAGGGCCTCCCAGGAGAGTCCGCCCGTGTCTGCGGCTGCGGCCACCAGCGATCCCCACCACCTGTCGGGGGGCCATGGGCTTTGGGGGCTGGCCTTGGAGGAGGACCATCCTGCGTGGGCCCAGCTCTTGGCTCTCTTGCCCTGGGAGGGAGGCTCTGGGCGAGGAAACCGGCCCCCCCAGGCATGCCTGGGCCCCCATGTTCATGTCCTTCAGTCTCTGTGGTCGGAAGGCCTCCTTGGACACGGGCGGGGGGGACGCAGGGCCCCTGGAGTTGCTGCCCAGGGCTCCCGGCTGGTGGGGAGGCAGCTCATCCTGAAACGGTGTCCCCCCAGCTCTGCCTGGATGAATCTGGGGACTCGGGGTTCCCAGAGGCCTCCCCGCCCAGAACTGTCTTCAGAGGAGGGCCGACGAAAGAGCTGTCATTCCAGCCTGACCAGCGTGGGGGGACTGAGGGGCCGCGCGGGCCGGGCTCACCTGGCTGGGCTCACCTGAGCCTTCTTCTGGGTCCCCGAGGCCACCAGGCGTCCATGCTCCTCCCCCGTCCTCCAGCACCTGGAGACCTCAGGCGGATGGTGGGTGAGGGGGCGGCAGCCTGCCGGCCTCGATCGTTCTTCCATCGGGGGGGGGATGATGACACAGGATCCGGGGTCCCCTGGCCTCTGGAGTTGGGAGCCCCAGTGGTCAGTGCCCACTGACTCAGAGCGGGGGGTCCCCAGTGGTGGCCCTTCCCTTCCTTCTGCGTAGCACGCAGGGCTGGGGGAGAGGGGGGCGGACATCTGAGGACCCAGGCTCTGCAGCAACCCCGGGCGGGCGGGCGCCATCTGCGGCCTGGCCGTGAGCAGTGCTCACTCTGCAGGCCCTTCCACAGCCCCCAGGCCCGGCCCTCCGTCCTGTCCTCGGGGCAGACTCATCCCCGCCTTGGACTTTCCTGGCCAAGTGGAGCCGGTGGCCCCTCCTGCCTTCACCATCCAGACTTCTCCCAAAGGTGCCAGGCCAGCCACTCACACAGCCTCCCCGCCCCCATGATGGCCCTCAAGCCCACGAGCCCTCGAGCCAGCGCCCAGGAGCCTTGGCAGGAGGGGAAGCCACCAGGGCAGGAGGGGACAGGCGCCTGCCTCCATGTTGCGGGCAGGCTCAGCCCCAGGCCCTGGCCTCTGGGGTCCCTGGTCCACGGGCGACGCCTATGTGCTGACCCAGAGCCCCGAGAGCTGTGAGCCGCCTGGGTCGCCACCCGCCACCTTCCGGCCTGGCGTTTGACCTCAGCTCCCGAGTCTGCAGCCCGCCACCTGCCCACTTGGCGTGGTGGATGCCGTGACTCAGCGCCTGCAGGCTGGGCTACCCAGGACGGTGCCAGGGCGCCCTCCATCCATGCCAGGCATCCGGCTTCCTCTTCAGAAGGCCCCGTGGCCCCTCCCGGTCCTCTCGTTGCGGCCCTGGGTCCCCCGTTTGTCCTGCAGCCATCAGAGGCGATGGGGATGAACCGCTGTCCTGATGTGGGCGACGGGCAGGCACCGACGTTACCCACTCGCAGCAGGAGACGCATGCTCGGATCCCAGCAAAAGGTCACATTTGCAAGAAGTAAAGAGGAAACACGGGTAATTGGTTCTGAAACTGCATGCTGATACCTCGCCCTGAGAGGCGAGCTGATGGACTTGAAGCCTTTTTGTTCAGGTAATTAAAGATGAGATTTTGTTACATCATTAAAAATGAGGGCAGGCGAGCTGCTTTCTCAGATACTATAGCGTTGTCACAGGAGGTGCATGGACCCGGCCAGGTGGGGCGCTTGGTATGTGAATAACGGACTCATGGTCCCTGACCCTCTTGGCTGGAGTGGAGGCTGGTGGGGGGCTGCTCAGAGCTGTGGGGACCCCACCACAGGGTCTGGGGAGGAAACCCACCTGTGCCTCCAAACAAGGCTCTGGCTTTCCTTGTCCAACCTGAGAGAAGGCCCAAAGACCTGCTGGGAAGGCGCATGGAGGACGAATCTGGAGGCCCTCCCCCGGGGCGTCCCTGTCCTCCCTGGCCAGGGTGACCGACGCCACCCATGGGCAGAGCGGAGGTGCACGTGGTCCGTTCAAGGACCACCAGGACACATCCTGGCTGTGTCCCCAAGGCTCAGACGTGGTTCCACAGGCAGCCCACCCCACGACAGTCCCCCAGAAAATTGGATGAGAGCTTTGTACCAGGAAATCCCACTGCTGATAAAACACCTAAAAATAAAATTAGGCATGTTCTGTGAGTCTTGTTTATTTGTATACTGTTTTTCTTTTCTTTCAAGCTCAACTACATTTGCAGGCACTTTCTTCAAACCTGCATGTGACGACTTTGTGGAGGGCGGGGAGCAGAGCTGGTCTCCAGAGTTCGGGCTGATGTACTGTTTCCACACTGGTAACTGGATGCTGCCTGGGGGCTGGGCGTGCTGTGGCCACCTGTGCCTCGCTGACCACCTTCCTGCTTAACCGGCCACACGAGGTCCGCCTGCATCCTGACGTCCGGCAATGGGTCTCCCTTGTAAATCCCCTGATGAAGGATCAGATGCCTGCAAATCCCACTGTCATCTTTCGATGAAATATTTTTTGTTGCTTAGAAGAAGAAAAATCACCATATTCCAGATTTTTATTTCTTAAAGCACAGTTCTCAGTAAACATAATTCTTCTCTAGACACTTTTAGGCTGTAAACATAGCAATTGGTTTCTACCCAGATTTTAGGGTTAATACAACATATACTGTGGTAGATATTTTTTTGGCCTTAACAAAAATAGCTATTAATTAAATTCCAATTTTATGTAAGAATAGAATTCTGTGCCAGAGGGATGGTGTTGTTTCCTCATAAACTTCCCTTCATAGTCTGGATTTCCAGGATTCTTATTTTTAGCCAAACAACAATGAAAAAAACAACCACTGTATTGAAAGTTTTCTCCTATGATTTGCAATTTGTTTTCTTCAACCTGAGAGTGAAATTAGCTGAAAAATTTCAAGAAGATAGTAAATTCTGCAGAAAGAGGTGTTGTTTTGGCCAGTACAAAAGCCCCACGGGAACGAATCATGGTTTTCTGATTATTTCCGGGGAGTGACCGCTGGCTCCCCTGACCGTGGACTGTGCACAGCTGTCCTGGTTTGTCTCTGATGACCGTGGAGTGAAGCTGCTGACTGACGGGCAGGGGCCTGGGACCCGCTCTCTGACCCTGACGGCAGGCGGCCAACAGAAGCCCCCCCTCCAGCCAGACGCTCGGCACAGGTGGACGCGTCTGCTGACCCAGGCGCACGTCCACTCAGCGCGGAGCAGCGGGAGCGGACCTGGGGGGCCACCGAGGCGGGCCTGCTGGGAGCCGCCCCGGGCCTGCGCTCAGCCTCAAACCCGAGGGAAGCAGAAGTTGCCTGGAGGTCACATCTGGAGGAGGGCATGGCAGCCCCGTCCAGTGTTCCTGCCTGGAGGGCCCCACTGACGGAGGAGCCTGGCGGGCCACAGTCCAGGGGCCCCAGAGAGGCAGACTCGGCTGAGAGAGTTAGCAGGCACCTGCACAGCTGGCTGAGCCAGAGGAGCTCAGCTTGTGCTGCCTCAGCCAAGAGCAAATCGGGGAAACACGGGTGCCTTTTCCACGCCCGCTCATACCACCCCGAATCCCCGTAGTTAGGCTCCCAGGGGCCCCATGCTGTGGCAGAGCCTAGCTGTGCCTGTGTGGATGGGGGGCCCGCGCTCCCTGCACAGCCCAGCGGGCGTGGGGGCAGTGGCCCTCCTGGGGACGGCCTCGGACCAGGCCTCTGTGCTAACCGAGCCTGCGCGGTCCCTCACCCTCTGCTCTGACACGGGCACGTCCAGACTTTGCCCCCAACCCATGACCCCGCTCACCGTCCAGAGCATCAGAGGGCCCCGCACATGGGCAGGCTCAGTGGCTGCGGCCCCTTGCCTGGCCCCCGGCCTGTTTCCTGCTTCCCCGAGGAGACACTGGAGCCAAGGCTACAGTGTCGTGGGGGCCCCTCGGGGCTTTAGCTCCCAGCTTGTATGATTCCTGACACAGGGGTGGGGCGGGGGGATGGTTGGGGGGGAACTCGGACCCCTGGGAGGAAAAGTAGCTTTTCAAATCCACAAAGTGGAGCCAAATGAACAGGCTGCCACCCGGGGACCTGGTGGGCCTGCAGCGGTCTGGAGGCAGGAGGTAGCCCTTCTCTCTCTCCCGGACTCTTCCCAAGGATGCCCTTCAGGTGATGCTGGGCAGACCCGGAGGGGAGAGGAGGGGAGGGGGGGGGAGGGAGAGAAGGGGGGAGGGGAGGGGAGGAGGAAGTGGGGAGGGGGGAGGGGGATGGGAGGGAGATGGGGAAGGAGGAGAGGAGGCGAGGAGGAGAGGAAGGGAGGAGGGGGAGGGGAGGAGGATGCCCCTGGCAGCCCAGCCTCCACCATCCCCCAGGCCTCTGCATTCTAACACCTACCTGGTCTCCCATGATTGTGTTAATCATTTCAATGGGAAACAATCTTTGTGTTAATAAGACTCAGGTTTTGATACATAAGAATCCAGTTAATTGACTACTTATATGCGAAAAATGCCGAGTCCTGATATCAAGTACCTGATAAATACAGTACAGTCTAACACTTGAGCTGCGCTTTACTGCTTTACCGTCTGGAGAGCCTGCCATGAATTATGGATTATGCTGACCCAGCCATGCCTGTCTGGGCAGGCTTCCTTGTGACACAGCCACTGAGTTCTCATTTTGAGTCAGTTGTTGTCACTCACAAGTTTTAAGGAAAATCCTTGTTGATTTTAATATCAGGGAAGTTATTTTTATTTTCCTATGAGTCTAAAGGTCTGTTCAAGTCAGTTCTATGCTTTGGGTTCTTTTTTACTGGGTCATTTGGGACGGGCAGCAGAGAGTGTTTTTGGGGGGAGAGCGGGCCTGGGGCTCAGACCCCAACAGGATGCACACCCTCCAGGGAGGCAAGGAGACTTAGAAGCAGGGTCCTGGCCGCCCGCAGCGGGCAGGGGCAGTGTCTGTCTTATGAGGGAGCTGACAAAGTCCTGCTGCGTGTTATTGAAGCCAGATTCATGTAAGTCTAAACCGGGTTTCCTTTTGTCCATCCTGTGGTCCTCTGAAGGTGAGGACAAGTGAAAGTGTTAGTCACTCAGTCACGTTCAATTCTTTCCGGCCCCGTGGACTGCAGCCCGCCAGGCTCCTCTGGCCGTGGGACTCTCCAGGCAAGAATACTGGAGAGGTTTGCCATGCCCTCCTCCAGGGGATCTTCCCCACCCAGGGATCGAGCTTGCATTTCCTGCCTTGGTTGAGGATTCTTCACCACCTGAGTCACCAGGGGTTTCCTTTTGTGCACCCCGTGGTCCTGGGAACCCTAACCTAGTGTGCTATTTCCCCGAAGCGGGGGGAACTCCCAGGGCCCAAGCAAACAGCAAGCCCTCGAGACATGCTCTGTGAAGTGGGCTGGTTTGGTTTTGGCATCCTAGAGGCTCCCTCAGAACCCGTCTTGGCGCGCCATCCTGAAGACGGGTGGGTTAGAACCCACATCAGACTTCCCTCTGCAACTGGGGCTTCCTCTCCAGCTCACGGGAGTGTTTCAGATGGTGGCTAAACCCTGTCTCCGATGGAGCGGGTGTGATGTGGTCGATGGTGGTAAATGGAGCGTGCCCGCCACCCCCTAGCCCCATCCCGGAGGTGTAGCTCTGGTGGACTGGGTCCTGCCTCCTCGGACCTTGCAGCCGACTTCCAGCGAACGAGGAGCCTGCGGCCCCACTGGCAGGGATGACCGAGCCACTTTCTGCTGGGTGACGGATTCCTAAAGGCGACGGCGTCGTCTGTGTCTCATTAGCGGAGAAGCTCGTTCTCCCCACTGTCAAATGAAACAGATTTTGAAGATTTTCGCTCATCTGGGGGTTTGGATCAGAAAAATTCTGTGGCTTATAAAGTCATTTGTGCCCCTGTTGCGATTGTATTCACAGTGGAGGGGTGACACAAAGGTCAGCTATAACTCCGCAGTTGCGTTTTAGCTTCGGAAAAAATGTAATATTGATCGATAAGAAAATGGAAAAGCACGACTATTAGCGCCTGACTTGATCTTCTCTGACCTTTACCCGCCACGTGCATTTTACTCTGAAATGTTATGCCGCCGGTTCAAAAGGTTTGCCCTGCTCAGTCTCCTGTTTAGTTAACACGCGGCCGGCCCCTCCCTGTGACGCGGCACCGTCTCCCGTGGAACTGCCTCCTCGCTCCGTCGTGCTTTCTCTGCCACCCAGAGCGGCTCCCACCGGATGCCAACTGGCTTGCTTGGACCCCCAAAGTGTGGCATCAGCAGGCACTGGTTCCGCCGTCCTGCGTGCTCTGGAGTAAATCACTGAGGCGGGAGAGCCCTCCGTGCAGGAGTGTCCCCGTGGGAGGTCGCTGTGTGCCAGGGATGTGGGCCTCTCGGGAGAGCCGGCCGTGTGTGGGGAGTGCTGTCTGGGTGGGAGGCGGAGGTCAGGACCGGTCCATGCAGGGACCATGCTGGTCTGGGCATAGATGGGCACTCCGGGGCCAACACGAGCCCCGAGAGTGTGGGGCCGCCCTGACGGGGCTCCCGAGTGCTGCCTGGGTGCGGCTGCAGTCCACTCGTCCGTCGCCCTGTGAGGGGGGCAGCGTGCTTCCGCGGCCCTTCCTCGGGATGGGGGCAGACTGCATGCCGACTACAGGGTGCAGAGAGGAGGCCAGGCTGAGCTCAGGGTGTCAATGGCTGGGCAGGGCTTTGGGCAAGCTGAGGGGCCCTGTCCTGGGGAGGAAAGAGGCCCCCAAAGTCGGGCCCACCCAGAACCTGTGACTCTGACCCACTTTAGAAGTGGGGTCTCAGTGGACGTGGTCAGCTTAAGAAGAGGCTGTGGCGGGTGAGGGTCAGGCCTGAATCCAGTGGGACCAGCCCTTGTGAGAGGGACGCAGACACAGGGCGATGCCACGTGAGGCCTGCGGGGCTGCGGGTGAGCCAGACGCCCCCCACGCCCCAGAGGAGCAGCCCTGCTGGGCCTCCGTCTCTAGCTTCTGCACTTCCTTCTGGCCCAGAACTGGGGATGGCGTGTCAGCAGACATAGCCACCCAGTGTGTGGAGAGGATCGCAGGCAGGACTCCGGGAGCAGAGGGGTCCTGGGCTGTCTCCCCGGGTGACGGGCGGGGAGGAGCCCCCACCCCAAGGCTCTCCCACCTCCCTTCCCCGTACCCCCCGGGCAGTGAGTGCCCCGGCTGGGCCCACGCCGCAGCCCGCCCCAGGTGAGGGGGCAGACCCTGCCTGTGGCCTGGGTACACCGTCCCGGCTCCCACACAGAGGGGGCCCTGCCAGGAGGGCAGAGCCGGAGGGAGAACTCGGGGCCCCCAGCCTCTCCCCTGGGGAGATGTCACCCACACCCCATCTCCAGGGACTCACCTGCTGCAGCCTCCCGAGCTGTGGGAGCCAACCTGCATCTGTGGGTCTCCGTGACGGGGGCTCCCTGGTGTGGGGGGCTCCCTGGTGTGGGGGGCTCCGTGGTGAGGGGGGCACTGTAGTGAGGGGCTCTGTGGTGAGGGCCTCTGTGGTAAGGGGGGCTCTGTGGTGAGGGCCTCTGTAGTAAGGTGGCTCCGTGGTGAGGGGGCTCCGTGGGGCGGGAGGCTCCCTGGTTCGGCGGGCTCCATGGTGTGGGGGGCTCCGTGGTGAGGGGGGCACTGTAGTGAGGGGCTCTGTGGTGAGGGCCTCTGTGGTAAGGGGGGCTCTGTGGTGAGGGCCTCTGTAGTAAGGTGGCTCCGTGGTGAGGGGGCTCCGTGGGGCGGGAGGCTCCCTGGTTCGGCGGGCTCCATGGTGGGGGTCTCCGTGGTGGAGGGCTCCATGGTGGGGGACTCCATGGAGGCAGCGGGCTGTCGGCCCTGCTCAGCCCCCCTCACCGCAGTCTCCGCTCTCCTCGGCCAGGCGCTCTGGGCTCTGGCCCTTCTGGGGGACGGGGGCAGGAGGGGCCCAGATAAGGCTTCTGGGCAGGTTATCTCCAGCCCCTGAGAGGCTGAGAGGGGAGTGATGTCATCTGGGGCACAGGGCGCCCTGGGTCACGCAGGGCCTGACCTCTGTCAGCACCACCTCTGAGTGGAGACCAGGCCCCAGACTCGCCCGGGAGCCACAAAGGGCCAGGCGGGGCCTGTTGTCGGGGAGAGAAGGAACCAGCTGATGGGCAACAGCAGGCCAGGGAGTGGCATCTCGGGATCACCTTCCCCTCAGGTTTTGTTAAATGTGCGCTCTCTCATCTTCCAGGAAAGAGTATTGGAAGGGTGAGGGCAGCTTCTTTGTCTAGAAGACATAGGCATTTCTCTTGACCACAGCTTCTGCATCCCTCTGTGTGTAAATAGCCTGCTGCATCAGAACGACTCTGACGGAACCTCCATTTATTCATGCCAAACACAGCCTCCTGACCCCGGAATTGCCGCCCGGCAGTTTCATCTGCCAGGAAGCAGGTTCTCCGCAAAACGATGGTTGCTTTCTACTTCCTGTGATCACTTTCATGGTTGGGAGGGTGATTCCATACAGTTTGCGGTCAGCAGTGCTTTTCTCGGTAGGCAAGGTTTCCACACCTGGACATTCACACTCAACTCAGCGTTTAGAGGTTGCAGTGGTGGGTGGGAAGGACGCCTTCCTATGGAGAATTCAAGACGGTTTTGAAGCACCTAAAATGCATCATATTTTATTCAGCCACCTACACTTGTGTGGCATGGCAAATTCCCTACTACCCCTTAATAATAAAAGTGATGCAGGGTTACTCACCGGAATCATAACTGGATTTTATTTCATTATAAAGGCACCTTGTTGATATTTCAGGAGGTACATTCCATTACTCATTCCTTATACATGTGCTGCCAAGGTAATTTTTCAGGGTGAAAGAGGTGTGATTCACAATCTTTTAAAGAGGAGTTTTCTAGATTATAAATTCCATTCTAGCCTAAAAAACTTATCAAAGTAATAAAAAGCCTGATATCTTGGTATTAGGGGAAAATGTACAGTTTTGTTTTGTTTTTTGGAAAATGTACTTTTAAGCAGTATAAGCCTATAAATTGCATTCTGTAAACTCTGCTCAGAAAATGAACTTGGGTGAACTGAGAAAGGTGTTTGCTGCTGCTCTGAGAGACCAGCGGAGCCGATCGGCCCCCGGAGTAGCATGGAAACCACTGAGTTAGCGCTGTATTCTGGGAGCAAGAGGGATTTTAAATGAACACCTACAGTTTCTGTTTGGACGTGTGTTGGGGGTGGAGGTGCAAACAGGTGAGAACAAGTGTGCAAGAGCCACACACCAGATGTCCACTGGATGACAGCTGAACCCGGGGACATGGGAACCAGCTGACTCCGGGACCTAAGCCTGAGATACTCTGGGTCTGCCCTCTGCAGGCTGCACATATTTCAATGCCACGTGCTCTGAAAATGGTTTTTTGGCTTTGCCCCTCATCTCTGGGAATCCCTGCCTTTAAATTGAATTCCAGTGGAAAACTAGTCCTCCCAGGGGCTGCACTGGTGTTAGAGGGAGCCAGGGTCTAAAGAGTCTGGATTGGGAGGTCCACTCTGGGGTCTGGGGCTGGGCGGTATGACCCAGAGTTTTTCTCAGTGGCTGAGAAGAACTGACTCAGGTGGACCTTCCCCATCACCACGTTGGACCTGAGCTGCAGACCTGAGGGTCAGCCAGGAAAGGGGGGCCCCACCTCTCCCCCGTCACCAGCGTTTCTTTATGAATGAACTCTTGGATGGATTCAACCTGAGTCCGCTCAAGCCCTCCTGATGACCGTCCATGTGAGAAGACAGCCTTTGCACGGTGGCCAGGGAGCCAGGGGCAGTTACCCGAGCTTTTGGTCACAGAGGGGCCTGTTCCTTTAAACACCTGAGTCCAGGTGCCGGGGAAGGAGGAGCCAGCAATTGGGGGGGACAAATGACCACAGGCTGGCCGGACAGCAGGGGGCGCATCCTTGCAGCCCAGGGCGAGGGGCTTGGAGACCCTCGGTGGTGTGCAGCTCAGTGAGGTGCTGGAGAGGCCCCAGACCTCCCTGCCTCGCGGGGTCCATGGGGGCCCACGGTGGGCTCACTCCTCTGTCACCCTGTCCCCTCTGGGGCCCCCAGCTCCCGTGCCTTGCTGCCCAAACTGGCATTCCAGCGTGGCCTGGCCTGAAGCTTCCTCCAGAGCCATCCTGCCTCGCGTGGGGCCTGGCGCTGAGGGACCCACAGGGCAGGGACATGCCCTCGCCAGCCCTGGGGTGCACCGGGCCCTGCCAGGCCTCGTGCCGGCCACACGCCGCCCACCGAGCCAGAGCCGCCCTGCAGGACAGGTGCGGGCAGACGGCAGGGCGATGTCAGGGTACAAGGGGCAGTGCTCCCGCTCCCCCACCCCCTCCCCGTCCCCGCCTCCCCTCTTCCCCTCTCCCGCCCCCTCTCCCCCTTCCCCTCTCCCCTCCCTTCTCCCCGCCCTACCCCCTCCCCCTCCCCCTCTCTCTCCCCCTCCCCTCCCCTCCTCCCTCCCCGGCCTGTCTTGTCAGCAGCCCCTCCCTAGCGCAGTGAAACACACGGTTCAAGCACAGCCTAGCAGCCCCAGGGGGCATGGCGCAGGTGCAGAGCCAGGTGAGCAGGACACGCCCCTCGTGCGCCCACAGGTACAGCTTCTCCGTGCCTGGCGCTCCAGGCGCTTTGTGGCGTGAGCTGCGGTTCGCCCGGTGCACACGGGCACATGCATGTCACCGCTGTGCGAACCTGGCTCTTTCCTCCTGAGGCCCCCGAAGGCCGCCTCGGTGAGTGGGGCGGGACCAGTCAGCATTAGCCCGCTGGCTGGAATATTTATAGAGGGACTCGCCACGCGGTTCCTTAGGGAGCAGGCTCCGCCGTGCGCGCGCGCGCACACACACACACACACACACACACACGAGCGCACACGCACACGTGTGCGTGCATGCACACCACCCACTTTCTGCGGGCCAGGCGCTCAGCCTTCCTGGGGTCTCAAGTGGACGTGGTGGGGGCGGGGGCGGGAAACCGGCCTTGGAAGCTCTGAGCTGCCCGGAAGCTCTGTGTGTCTGGACCTGCGTCTCTGCCCCGCTCACCCTCGGCCTCCGACGTGCCGGCAGTGACAGCTGGAAGGCCGGACGTGTCGGCGAGGTCAGCTTTCTTCACCTCCCGCTGTCGCATCTGACCCCTGCCACTGTGGCATTCGGGGGCCCTCCCCACAGCCGTGGCCTGCTGCAGACAAGAGCCAGCGGCTGCCAGATGACAGCCGTCAGCGTCCGGAGGGGAGCCTGACCTCGGAGGCACGCGCTGGGGCACCCGCGCCGGGGCCCTCAGCAGCCATCTGGCGCATTCCAGAGGCTCTGGTGACCCTAGGGGGGTGATGGGCGCCTCTTCTGAAGGCCGGCCCGCCCCGCCGACCCCAGAGAAGGGAGGGCCAGGCCCCAGTGGCTGGGACTTTAGTTCCCAGCCAGCCCAGCCTGAACCAAGCTGTGAAGGCCCTCGATGCAGGGACAGGAATGTGAGTCCCCCAGCAGCCTGTCCGGGCCTGCAGGCCTCTCCCTCCCTGCACCTGGCTCAGCTGCCTCTGGGCCTTCTCGGGCTGCTGGGGACATATTATCTAATAAAAGATAATTTTAACGGGCTTCAGTACAGGAAGAGGAACGAGAATGTGAGTTCTATCCAATGACATTACCTTATTCCTCCTTTCTTTTTACTAAAAAAAGAAAAACTGATAGACTATTTTTTGAAGAAGTTTTAGATTTTCAGGTAAAATGGGCAGGAGGTGCAGCGTCCCACCCGCTGCCCTGCCCCCGTTTCTCTGTTGCGTCACTGGCCCTGGGGTGGGACCAGCATCACCACTGCTGAGCCAACACGGACAGGATGCCGAGTCAGAGTTCACACCAGGCCCATTCCTGCTGTTCCTTCCACGGGTCTGGACTAATGTGTAGAGACTCGAGGCCCAGTCACAGCGTCACACAGAGTGCTGTCACTGTCTCAAGTCCAAATGAATGGATGCTTTTGAGCTGTGGTGTTGGAGAAGACTCTTGAGAGTCCCTGGGACTATAAGGAGATCCAACCAGTCCATCCTAAAGATCATCATCCTGGGTGTTCATTGGAAGGACTGATGTTGAAGCTGAAACTCTAATCCTTTGGCCACCTGATGTGAAGAGTGGACTCATTTGAAAAGACCCTGATGCTGGGAGGGATTAGGGGCAGGAGGTGAGGGGACGACAGAGGATGAGATGGCTGGATGGCATCACCGACTCGATGGACATGAGTTTGAGTAAACTCCGGGAGCTGGTGATGGACAGGGAGGCCTGGCGTGCTGTGGTTCATGGGGTCGCAGAGTCGGACATGACTGAGAGATTGGACTGCACTGGACTGCACTGGACTGGACTGGACTGCATTGGACTGGACTGAACTGGACTGGACTGGACTGCACTGCACCGCACTGGACTGCACTGGACTGCACTGCACTGGAGTCACCGTGCGCCCCTCTCTGCCCGCCCCTGGCCCCACTGCAGCCCCTGCGCCGTCGCTGCCTCTGTGGCTGTGCCATCTCCCGGTGTCACCGGGAGATGGGCTCTGCAGTGTGGTGCCCGCTCGGAGGGGCCTCTTCCACTCAGCAAATGCGTTTACGTTTCCTCCCGTCTCTCACGTTTACCTCTGCCTCTGAGGCTTCCCGTGGGAGACGTGGTTCCTCACAGGCCGGCCCCAGGGCCCCGAGCTTCCTCACAGGAGGGGTGCCCACAGCAGCCCCCCCTCCCTTCTCTGGGTGGTTCAGGACATAAAATCCGTTCCCCTGGTTTCCACATGGAGTTCCCCGGGGGTGGCTCCAGGCACGGGATGGGGGCCGGCACACTTATTTTCCCTTTAAGTTGATCAAGAATAGGTTGCCTCCAGGACTCAGGCCCGCCAGCTCAGCACGGCTGGAACCCAGCACGGCACCCACACCCAGACAAGCACACAGCGATGCCTCCACGTGGAAGCTAGGGTCCCCCGGAGGTGAGGACCACCCTGTCACCCGGGGGCCTGGGGGGGCAGACCCGGGGACACGCAAGCCCCCTGGGACCACTGAGGGGCCACACTCATTCATCCTGTCTCCCCGCCACCCCCACCGCGAGGCCAAGGGAGCCTCCTCCTCCATCCTGGGGACCCTGCGCTGGGGTCTCTGAGGGGCCAGGAGGGCTGCGCCCGGCCCATTTCCTCGTCCCCCTAGGTGCGTGGGGGCTCGGGGGCTGGACCTCCGCTGGGTTCCTGCCTCCACCGTCCAGGATGGTCCACCTCCCTCACCCCAAGGGCGAGTGGGCACCCTGAGTGCCTCCCACCATCAGCTGGTCCCCTGGCGGGCTGAGCCCTGGGGGAGAGCAGTCCTCACACCACGGCCTGGGCCCCCACGTGGCCATGGCTGTCGTGGACCCCACGCTGCCGCCGGCTTCAAGTCTGACCCATGGCCCAGCTGGAAAGTGTGATTCAGCTCTGGACAGCTTCCGCCAGGCCCAAGGCCCTGATGGACAGGGCCCCTGTCCCCAAGACGCAGGAGTCACAGGAGAGGACAACGCCCAGAGTGACCGCTGGTTGGCCGACACGTGCCTGCTTGTGGCCTGAAGGGCTGGCATGGTGCCTGGCCTGGGCCGAGCATTGGGGTAGTCCTTGGCTAGTGGGGTGTATTGGGGGCTCCAGATGGGGAGCTGGGGAACGGGCAGGGTCTCCTGCTGGCCTGGGCGAGGAGCAGGGCTGTCCGCGGAGGTCTGCCCGGAGGCAGGCGCTGCCCAGACCTCGCCCACCCAGCTGGATCAGCCCCCAAACACCCTTGTTGGGCACATTCTGGTCAAGTGAGAGGCGAGTGACCGGGAACCCCTTTCTCAAAGGGCAGCTGGAGGAAAGTGGGCCTTCGCAGTGATGGCGGTGCCTGGCTGTGGGGGCAGCCTCCGCGGGACCCCGAGACGCTCACTGTGGCCCCGAGGTGCGGGGCTGGCTTCTCCGGAAGAGAAGCCCCGATGGAAGGCTGACCCTTGGCGGGCCGCGAGGGCGCCCTGACCGTGCGAGCTGCGGGTGACTCAGGTCGTGCGTGACTGTGCTGCAGGCTGGCCTGAGGGAAGTAGGCTGCCTTCTTCCAGGCCTCAGGAGGGTGCTCGGCGCGTCTGATTGCGCACTGTGGACGCACCTTCCCACTGCCCGGGAGTCTGCGGCTCTGACTCCTCGGCCCTGGGGGCCACTGGCCAGTCTGCCCGGGATTTAATCAGAGCCTGTGGAGGCCCCTCTTCCTCCATGTTGGGTCTCCCGTGAAGCTGTCCCAGAGGGCGTCCTGGCAGGGGAAGGAGTTGGGGTGGAGGGTGTGTGCAGCTGTGAGGAGAAGCACTTTCTCTGCACCTGTGAGATGTCTTGAGATGAGGCAAGATGCAGCCCTGTCTTCCTCTGCAGGACACGCTGGTGGCCGCCCCCAGCGAGCTGCTCGGGGGCTGCAGGGTGGGCTCGCCCCCCCGGGAAAGCACGGGGGCTGCCTCCCCTCTGTGTGCACACCCAGCCCTGCAGAGCTCGCCCTCGGGTCCGCGGGGCAGCTGGATCAGGTCCCTGGTCCTGTGTGTGTGTGTGGCACCCCAGCCCCCGGGGCATGAGGCCACGGGCCACCAGCCCTCCCGCTCGGAGCCCGTAAATCGCTCCTGCAGGGCCCCCGCCCAGACTCAGCACCAGCGTGTAGCTAAATGGTACTATTAGTGCAGAGGAAATAAACGGCCATTTCCCTCTGCAGATTACACGTAATTGTGCTTGGGCTGTGTCAACCTCAGGTTTAATTGGTGTGCGGGCTGCGTGGCATGAAGTACGGGATGTGTAATTTATTTATGTAATAAAATGTGCCGTAACCAAGAGGGGGAAATAAAGGGAAAAATAATATGTTTCACACCATAATTATACAGCAAAGTTCAAATTAGAAATACTGCTTGGGCCATGCGCATCCTCTGGGCCAGGGAAGGGAAGGCAGTTCAGATTCTTAGAGGACAGGGTTCTGAGCCGAGTGCCGTGGACAGACGGGGTGGGCCTTGAAACAGAACCTTCTGGCAAGGTGGACGACCTGCACTGGGGTGAGGGGAGGGTCAGGAGAGATGAAAAGCTGGGAGTGTGGGGTCACGTTTACTTCCTTCTGACATAAACACAACTCTCGTGAAAACAGTTCCTGAGACAGAAAGACTTCTTCAGAAAGGAAGGGGAAAAAAAAGACAAATCACCCCACTGTGGCTCCCTGTTTATCTAAAGCTGTATCGTTAAGCTGGAATTCTCATGATAAGACAGAAGCGAGGAGCAGGGCTGCGAGGTCCGGCTCCGTGAGACGTCTCCCGGGCAGAGTTGCCGCTCCCGTCCGTACCTTGCCATCTGCAGGGCGCCTGGAAGGACCTGTGTCCCCATCCCCCAGCCCGGGGCTCCGAGGACTCCGGACGCAGGAATGAGGGGACCCTGGGGGCTCCCACCAGGGCCCTTGGGGGGCCGTCCTGAGGGGCTGGCTCACATGGTCCTCGCAGACTTGCACCCGGACCAGGGCCCCCCGGCGTGGCTGGGCAGCCACCCCCTTGGAGCGGCGCTGCTGCCGAGTGTGTGTGAGGGGCTCAGGACGACAGTGCCCAGGGCCTTGGGACGGGCAGGACCCATGGCCCCGTCCCACCTGAAAGGAATGTTCTAGACCCCTCAGAGGATGGCTGGGGGAGACTTCAGTCCCTGCCCCCAAGGCCAGCTGACTCTGTGAGAGTGAGCCCCGACCCCTGGCCCCGAGCAGCGCGCCCCCTTTTCCGTAGGGCCGCAGCACCTGCTCAGGACGGCTGCACCCTCGATGTCCCCCTGGCCCTGCTCCCAGGGAGATGACGCCGTGGCACTGCGGGCTCTGTGGGTGTGTCCGCCCTGAGCCCCCATCGCGGTCCGGGGGATCCGACCGCCCTGCAGCGCTGGGCCCAGCGGTCCACCGAGCTCATCCTCATGGGTGGGACACGTGGGACCTGGGACCTTCCAGTCCGAATTTATAGCGGCGCACAAATGCCTCCCGAGGCTTGCTGTCCCCGTGAAGGTCAGCAGACGCCTGCACATCTGGGGTTGGGTGGGAGGGAAGGGCAAGCTGAGGCTAGGGTGAAGGTTTCGGCTTATCTGCTGGGAGTGAAGTGAAGTGAGAGTCACTCAGTCGTGTCTGACTCTTTGCGACCCCATGGACTGTACCTGGAATTCTCCAGGCCAGAATACTGGAGTGGGTAGCCTTTCCTTCCTCCAGGGGACCTTCCCGACTCAGGGATCGAACCCAGGTCTCCTGCATTGCAGGCGGATTCTGTAGCAGCTGAGCCACAGGGAAGCCTGAGAACAGTGAAGAGGGGAGCCCATCTGCAAGAAGGAGCAGCACTGGACCCTCAGGAGAGAGGAGCCCCTGTGTGTCCCTGGGTTTCCAGCAGGTGCATGGAGAGCCTCCCCCCTGCCCGGAGCTGGTGCTGGGGTCCTGGAGTCACCAGCCCACTCCAGTGCCTGTGGAGGGGGCAGGGGCTGCGGGGGCCAGGCGGTGTCTGCAAGTGGTGACACTCACTCTACACCTGGGGAGCCCGGCACGAGAGGTGGGTGGGCGCCTCCTGGGTGCCCTCTCAAGTTGACTATGTCCCTCTGTGGGCACCTCCCTGGCAGGGGCTCCCAGGCCAGTGTGGAAACCCTCACAGGAGGCTGGATGTTTGCTTGGGAAGGGCTCCTTCCCTCTTCCACCCCTGCGGGGGTGGGGGTTCTGGGTGCATCAGTCCACAGGGTTGCACAGGCTGCCAGCTGGAAGACCATGGGTGGGCACCGACAGGCACCTGCTGGCGCTTCCCTTCCGCCCAGTTTCTCCTCCTGCCCCCTCCCTGCCCCACCCGGCCTGTCTGTGAGGCTCCTACCCAAGAACAGACTCTGTAAGCCGCCTCAGCCTTCAGGGACCCAGACCGGACATCTGCGCCCAGAGCAGCCCCAGGAGACAGAGAGGGCATCTCAGAGCTGGAGCGCCACAGGGTGGGGGGGCGCACTGCTGGGAGGGCGGGGTCCCTCAGTGTGCAGGGGGGAGTGGGAGCGGTCCCTCTATGGGAGGGGGAGTGGGCGGGGTCTCTGATGCAGGGGGCAGTGGGTGGGATCCCTCAGTGTGCAGGGGGGAGTGGGCGGAGTCCCTCTATGTAGGGGGGAAGTGGGCGGGGTCCCTCTGTGTAGGGGGGAGTGGGCGGGTGCAAGGAGTGGGGGTGTAGTGGGGAGCCCCTGTCTGTCAGGGGTGTCATGGACAGGAGTCCTCAGAGCGGCACCATCCCCAAGGTGCAGAGGCAGGGAGGAGGTGCAGGGTGCCCGAGAAGGAGGCGGCCCGGGGATCCCGGGGTGGTGGACAGAGGCCTTGGCTGGCTACAGGGACCCTCGGGAAGGCAGTCCGGGTCAGGTCAGCCAACGCCCCTGAAGACATGCTGCAGTCAGAGCCTCCTGGAGACCTAGAGGCAACCCAAGCGACCAAGTGTGACTCGACCTTTCCCTGGCGTAGGACGCGCGGTGGGCAGCTGCAGGAGCCCTCCCCCAGCGGCGCCCTGGGTCCACGGCACCCCCGAGGGCAGGAAGATGGCCACCATGGACCCTGCCTGGCACCCCCACCCGAGGCATCACGTCTTCAGGTGGCCTGTCCTGGCCGAAGCCCTGAAACCACACCGGCTGCTCAAGAAAGTCAGTCAGAAGCAGCACCGCTGGATTCCAACAGCGCTCAGACCATCAGGGCCACCTCGGTGTCCTGAAGAGCCCGTGGGCTGGCCGCACCGCGCGCCCAGGCAGCCAGGCTGCCGGACCTTGGCAGGGCCGCGGTGAAGGCCAGGGTCAGGCAGACGCCGGGGGATTCCCACGGGAGGAGATGCAGTCACTTGGGGCTCCTCCCGGCCCTGGACGGCGGGAGAGGGGCCTGCTACGGGGCAGAGGGTGGCTGGGTCTGCCTGCTGACCGGGCGCGAGCAGCCCAGAGGATGCACTGTGTCTCGTTCCCGCCTCCCCCTGGGGAGAGCAGAGAAGGCGGCAAGCCCGGCGGCCGGGCAAGTCCTAGGAGACCGTCCACCCCCGCTGCCTTTCCAGGGTCAATTTTTCTGACCGCCAGGGAGAATTGCAAAGATGCCCATAAAAAAACAGCTGGTAAACTCTGCGCAGATTCTGCTCCGAAGGAGGGCCTCACACGTGATTTTTCTTGTCTTGGATGCCCCCTGTCCTCCCGGCTCTCAGCAGAGGCGTCCGCAGTGACCACCGAGACAGGAGAAATGGCCGCTGCCCAGGGCTGGACGTTACTGCTGGACGTGGGTCACCGCTGAGCCTGCCCCTCGGCCAGGAATGGGAAGGGACGAGGGCGGGGCCGGGGGAAGTGGGCGGGGCCGGGGGCGTTTGGGGTAGTGCTTCCAACACTAATCCTATCAGGGAGGTCGCGTGGGCAGGGTCACTCGGCAGTCTGACCACTGCAGGGGGGCTTCGGGCCCTCTGTCCTTGGCAGAGCTGGTGAGCTGTCAGTGGGGGTGGCAGGCGGCGAGTGACGGGGAGTCGCTGTGCTCACAAGAGCCCACTGCCTCCCACCACCCCTGCACTGCCCAGTCCAATGTCCCCCACTGCCCCCCGTGCGTCCCGGGTTCCCAGGAATCAGTGTCAATTCTGACCCTCTGTTTCGGTGGCTCAGATGGTAAAGAACCCTCCTGCAATGCAGGAGATGTGGGTTCAATCCCTGGGTCAGAAAGATCCCCTGGAGAAGAGAACAGCCACTCCAGTATTCTGGCCTGGAGAATCCCACGGAGAGAGGAGCCTGGTGGCCTCTAGTCCATGGGGTCGCAAACTGACGGACTAACATTTTCACATTTTTTTCATTTCACTTTTCACCGACCAGCTGCCTAGAAGTCCCCAGGAGACCTGGATGTGTCCTCCCTGGAATGGCCCCTGCAAGGTTCCTTTTGGGAAGGCTGGGGGTAGATTTGCAGTAGAAATTTCTGGTACTGTCCCTTTTATTATAAAAGTTAAGGAAAATTTGAGTTGGTGGGTGTTTGAGTCCTAGGAACGCCGAGATTCACTGATATCATCAAGGATGTCTGTGGGCCAGACGGGTTTGGGCAGGCCTGCTACCCACCTGGGTCCCACATCAGCCCTGTTCCTTGTGGCCAAGAGCGGCCCCTGATCTCGGCCCCTCTGGGACCCAACCCCGTGGGGTGGGGCCCGGCTGAGGCGGCCTGCCTCTGGTCACTGGTGGCCTGCAGGGAGCAGCCTGGCGGGATCTGGGAGAACGGGGCTCTCACTCCGTCCGTGGCTCTTGACACATCGTGGAAAGATGTTCTCTGGCCAGAGGGTGAACTGCACAGTAAATCCACTCCTGGGGTGTTTCTGGCTCTCTTGGCACTGGGGTTCTTTCCTGCCAGTGCTCTGACATCATTTCACACCAGCCTCCACCCCGCCCACGTTTCCATCAGCTGGTCACAACCTGGAGTGGCTCTCGGTCTCTCGAACCGATGCCAGGCGTCCAGGACACAGCATCAGGCAGTTGCCCCTGGAAATGCGCCCTGAACCTCCACTGCGTGCCTGCCAGCCCAGCCTGGCGCCCTTGGGGCCCGTCGGGCATGTCCCCCAGTGACAGCTCTCCCTGGGTGCACGGCTGTCCCCACTGGCTCAAGCGTGCCCCTGATCCTGGGCACCCCCAGGATTTGAGGCGGGTTCGGGCTTCCCAGTCACGGCAAGTGATAAGGGACACAGGTTCTGTTGGGAAGGAGGGGGTCCACAAGGGAGGGAGGAGAAACGCCTGGGGTGTTGGGGGACCCAGCCCTGTCCTGCCGTCTTCTGCCCTCCCGGCCCCTCCCAACGCCATGCCTTTCATGTCAGAGGCTGCGCGGGGTTGAGTCCAGCTGCGCCTGGAGCTCGCTGCCCTGCGGCAGGCCCAGCCCTTGTCTCCGGTTTCCAGGAATTGTGACCTTTCTGCTACTGGTGATAAGGGCTTCTTTTGGGCCAGTGCAGACGCTCCGGGTCCTTAGGAGCTCCGGGCGGGGAATGCGGGGCCTGGGGGTCCCTAGCGTCCAGTCCCCCTGCTCTGGAGAGCACATAGCCTGCGGGCCATCAGAGCCGCCCCTGCGCAGGCACCAGGCTGCTGATGACCGCAGCCGATAGCCAGCAATTACTTTGTTACCTTGAGCGAAAACCAACCGCCAGCACTCCATTTCCCACGGCAGGAGGGTACCCTTCATCAGATCAGGAATCTGCCTGGACTTCTGTCCCCAGAGGAGGAGGCCCTGGACGGTTATTAAGTGGAGAGCATGCTTCCACGAAGGCGGGAGCTGCTGGGTGTCCCCCCATCAGCCTGTACGCTGCAGACCTCCCCTCCGTGGCCCAGCCCTGACTTGTAGGCTGTCCCACCCTCCTGTCTCTCCCCGCTGCCACCCGCCACCACCGCCTTCTGGAAACCCAGGCTTCCTTTCTGCTTTCCCACCCTCCCGGGAGCGTGCTCACCTGGACCCTTCAGGGGCCCGTGGGTGCGAACGGCGGTGCCCCGTGCAGGCTGGGTGGGCAGGGCTTGGGCTCCCCCAGCATGAGGCTGCTCTCTGCTTCCTCCTGCTTCCCCGGGGTCGTGCACACAGAAGGCCCTCCAGGTGTAACACAGCCCGGCCCGTGGGTTTGGACAAAGCCTGGTTCTGACAAGGACCTGTCTGCTCTAAGACCCCAACACCCTGGAAGAGGCCTGATGCCCCAGCTGGGCCCCGTGAGCTGGGCAAGGTGACAGCTGGTCGGCCTTGCACACAGGCTGGGGCTCTGTGGCCCTGAGAGGTGGTGACTGTGGGCCGCACACAGAGCCCAGGTCTGGCGGCCCCCGCCCCCACCCTCACTCACCCGCTAAGCTGAGATCCCGGGAGGGTGGCATCTGGGGCAGCGAACTGCGGCTGCCACTTCACAGGGAGTGCATTATTCTGTCCCCTTTCAGAGAAGCCTTGATGAGGGGGACCCCGGGCCCTGGATGGTCCTGGTCATCGGTGCTGCCCAGGCCCAGGGCCCATTCTGATGGCAGGTCTGGGTCGGAGGGCTCCACTTCTCTGCTATGGTCACTTCTTGTTTTCTGGCTTGAGTGAGAAGTCGGGCGAGTGTGCACAATGAAAGCATAAACAATGTCCAAGAGCAGCGTTGTGATGAGAGAGCCTGTGTGCGCTTTTCTCCATGTGTGCCGGTCACTCAGTCGTGTCTGCCTCTCTGCGACCCCGTGGACTGTAACCCGCCAGGCTCCTCTGTCCACGGGACTCTCCAGGCAAGAGTACCGGAGCGGGTGCCATGCCCTCCTCCAGGGGATCTTCCTGACCCAGAGGTCGAACCCACGTCTCCCGCACTGGCAGTCGGATTCTTTACCAGCTGAGCCACCAGAAAGGGAAAGAACTGAAAGTCGCTCATCAGTGTCTGACTCTTTGCAACCCCACGGACTATATACAGTCCATGGGATTCTCCAGGCCAGAATACTGAGTGGGTTGTCATTCCATCCTCCAGGGGATCTTCCCAACCTAGGGATCAAACCCAGGTCTCCTGCATTGCAGGCAGATTCTTTACCAGCTGAGCCACAGAGGAAGCCCAAGGATACTGGAGTGGGTAGCCTATCCCTTCTCCAGCGGATCTTCCCGACCCAGGAATCGAACTGGTGTCTCCTGCATTGCAGGTGGATTCTTTACCAGCTGAGCCACAAAGGAAGCCCTCGATGTCATGGATAATAACTTATTTTGTACTTGAAACTAGAAGAATAAAATGAATGGTCTCTGGCTTCCGGAAGCACAGCTAGACAGCTGCATACACGGACACCACCTGTCACCCCTCTCAGCGCCCCTGCGGCCGCCCCTTGTTGGTGAACAGCAGAAATGGGTGAAAAGCTGCAACTTTGCTGATAACCCCCGTCAGCCCGTCCCCCTGCCGCAGGCACTGTGGGCGCAGAGCGGTTCAGGAGCCAAGATAAGGGGAAGGACCCGGCTCGCGGGGAGGCTGCCTTGTCCTCTCCCAGCAGGCCGGCAGTGGGCTCACTGCAGACCCTGGGCTCCGGGGACACAGCCCTGCCTGGAGGGTGGCCGGGCCTCCCGGTCCCCTGAGGCTCAGCTGGGGAGTTCCCTGGTGCAGGGAACTGGGCACTGGGTCATCGTCGAGAAGGTGAAAAATGGGAGCCCTCGCCCCCTTTCCGCGCTGAGCCCCTGCAGCCCCGAGCAGGTGGCGAGCCGTCTGTGCCCCGGGCTCACTTGGCCTTTGTGCTGACCTTGGGTGCTGACTTGGGTGGCACCCTCACACCCCAGCCCCCTCCAGCCACCGCATCCCAGCGATGGCCAAATCTGCGGACAGAGGAGAAATGTCCCTGCGGCCAGAGGCCCTGCCTGCCAGGGCTGGGGTCTTTCCTGGGCCCCGCGGGCAGGCCTGCCTGGCACAAGCCCGTCCCCATCCCCTGCAGGCCGGGCGGCGCCCGTGCCCTTGCTCTCCCTGGCTGACTGGGGCAGGCCTCCCACCCCGGTGGCCAGGGGGTCTCCAATATCTAACTGCACACAACCGACTTTCCCTACCCGAGTGCCAAGTAGGAAGGTCAGTGTGTGTCAAGGCACTCCAGTCATGTCTGACTCTGCGACCCCATGGCCTGTAGCCCGCCAGGCTCCTCTGTCCATGGGATTCTCCAGGCAAGAATACTGGAGAGGGTTGTAATTTCTTTCTTCAGGGGGTCTTCCTGACCCAAGGATCAGACCCACGTCTTTTATGTCTCCTGCTTTAGCAGGCGGGTTCTTTTCCACTAGTGCCATCTGGGGAGGTCGGGGTGACCCGTACATTTGGAAGCCTTCCCAGTCTTCGGTGTCCACCTGGCCCTCCAGGACCGTGTGTTCGCAGAGACACCCAGAAGCTGGGTCTCACCCTCGGGGACAGACAGGAATGTGCACTTGAGACCACAGAGCGGCAGAAGCAGAGGTGAGCCCCCGCCCCCGGAGTGGACTCTGAGGACCCAGGACAATGCATACACTTGTGTAGTCCCAGGAGGGTCTGTGCCTGGCCCGGGACCCCAGGAGCCACCGTCAGGGATGCAGGGACCCACCTGCTTGGCCGACGTAAACGAGGCTCCCCCCGCCCGAGCGCTGCGGCAAAGCTGGAGTCACTGCTCAGGCTGATGCTGTGAACCTCAGCTGATGGTCCAGGTTAAGAGTCTCCATCATCAAACTCACTAATCAGGTCCCGTCTGCTGTCTGACCGTGATGGGTGCGGTCCTGTGACCCGTGTCAGGGTCTGGGGTCTCATGGTAAGTCTTGGGCAGGAGAGTGGGGGTTGGGGCCCCAGAAGTGTGTGTCCAGGGCGATGCCAGGCTCCACAGGCCTGAGCAGCCTGTGGCCGCGGGAGCCTCCACAGCCCTGGGTGTGTCTGTGGGCACGTGTGGGAGTGTGCATACCATGTGTGTGCACCTGTGTACTCACATGTGAGCATGTGTGTATGCATATGCAGGTCCCCTCCCATTTGTCTAATCCCAGAAAAGCTCCTAATTCTCCTGGTTCATCTGTGAGTCTCCCCGACACTGGATTCTTCCCTGACGGGTCGCGCTAGGGCCCTGAGGGATGTGAGATCATCACAGGAGACGACCTTTCCTCCTGCTGCCTTCATTCTGGTGGATTACTGGATATTTCCCTCCAGACTGCACCCAAGCAAGCCAGGAGCCTCTCAGATCCAAGCGGGCAGCCTGCACCAGCCCTGCCAGAGCAACCTGGGGGTTTCGGGGCCCCAGGGGCAGGCAGCAGGGGTCTAGACGCGAGCCCCTCCTCACTCACCGCCCCCCAGGCTCTCCCCAGTCTGGCCCCTGGTGTTGCGGGCCCAGCCTCCACCCCACTTGCGTCCTGTCCCTGGTTAAAATGGGCACTGCTCCTGGGGGCCTGGCCTGGACACCCGCCCCCCTCCAGCCCCACTCTGTCAAATCCACCTCTCCCTGGGACCCAAGCCTGGGCCGGGGAGGGGCCCCTGGTCAGCACAGCCAGGGAGGTGGTGAACCAGGGACAAGAAAGGGCCTGTGTGGACCCCTGCTCCCTGGGGCTCAGTGACCCACCACCCTGACCCTGAGCCATCTGCGGGCCCCGGGTGGAGGGAGTTCAGCACCTCTGGTGCCCACTCGCTGCAGCAGAAGCAGAGTCATGGCCGGGGCAAGGCCTTGGTGCCCCACGAGGTGCAGGTGAGGGTCCAGGCCCGCGTGGGAACCCCTCCTCTGCCTTGCACTCGCTCTGGGTAGTCGGCGCCTTCCTGCGCTGCGGCTTCGGCTCAGCTCATCAAGGTTCTTGCCCGGTGGGGCTCCCGAGGCTAGATCTCCACCCTTGCTGATCAGACTTGGCCAGACTGCACGGTGGGGTCAGCTGAGCCTTCCCTGGGCCCTGGCTGAGGGGACGGGTCTCCTGCCTCGCTTCTTAGAATCCTGAGTGGGCTTGGCTGACGCCAGAGAGCCTTCAGTAAGCTGAACCTCCAACAAACCTCCAACAGAGAAGCAGGTGTGTGTGTGTGGGGGGTGGCGGCAGTTGTCTGGTCCTGGGGCTTCAGATAAACCTGCAGGCTTCACCCAGAGCCAGAGTCCTCTTGGCACAAGGCACTTTTTCCACAAGTGTTTCTTCAGAAAGCTGATGTTGGAAGACACCCCCAACTAGCTGTAGCCCCCTCCCCCTCCACTCCCCCTCCCCTCCCCCTCCCCTCCCCCTCCCCTCCCCCTCCCCTCCCCCCCTCCCCCCCCTCTCCCCTCCCCCCCTCCCCTCCCCTCCCCCCTCCCCCCTCCCCTCCCCTCCCCCCTCCCCCCCCTCTCCCCTGCCCTCCAAAGACCTGAGCCTAAGGTCAGGAGGCAAGGTCAAGGGGCTTCCTTCCCCAGGCTTTGTGGCTTTCCCACGAGGCCACCCCCAGGGAGGGGACTTTCCTGTTTCATCCAGGCGAGGGAGGGGCAGGGTCTTAGCCCAGTCGAGGCTCTCAGGGAAGTGGGCCCTGAGTGCGCAGCGCGGGGCGGGGGTCTCCCTGCTGCAGGGACACCAGGCTTTGCAGGCCGCCCCCTCGCTTCTCCTCTGGGCTGTCCCCTGCCTTGCAGGCCAGTCCACTGCGGACCGGCCGGCCCCGCACCCCAGGGCCGCTGTGGGCGGGCGTGGCCTCAGTTCCCTCAGTCTGGCGTCCACTGCTTTGGGAGAGCGGGCCCTTTGCAGGAGGCCAGCCAAGAGTCCTTGCTCCCAGACAGCGTGAGCCTTGGAAGAGCTTGCTGCTTCTAGCTCTTCGGCTGTCTTTGGGAAAGAGTGAGACAGACAGATGTGAAGACAGAGAAGGGAGATGGAGAGAGGCGGGAAGGAGGGAAGAGGCAGTGGGGCGCCCAGGCCAAAGCAGCTTCGGCCGGAGCCCTGGGAAGGAGGCGGCATAAATCCCTGCATAATCTCAGGAGACGACCACTTTAAATCTTAATTGGTTGCCTTTTAAATATCATTTAAGGGCTGGCTTCCCTGCCTCTCTCTCTAGTTAAGAAGGTGTCGTGTCAAACTCCATTACCTTGCTGGACTTCTCTCCCTTTAGTTAAAAAAAAAAAGGAAGGAAAGGAAAAGAACAGAGGAAAAAAATGGAGCCATCAGTGGCGGTTGGAGGGTCGATAAAGCTTTTAGATTTGGAGACGTTTTCAGGGAGCCCATTTCCCGCGGCTAAGAGCTGTTAATGGTGCTTAAGGAATTATCTTAGCGGGCCGGCGGGAGGGCAGTATATTTCCCGCGCCTGTTCCCCTGTCGGGGCTGGATATGCCGCTGTCAGATTCGCTTAATGAAAAGTAACGCGCCGCTGATTACAGTTTTATTTGGGCTCTATGTAAAGAGCGCCGTTAATTTAGCGGCCCCTCCTTGGTGTGTTTGAATTCTCCACGCCTGAGCGGCTGAGAGCGTCGGGCCCGCGCCCTTCTGACAGCCTCCCTGGGAGGGAAGCGCGCCCCCGCCCCACGGACAGTGGCCTCGCCCCGCCGCGCCCGCGCCTAAAAAGGCGTTCCCGCCCCGCTTGTGCTAGCCCGACCCTTCTCTGAAGATCAGCCAGAGGGTGGGTGAGTGACCCTGCCAGAGTGTACCCCAAAGGTGACGGGTGTGCGTCTGCGTGAAGACTGCAGCTTTGGGGCGTCTTTTGGGCGAGTCGCCCCTGGGATGCGGCTGCATCCCGGCTCTCCGCTTGATGTCTTTATTTCATACAATTTCTCGGTTTCCAATAAACCCTTCCGGTGAGCCAGTTTCACCACGACCTGAGGGCTCCTGCACGGGTGGTTCTGCGGGGACACGCGGGGCCTCTGCGCCCTGGCGATGCCAGGGGCCTGGGGTCCCTGGGGCAACGGGCTGGGATTGCTGGAGCCGCCTGGGCTGAATCCCGGGAGGGCCCGCTTGGGAAGGAGCCAGAGTAGGACCCAGCCGGAGCGCTGCGCGCGCACGCGCGCCCCACCGCGCGCGGCCCACAGTCTGGGCCCCGCAGAAGCCCCAGCGTGGGGTTCCTGGGGTTTCTGGCTCCGCAACCCCTCTCTCGCCGAGCCATGCCTCCTGCGTCCGCGAAACCTTGTTTTCGCTGAAAACGTCTGGCTTTGTCTAAGGCGGGGTGGGGGTGCACTTGGCGGCCGCGCATTAAAATTCCTGGCGCCCCAGCCTGGCCGCAGCATCTCCCCCGAGACTCCACTTTCGCTATTACTGTCAAGTACCCTTGACTATTTTTGCCCTTTTATCTATTACAACTAATTCGAGTTCTTCTGCCCTTTTCAGTCTAAGACGTGGGCTTTCTGCAAAGCCTCCCCCTGCCAGCGAGCTCTCGGAGCGCGGAGCCTTTAGAAATTGAGGGGTTTACTGTCAAAATGAAAATTTCACTTCAAATTATCTTGGCTGATGCTCGCTCGCCAGGCCGGGGGCTCCCGCCGCAGCCTTTTGACAGACACATCAGCGGCGAGCTTCCGAGTCCGGATAATATCATCCAAGAGAGCGAAAGTCAATACGGTGACAGCGCGCGGGCGGATACAATCCAATTACCGCGGGGCCGGCGCGGCGCAGGGCCAGCGCCCGCGCCCTCCTCTCCAGGCCTGGGGTTCGAGGTCCCGCCAGCAGGGGCCACCGCTCAGGGGTGCCCCTCGCGGGTTCCTTCTCCCGGGTGGGACACTCACCCCATCGGGCCCGCTTCCCAGCGCCTCGACCGCCCCGACGTTTCCCAGGTGGCCACGATCCACGGGGCCCTAGTCCAGTAGCATCCAGGCCCTCGCAAAAGAAAGGCCGGGCCTCCTGTGTCTCTCGAAGGCTGCCCGCCGCTCGGCGGGGCGACACTCATCTTCAGCTGGCGTCTCTGCGGCTGTCAGTCTGCCCACGGGCCAAGGGCCACCATCTCTTTACGGAAGCACGATCGGGCCGCTGCCCCCTCGCAGGCTCCTGTCGGGCTGTCCGTCCTTCCTCTGGGCACCTGGGACAGCTGTGAGGGCCGGGGGAGCCTTAGACAGAGAGCTGGCAGGCGAGGGCCAGCGCTGAATCCACTGCGAGCTCCTCTGGTGTCTTCGAGGGGCGCTTGCGCGACGTGGGGAGGAGGAGCTGGGTGGGGTGATGGGGGGCAGAAGCCTGCGGGGGGTAGGGAACTCCGCAGAGTCCACCTCGGGGAGGAAGCCAGCGATTTTCCTTTAGATCCGAGCTGCAAGACCGCCTGTGAACCGGGGTCCGCCGGGTGGGGGTGGGGCAACCGAGTTTCTGAGCGAAGCCGGGGGTCCCACAAAGACCTAGATGAGGCGGGGGAGGCTCACGTTCCCCACCCTCTCCCCGGGGCCTTCCTTCGAGTCCTGCCTGGGGTCTTCCGTCTACTAAGCTCATCCCTGTCTAGCACCCGCGCTGCAGGCTTTGCCCATGGCGAAGGCTTGAGAGCACAAGGGCGGGGGGCGGGTCCCCCAGGGCGGGTCCCCCATCCCCGCCTCCTGACGTCCCGCCTCACTCCCCCCGACCCCCTCCCCTGCGGAGTTCGGAGGCCCCAAGGCCGCGGGAGGCAGCTCATTCAGCTCTGGAGGGGCTGAGGGCAGTGGCGGCCGCACACCCCGCCCCCATCAGGGCACAGTCCCAGGGAATTTGGAAGTTTAACAGTTTTTCTAATCTAGCCAAAAAAACTTTTACTTTCTCAAAATTCTGGGGCCTGGCACGGGGAGAGTTGAAAAGTTTGGGGTCTCTCATCACCTTCTAATCGGAAACCCTGCAGAATCCTGAGTTTAGCGCGACTGTTTTTTTTAAAACAAAGGCTTCACCTTTGGTCTTGGGCTCTGTAAGCCTCCCGCTGCTGCCCTCAGGTATGGGGTGATGGGCAGCTTCTCTCTCACGTTTCCAAATCGCTGGGTTTCACACGTGCTCATTTTGCAATGCAAACACCATCACTCGGTTTTATTGGTTTTGTTATATCAGCCTCTGAAGCAGGCAATTATTGGTGTGAACATACATTTAAAAAACATAATTTTATCGGGTTAAGAGTGTGCAACAGCGTAAACTCGGTGAAGGGCTGTTGGTGAGAAGTATGTGCTGAGGATGAAACCGGAAGGTCAGTGAGGAGTCTTCAGGAGCAACAGCGGCAGGCCTCAAACCCAGAGGGGACAGCAACACAAACGGGCCTCGAACGACGCGTCTTCGCCTGTAAACTTTTGGTCGTAAACTTTATGCTTCAGGGTGTCTCCCTGCTGCTCTGAGAGCAGCCCTGTCCGGCCGGGTCCCTCGGTTGGGGAGGGCCCGGCCAACTCCTGTCCGTTGCCTGGGAGCCCCAGTTCAGAAGCTCCCTCCGGGGAGGGCTGGCGGCCTGAGCTGCGCCGCACTCTCGCCTCGCTTTGGACACTCGGTAAAAAGAGGGTAGGCCACATTCGAGCCTGCGGCCTGAGCGCCGGCTCTCTCCTCGGCCCAGCGCCCTGCCCTTTAGGCGCAGAAGGGCTTGCCGCCGGCTTTGGGCAAGGCCAGCAGGTCCTTGGCTGTGCCGGCGGCAGGGGCGTCGGGAGGCGCGGCGGGCGGGAAGGGGCGTGCCAGGGGCGTGGTCAGCACGTTGGCGCCCGCCCCCAGCGAGCGGCCCAGCGGCCCCCGGTCCAGGAGCGCGCTCTTGGCTGTGGCCCAGGCCTGGTTCAAAGTGCTGTGCCTGAGGATGGGGTCGTGGAAGACCCCGTCTACCCAGTTTCTGAGACTGGTTACCGGGGAGTCCTGGTGCCTGTCCAGGGCCCCGGCGGGGGCCGCGGGCGAGGAGGAGGCGGGTGCCGAGGAGGGGGCAGCAGGGCCCGCGAGGGGGCCTTGGCGCTTGAGCATGCACGAGGGAAACTCAGTCTGGCTGAAGGCGGTGGCGGCGGCCGCGGTGGCCGTGTGTGCCAGGGACCAGATGCGCGGCTTGGCCTCGAGGCCGGCCGACGTCCCAGCGGGAGCGAAGCCCAGCTTGGACTCGCAGGCCTGCGGGCCGCCCCCTGTGCCCGCGCCCGCCGGCTGCTCCGGCCCGGCCGCCGCGCTCCGGAGGCAGCTCCGGGCCCTCTCCAGGTCTTGGTCCAGAGCGGCCCCGCCCCCGGCGGCCAGGCGCATCCGGAGAGCGCCCGGAGCCTCCTTCCCCGGGGCGCTGGTCCCTTCTGGCCCGGTGGGGACGCGATCCAGGCCACCGTCCAGGGGCTGGAAGGAAGGCTTCAGCTCGCACTCTGGGGGTTCTCCCTCCAGGGCGTCAAAGTCCTCCAGGTCGCTGAGCTCCAGGTCCTTGCCTTTGCCAATGGGCTCTGCCGGGAGAGAAAGTGACCAGTGAAGGGAGAGGGGGTGGCGGTTAGCCGAACCCGGTACCTTCCTTCCCGGTTCTGAGCGAACGGTTAGGGGCCACTTTGGAGCAAGGAAAAGCATGTGCGCATTTCCTCTAGCTCCTATCTCCTCCAGGCTCCTGGTCCCCCGAACAGAGACCAATCTGATTCCGGCCTCCTATCAAACAGGGTGATTTTGGATCTTTACGGGTGCTCCCAGCTCACCGCTCGGGTCCCCTGGTTCACACGGCCTCCCTTCCTCGGGGCCAGGGCACTCATTCGCAGCTTAGGCCTAGGGGCTTGCCTTATCCCACGCCTTTAGAGGTCCAAGAACCCGCGAGAAAGCGCATGGAGGCCCCGCCCTGAGACCAGGCCCCACACCGCCAGCTTCCCAGGTACCTTCAGCCTTGGTGCTCTTGAGGGGCTGCCCACGGCCTTCCTCCTCGCCCCCTTCTTCCTCCTCGCCCTCGGCGTAGGGCCGCTTCTCATCTGCGCACTTGTTCCTCGGAGGCCACGTCATCTTGTTCTCCTTCTTGAGGCGCCTGCGCGCGTTGGCGAACCAGGTGGAGACCTGCGTGAGGGTCATCTTGGTGATGATGGCCAGCATGATCTTCTCGCCCTTGGTGGGGTAGGGGTTCTTGCGGTGCTCCTGCAGCCAGGCCTTGAGCGTGCTGGTGGTCTCGCGCGTGGCGTTCTTCCGCCGCGTGCCGCTGTCCACGGTCCCATACCTGGGGACAGGCTGGGCAATGGGGCGCGGGCAGCGGCCCTCGCACCGCGGGCGGCGGCCAGGGCCAAGCCCACGTGGCTTTCAGTTCCGGTCGTGGGGGGGGGGTGGTTGTGTGTTTATGGTGGTATGGGTTTTACCCAGGTGCGAGCTGCCTTTTGATGTTTACATTTGATTAAACATATGGAGTCAGAGAGGTCCCAGTGGGTGGGGGAGAAGCGGGGCGCAAGGCCGGCCAGGTCTCTGTCACCCTACAGACACCCATGTCTCTGCGGGGTCCTTTATTGGGCCTCTTTGATCCTGAAACCAGGAAAGCACATCGCAGGGACTCGAAAAACCCAATGGCGCACAGCCCGTGGGCAGAAATGGGCCCGAGCGCTTGTGGGGACATAGTGCCCTCAGGGTCTACTTCGAGGTCTGCAGTTACAGGTGTCTGTCGCTCCAGGAAGGCCTGCCGTCTGCTGGTGCGAAAGGGCACTTCTGCAGGGGCGGTGGGCTGGGCTGGGACACACCGCACAGGCCGAGCCTCTCCGGGAGGGGGAGGCGGCCGAAGTTTGGGCTTTGAGAGTCGGAAAGACAGCGTGGGTTCCGCGGGGAGCCGGTGGTATGGGCTCGCTAGGAGGAGGGTGCGCCCAACCCCGAATCAGCTGGAGCTTGACCCTGGGAAGGCCGCTCGCTCAGTCGCCCAAACTTTCAGAAGGGGCGTGGCGCGGGGGTCGGGGGTCGCGGCCGTGGGGTGGCCCTCACCTGTCATAGGAGTACTGGCCCAGCGCCGGCTCGTACGGGTAGTAGGCGGCGGCAGCGGGAGCGAGGCCCGCATGCGCAGATCCCGGTGCGTCCTTGGAGTCGAAGCTGTTCTGTAGGAGCCGGTGAGCCTGGGGTTGGAGCAGCTTCCCGGATGCGACCCAGCCCGACCCCTCCCCTAGGAACGCTAGCTCCGGAGGGCTTCCCGCAGACCCCTGGGCAGCCGCCATCCCGCCCCCACCCCCAGCCGCCTGGCCCAGTCCCAGGCTGCCCTTCGAGGGTCCAGGCAGCGCGAAGGAGCCCCAAGATGTGGAGTGAGGAGGAGCAGAGTTGGGGGTGTCAGGGAGCAGAGTTGGGGTGTCGGGGAATGAGAGCGGGAAAGGAGGACGGAGAGGGGGACAGGGGGAGAGGGGGAGGGGGGAGAGGGGACAGGGGG